AAAAAAAACCCCCCCCCCCCCCCCCCCCCTCTCTTCCCAGATTCAAAGAAAAGACCTCACAACCCCGAATCATCCATCTCATAAACCCTCCCGGGCCCATCCCAATACCTCTTCCATCCCTCACAAGTCCTCTCATGCACCCCCAATCCCCCAGCAGCAGCACCATTCACAACGCCATCAATTTCAGCCCTCCTCTCCACAAACTGCAAACTCAAGCCAGCACCAACATGCCAGGGAATATGACAATGCATCAACCAGACTCCCGGATTATCCGCGGGAAATCCCAACACGAGATAGCCTCCCGCGGGCATCGTGGCGGTATCTCTTCGAGGGGGATTGTTGAATTGGAGGGTGGAGAGGTCTCCGTTCCAGGTTGAGCCGGCACCACCGGAGCCGAGAATGTAGAAATCGTGGCCGTGGAGGTGGATGGGATGAGGGAGAGCGACGGGGTTGGTGGGGGCGGTGTGGAGGAGCCAAAAGGTCCAAGAGTTGGGTTGGGAGACGATTTCGATGATGTTGGGGGAGGAGTTGGGGAGGGCGAAAGAGGGATTGTTGGTGGAGGAGAGGACTTGGTCGAGAGTAGGGTTTTTCCAATCGATTTGGGTGGCGGTGCCGTCGATGAGCCATTGCACGAGAGAGCCGTTGTTGGCCGTGGTGGTGGTGTTGAAGCCGAGAGAGATGTTTTGCATGGCAGAGGTGAATTGGTCTTGGGGGACGGTGTTGTTGACATAGGGGCGGACGATTTCATCGGCGCACGCGGTGGGTTTGTTGATGAGTTCGGTCGACTGTTGCGTCGGGTCGGTGATGGGGGCTCCTTCGTATCGGATGATACTGAGGACTTTGCCCGCATAGGCGTTGACGCCGCAGTCGCCAATGTCTGCTCGCAGCCAGTAGTTGCCGATGGGTTGGTTGGCGGTGAGGATGATGTCGGCTCGTTGGCCAATGTTGATGTTGACCGATGTGGCGACGTAGGGCTTGACGGGCACAAAGTCGGAGGTGATGACGGTGAAGTTGTGCCGATCGATGGAGATGATGAAGTGGTTGTCGATCCCGATATTGATGAGTCGGATGCGGAAACGCTTGCCCTTGGTCACCTTGGTCACATGGTAGGAGCCCATATCGTCGGCTCGTTTCATCGTTCCGTTGATCAGGGCGGAATCGGGCACCGGGGGCCCTGTGGTACTATGCAGGGCGCGGATATTGTTTTGAAATGCCGTGTCATTGTACCAGTCCGTGAAGGTCATGGTGCCCAGATCCGTCTACTCACGATGGTTAGAAACGAATGCCATGTATCTACAGTGCGGGAGGAGACTCACATCGTAGTTGCTGACAGCAGGCCCATTGATGATGATGCCTCCCGCAACACCGTCTCCGTATTGGGCCGAGTAGTGACTGTGATACCACGATGTGCCGAATTGCGTGCAGCGGAGAATGTATTGTCGCGTCTCACCAGGGGCAAGCGGACATTCGGTGACGCCGCCAACACCGTCGTGCTGTACAGTGTTGAGCTGGCGAAGGCCGTGCCAGTGGATCGACGTGCCATTGTGCTGCAAGGAGTTTTTGACATTGACAATCATCCGGTCGCCCCAGTTCGCGATCAGAGTGGGACCAGCTAGATGTCTGTTAGCACCGTTGGTGTACTGGGGCAATACCAACTTACGATATTGACCATTGACAGCCAGAACGAGCCGATTGAATCCATCAGGAGAAAGAGTGGTCATATTCGTGATTTCCAGATCGTAAATGACATCCCGGCCCGTCTCTGGAAACTTTGCATCAAAGTCAGTGGCAATGGAAAAGCCATTGGACCAGCAGGCTCGAGTATTGGCGGTGTTTGAGCAGGCGGTATCGCCAGACTGCGGACTTCTACGATCCAAGGCGCGATGCTCGGGTGGAATGGCTTCTAGTGCACCATATTCGTTGACGAACTCGAGAGGCTCTGGGACGGGAGTGGCCAAGACTGATGTGAGTAGTGATAACGCTCGAGTGAGAGTGCTCAGAAGGGATGGTTTCATCATGGCGTTTTTCTTTTTGTGAATGAAGACAACTGCTTCCCCAAAGGCTGATTTCTCTGCCTGCTTTGCGGGATCGTGACCTACCTTATAACTCATATTTTCCCATGTACGATGATTCATTCTGGCGCGAGTGAAGGGGAGGCCTCCCTCGAACGGGTCGGACCAAGACAGTCAAGCCGGAGCTGAACAGAAGTGGCCGGTCCGCACGACAACGAGGACATGCGTACGTGACCAAGCCGCCATCCGGCGTGGTCGGGATCACACGATATTGAGAGTGACTTGATGGTGAATTCCATTCTTGACTGCGGCGCTGGCGTCTCCAGACCAGTCGACGAGAAGAAGCAGCCACCAAAGTTAGAATGTGAATCATATCCACTCAGCATCTACTCCAGGGCGAATGTGCAGCAGCGTGAGGATGCTCGAATGCATGAGACCGTACCGAAGGGTTGCATCCCACGCACAGCAGGAATGTATGCATTCTTATCGGCACCAAAGTTGAAGAAGATGGCGCTGTCGATAGCCGTCAAGAAGAGGATTCCATCAGGGAACATTTCGCTGGACTGGTGCAACATCGCGTATTCCCCCTGCTAGTCCCGGTTGGAGATCCGGAGGATGTGCAAGAGATATGTATGTATCCGCTTCCAGAGCCGGATGGAGCGGCGACTTGGGCATGGTAGCAGTAGAACAGCGGGCTTCACCGAACGAGTCCCAAACGATAGTCCATCACAGCGCTGCGGAGGCGTTTCAGTAGCGAGAAGCAAGTGAAAGTGGTGAGTGATGTGTTTCGTCGTCTGACGGCGTACACATGTCACGCTTCTTCAGCCCACCGCATTGAGGCCGGAGAATATGATCGGTTCGGCAAGGCACAAGTATGCCAAGCGTGGATGTATGGTGAGAGTAGCATCGTCAACCTCGATAGCATTGCCAAGAAGAGGCCATATGGTGACTGGTGACATTGAGGCCGTAGTGATTCTAATTTTAAGGAGAGATATAGGGATGGAAAAGGAGGGGCTCTTGGCGCTGCTAATTCCCGTTTGTTTTTAATTGTTTTGTTGACTATCTCTGCTCGCTATTATCCATGTTTCGCCAAAACTACAACCTCGACCTTCCTGTCGCTTTGGATATCACTCTCCGCCGTCTCTGTATGCAAAATGATTCCGGTATTCACGCCCCTTTACATGGACAGAGACGAATCTGAGCGAGGCATACTGTACTGTATATACCGCGCTACTGCACCGGCCCCTGTTTGGCGACTGCAGCAAGATATTGACGCGCCATCTTCGTCTTGGCGGACGAACGAGTAGAAATTGTAGTATACCACTACAATTACCTAATACATCCAGTCCGTCAAAGTCATTCACGCAGAATCTGACCGTTACACACACAAGCGATGATCTTGGCTAGACATCTGTCATTCACCGCTGACATCGGCATGGCAGTGTAGCGAATTCGCCAGGTGAAGTACCTACGCATCAAGAGGATTCAAATGTACCGCTAGGAGGCACATATGCACAGCAGACATTCTGACCCCTGCCTGCGCCATTCATCCTGCATCTACTGCTGTATCACCTACGCTCCACCAAAACACATTGTTGGGCTCCGCGCGAGCCTCCGAGAGAACCTCAGATGGCTATACCGTTATCGCGGATTCGCATGAGCACGAGGGTGGCAATCACAATATGCATCTTCTGCTGCCGACAAGCTTAACTCCTAGTCTGAGCCCCAACTCTCGTCTTCAAGCCTGATCCTCCTCCAAGGCTGATCCTCCTTCACCTCATAGTCGACCAATGGCGCCTGTGGGATGTCTACTGCCATGGCCCATCTGCTGGCAAGACTCCGTGGCCATGGCGGACACACTCACCGGTGGTCCGAGAGTCCCACTGGAGGAGAAGCTCGACGGAGCCATTGTTCGGGTAAAAAAAGAAGAAAAAACTACATTTGATCTATTCTGGTACGTAAGAAGCGATCTTGGTGTAACCATGCCTGACAAGCGACGGCTAGCGAGCTCGAGCCACGATATTGTCAACATGCGTCCCCCGAAGCAACGTTCATTCTCTAGTGCCAACAGCACGCACGGTCGACCAAGACCCTCCTCGGATCCATCGTGTCGCATCGAACATCTCCACGCTTGGCTAGGCTCGCTGCATGCCTTGAGATCGTGCCGACCACGCGAGAGGATGAGGCTCAAGCATCTTCTGCGAGAGGCCGATGATATGCTCATGCGGCGCAGTGCTGGGAGGGACTTGGGCTGAGATGGCATCCCGATATCAGACTTCGGAGGAACTCTGCAGTAGATGACCGGAGAGAGGTCTTTAAGGTCATGCTGGGCGCTCTGCTGCACTTATCTACATCTGCTGGTCTTACTCTTCTCTCGAGCCTCTGACCGAATACACTGCTCAATTCGCTCCTGTCATGATGTACTCCCAACCTCTTCTGCTCCTTGCTGCGGCTTTCACACTCACGGGTCATGCCATTGCAGGGCGAATCCAAGACGCGAGACTCAATCCAGGCGGTGTGCTCAGCCGTCTCAATAGCCGTCAATCTGACGACTTTCCCTACAACGAAACTAGCATCTGTCTGAGCTACGGTATCGATTTTCAAAACGGTGGTTCATACTTTATCGATGTTCGATCGAGCGAGAGCTTCACTGTCGTATCGCAATTCTCCGGCTGTGAACCCGACACAGCTGCCTACGTTCTCCTCGTCGACAATAATACGGGCGATCAGGTGGAATGCTCCGGTGTGGCGACCACTCCAGATTGGACCAACGTGATATCGACTTGTCCCATCGCCAAGAACGAGATGAGTTCGGGGACATGGTCTGTGTTGGTCATTGGTAACAATGGCGATGGCTCACCATATGCGTGGCAACGCGACTTTGAGCTCACTGTCGGTGTTCCGGGTATGTGACCACCCCTATCTTTACACAAAGTGTTTATTCCTCGCTAACTTGGTGTCTAGTAACCTCAACGACGACGTCGACAGTCACTTTTACTGAGACGAAAACACCATCGACTACTGTAACTAGTATGTGCTTTGCAGTAGTCTCTCTTCACGCGAATATTATCTCAGGCTGACATTTCCCAGCTACATCCACCATTCAAACTACGACTTCAGTGCCGAATGAATCCACCATTACCATTACCAAACCTGCTGCCACCAAGACCATCACCATCACGCCCAGGGCCCAAACAGTCACCAGCACCAAATGGCTCACCCGCACAGTCAACACATGGACTTTTACCCAAAGCAAAGTCACCAAGACCATTCTCCCAACATGCACCATTCCCCCTCGACCACCTCACGCCGATCCTCCCTGCCGAATTTTCCCCACCATCATTCCTCTCCCTCACGGCCTGACCATTTCCTCCTCCAAAAACAAACCACGAGCAGCAGCAGCAGCAACAGTAGACCCTCCCTCTCTCACGCCCGAAGAAAAATCCGACCCAACCCCCTCCATCCAAAAACGTTCCCCCGACGCTCCCACAATAACCCTCCAAGCGCCCCTCGTCCTCAATACAACCACAACCTTCCTCTCCCCTTCAACATCCACTCTCTCCGAAATTTATCTCACAACACAAACAAAAACTCTCACCGATCCACCAAGTACAGTCATCAAAGCCTCGGGAGGCACGAAAACGGAATTTACGACGTTACTTCCCACGAAGACGAAGACTGTGACTAGAATTGGATATTCGACGGTGACGAGGACGAGGACGGTCAAAGTTACTTGGACGTTTACGACGACGGGGGATGTGCCGAGGGCGACCAAGACGGCTTGTAGGGAGGAAGGAGGGAATTTGTTGGAGGGCTTGTTAGGCGGGTTATTGGGGGGTTTGTAGAGAGTTTTATCATGTACATGTAGCCATGGACCGAGTTTAATTGAGTGGGAGGTTAGAAGGCTGGGGATACAGTTTCCACAGAGGGAGAGGGAGAGAGAGAATAATACACAAGATTAATGATTCCATGACCTTGTGGAACTACATCGCCAAGTGTATCAAGATACCGCTTCCTTTCTCCCCAGAACACATCAAACATCATCTACGACGTGTATATCCAAGCTGTCGTCTCCAAGCCCGACGCCACTATCCTCAAAGCATACACGCAATACGACAAATTCATTACAATACTGCGTTTCTGTTCTCATCCATGGGCATCAAGTAGCAAGATGTCGTGACACGATTATGGATGCGTTTGAGACTTCTTGGGAGTAGCAGAATTTGACTCTAGCGGTGGCTCGGTGGCAATTGCTGTCCATGATGGTAGGCCACCAGGAGTGCGATATGTGAATGTGTGTTGGCTCGTATGCTCTCCAGTCATCTCTGCTGTATGGTCAAGTGGTCTGCTTGCCTCTTGTTTGGCATTTTTCTGCAAACCAGTCGACGACGTGACACTTGGGTAGTGCATCCACCACTGTTCCCTCTCTAAACTACTGCTGCCCTTACCCCGACTGTCATCCTCGCCGGCTGCACTCGTAGTGGCTTTCTGTCTGACCACGCCACCTCCTCGGGGTCTAGGAGTCGATTTCGAGACGGCCTCTGCAATGAGTTGATCAAAGTTGTCAGGCTTCCCGCCCGGAATCTGGTCTTCAGAGATCTCGACGTAACCTCCATGACCGTCTGGACAAAAGTGTCGAGCTGGCAGGACTTGTAGATCGACAACAGGAAGCACACCGTGCACAAAATGATGATTGTGGACTTCTCGCGACACGGCACGCTGCACGACTTGAACAGGCTGGATAATCTGTGTTTCGTGCGTGACGGCCGGGGCCCAGACCACGGCAGTATCTGTATCCTCGCTGTCCCTCAAGTCCAAAACGCCCTCATCCTGCAACGACTGCACAATTCTGGCATTACGTGCAGCGTTTTCTTGTAGGTATCTCGGCGGCAAGTCGGACGCCTCGTGCAATGGAAGACTCGGTAACTCCTTTTGCAAGCTTGATCTCTTGATGCTCATGTGTCTCGCTGGCGCTGCTTCGGGAAGACTAGGCGCTCTGACCGAGCTGGATCCATCTGGCTTCGACTGCCCGTGATTTCGCAAGTCCTCAAAGCTGGACTTGCGGCTTACGGAGCGATTGCGCCTGTCAGCCTTAGGGCGGACTTCACTCTGGTTGGCAGCCCCTTTTGGTGTACGCAAAAACGTAGATAATCGGCTGCTCGAGTGAGTTCTCATGCTTCTGGTAGAATTCCTCCAGAGATCATCCCAAGTAGGTGGCTCCCACTCGATGGTGGGATCGTGCAGCGGAAATGGTGCATCGTTCGTCTGCTCCAGAGCTTGTCGAGTCGCGCGCTGTACATCATCAGCAGTGACCGCTGGTGATTCGTGGTCCTGCTCTTCGTCCTGGTCAACAAGGGAGGTGGTTGACACGACGTATTCGGGTAACTTAGAGGTAGCATCATTCCCCTGAGTGGTGGATCTGGCGTGGCATAGTCTTGCTATCTTCGGCGGACTGTTCACGGGCTGGCTCTGAACTCGGCGGTGCGAGTCAATGGTGGAAATTCTGGTTCTGTTCCAGGATCCGGTCTTCAACAGAGCTGCAGCATTGGCCAGACTGAGAGAGCCGCGCCTGTGCGAAGGTGGTTCTTCATCCGCGATGAAAGTTTTCTTCGTTTTGGTTCTGCTAGAGGAGGCCGTCGTCTCACTCGTTGCTTTGCTGCCCTTCGTCGAGAAGACCCGGCCTAGCACCTCCTTGGCCCAAGAGGCCATTGAATGTGATAGACAGGCAATTCTGACTGCTCGTAACAAGGCACATTGGTGTGTTGTTGCGACCAAAATTGAAGTTATTCCAACCAAGTCAGCCCCAGTACCCCTTTGTGATTGTTCCTTCTTGATGCCAGAGCATATCACTTGCCCAACGACATATTACCTTCACTCGGCAGGTTGATGCCACGCAGCAACGTGAGCTTCCTGCCACAGTGGCTAGAGGCAGGTACATCTCTCCTATACATCACTCGTCTGCCATCTCTTCCTACTTAGGAATCTAAGGTTCCTCACGACAACACCTCGTCCAAGCATCTTCTTCGCAGCACTCTAAGACATTACAACTCACATACTTTACAATACTCTGACCCTGTAGTCAGCATCACCATGGAAGAGGCACGACATGCGATCGAGGCGTTTCTGGCTCGCAATGGCCATCATGATACCACTGTTCACGAGACGGTGGCCCCAGCGGTCACTCACGAGCTCGTGACGAGAACAGAACATCGTGCAAGTCTTCATGACAAGACTCATTCGAGCGAGATCCGTATGGGCTGACTTGTGGAACAGAATCTCACCAGGGCCGTTGATAGAGAGATTCATCAAGACCATTACCACACCTCGGTGCAACCTATCACGCAGGAGGAGCACAGCGAGGAGCAGAACCACAACGTTGTCCAAGATGTCGAAGAACAAAACTTCGAGTATGGCGATCCCGAAGATACCTCCCGGCGTCTTGCAGAGTTGGATGCAGAGTACCAAAACAGCCGTGAAGAAGTCATCGCAGAGAGCACAACCACGGAGCTGCCAACCATCGAGGGCCTGCATATCCATCACCATGTCCACGAGAGAATTCAGGTCTTGTCTTCCATGTCACTTTCGTGGAAATGTCATTCATGTGATGCTGACTTCTTCGCAGCCTGTCATCGACAAGCGGACATATGAAACACACATTTACCATGTGGTTGTGCCGGTGCGAGAGATCCACCACAACGCAGCTCATTATCATCCTTCTTCTCCACTCGCAACTGTCACATTGGACCAGTTCAAGCAAGCCGGCGGCACACTCAACGGCCGTGAGGAGCGCTACGATGCGTTCGAGGGGGAGCCTCGCGCAGTTAGTAAGGCACTGAGCGGCCAGACCTCCTTTGCATCGCCGGCCACCGGTGGTAACCCTCAGGGAGGACTCGTTAAGTATGTGCGCAGCCGTCCCTGTTCGGGGCACAAGTCCCCCTTTTCGCATGCTTGTTGCTGATGGTATTAACAGCATCCCAGCACCCAACCCGCAGGCGCAGACCGACGATGCACCCGCAGCAGCTCCTCCAGCTAAGGTCTCTCGGGTAGCCACATTTGCGGATCCTATCGCAGCGCCCAGATCTGAGCCAATTCCTCAATCGGAATTTGACCCGACGACAATTGCTTCCCGAACTGCCCCCAATTCTGGCATCTTTCGTCTTCCCACGCGCGTCCCTACAGCTCCCGCTACGAGTCTAGCCCCAGACTCTACTGCGCCTACTCCAGATACCAGTGACTCTGTCCCTGCTCCGCTGCCACGCGCACCCACTGCGCCCCCTACCTTTGCGCCCACTGCTCTTGCTCGAGAACCAACCATTCCCCCAAGTCATCCCCTGATGCGTCCCGCTACTCATATTCCCCGCGAAGCATACCGACAGGGTCTTGGTAGAGCTGGGACTGGCCATGCGCGACCCTCACGAAGCCGACCTGCCGCCAGGTCGCGACGTACTGGCTCTCCGCCGTCACCACCGCCTCCAGCACCTGCAACGCAGTGAATAGTGGCGGACAAGATCAAGAGGCCTTCACGAGATGCGCGGCCGGATCAGTCACACTTGCTGGACTTGAGCTGGTATGGTGGTGGTGAAGAGCATGAGATGGGAAGAGTCCTGAGAAGTTTTCATGAACCTATAATGTGAGCTTGGAAACCTTGGTTGGTGGCATCTGCGTCTTTCAATGTACCGTCATACCTACATGCCTACATGGATGGAGGCGTATAGCATGGCTTTACTCTTGTCGTGCAATGTTCATTATTGTTTTCATAAAATTGTCGTAGTGAGCACTCGTCTTGCGCTGTAAGCAGGTACCTCTATGCCTCTTTGTGACCTGATTGCATCACTGTTCCACAACATACCTTACTCTCAGAATTGATAATCACTCAGACTCGGCGGTAAATCCGCCACTTTGGTCCCCCAATCACTCTCATTCTTACCCAAGGTCAAGACCAATTCTTTGCCTTCGGTAAAGAATGAATGATCAATCCAATTCTTCGTATACGCCTCTCCATTCAATTCCGCCTTTTGAATATAAATATTCTCATAACTCGCATCAAAATTCACATTGCGGATCCTGGCCGTCTTGCCCGTCGTCGGATGCGTAATATTGACACTTTCGAAAAAGGGAGGAATGATGAAATAGACGTCTTGACCCGGATTGGGCGCGAGTCCCATCATGGTGAAGGCGAGAAAGGCGCCCATGGTTCCAGAATCGTCGTTTCCGGGCAAACCGTCAAAGGTGGGAGAGAAGAAACGTGGGACGTAGAAGTGGGTGCGTTTGGCGGAGAGACCGGGACGGCCGGCGTAGTGGTATTGGTAGACGGTGAGAAAGGAGGGTTCGTTGCCAATGTAAGTGATGTTTTTCTCGTGGAGGTATTCGAGACGGGATACGAAGGTTTGGGGGCCGCCGAGGGTGGCGATGAGTTTGGCCATGTCGTGGGGAACGTAAAAGGAGTATTCCCAAATGGAGGATTCGTAGGTTTCCGAAGCGGTGTTTTGGAGACTGCAGGATTTGGTGGTGCTGTTGTCGATGTTGGAGCAGTAGAGAGGGTCTTGGTTTCCCCAGGTTTGGTTCAGATATTTGGGTTGGAAGAAGCCCGTGAAGCCCGTGTCTTCGGTGGAGTTGAAGAGGATGGAGGTCTTGTCGGCACGGAAGAGGTTGATCCAGTTGCCGCTCGTGGCTTGATACTTTTCGACGTCGCCTTGCTTACCGAGTCCGGCTGCAATGGTGGAGATGCAGTAGTCGTTGTAGCTGTACTCCAATGTGCGGGAAATCGAGCGGGTGGCAGTGCCAAATCCTTTGTAGTCAAAATCCTCCACGGGAATGTAGTGGAGTGCTTTCCAGCTGTCCAAGCCACCACGGCCTTGACAGCACCAATCTGCGAACGTATCAGTTCTCCATGTCCCGCCTTCTTTCATTCATGTGTCGTGTCAGATACTCACCATATGGCTCTTCCTCGGCGTCTCGGACCACTGCCTCGTACGCCTTGTTCCAATCGATATTGGTAGATTTCAGCTTGGCATAAGCGTCTGCAATCACCACATCTGCGTTACTGCCGCCTTGAGTGTATCCCTTGCTCAAAGTCATGTGGCAATCCGGCAGCCAACCTTGAATGTCGTAGAGAGTCAGGAGACCTTGGACGATTTGCTCCATTGCAAGTGGATCAATAAGCACCAAGAAGGGAAATTGGGATCGGAAGTGGTCCCAGATGCTATATACATCACGTCAGTGTCGTCAAATGTGCAGGAGTGGTGTCGTTCGTACCAGTAAAAGCTGTCAAAGTAGATTGTGTCCGCGCCGACGACTGGCTGCACACCAGTATAGTTCTGCGGGTTGTGAAAAGTGCGGTAAATGCCTGCACCACGTCAGTCGAAGTATGACCCTTTCCTCGAGATCAACAGCATACCGGAGTAGAAGTTCTTGGTCACAGAATCGTTGACCCCGTTCGTTTCGACGGAGATGGGACTCAACTTCTTCGTCCACGCATCCACGGCAGTCTTGTGTGTGCCCTCAAAATCAAAGTCGGAGATTTCAGTCTCAGCAAGTTGGCATGCCTGTTCACTGCTGATGAAGCTGTATCCCATGCGAGCAGTCACAGGACTACTGTCTTGGAAGCGGATGAAAGCACCACCAGGCAGTGGATACCCGTTGATACCCCTCGAGATCTGCAAGTCCTTCACATCTGCACTGGCCCGACTATTCACCATGATACCAGTCTCGCGGATGGCGCCTCCCTGGAAGTCTGCGCAGAAATATGCAACATACTTGTCTTGACCAAAAGAGGGCTGAAAGCGAGCCGAGCCAGTAATGCGTCCCGAATCCTCCACAGAGATGGTTGCATTGTCCTGTCGTGAGTCGGAGAGATCGGAAAGGTCCAGATAGATGACGGGACTGCCACTATTGCCTTGAGGGAATGTGAATTTGAACAGCGCAGTATGAAAAGCGGTAGTCATTTCTCCTTGCACACCGCTTTGCAGCTTCAGGCTGAAGTAACCGGGCGAAGCTTTGAGGGTCGTATTGTCAAATGGTGTGCGACGATCTTTCTTCGGAAACGCGCAGCCATTGATGTCGTCGCCTTCACAGCTGGCATACGGAAACAATGGGAACAATCCTAGCGATGGACTGCCACCAGTCCCCGAGTCGTGCATGCCCGAGAAGCCAGTAATGTTGGCGCCATCCGTCGTGAAGCCGCCTTGGTTCGAGGGGCTGTCGGTATCAGCGACGGCCTTTGCCATGCCATATGGCAGACAGGCTCCGGCAAAGACATTGCCTAGGACAGTCAGAACATCATCCCGAATGAATAATCATGTCGTTGTTCGCTCCACCTACCGCCGTTCGACGTGCCAATGAGTTGGTCGACGTATGGTATAGGGTCAGTCACTACAACAGCGGCTACCGACTGGGCCGCCAGGATCACGGCCAGAAAGTGAGCCATGAAGAGAAGATTGCGAGAAAAATGGTGATGTTGCGAGAAGGTCAGCCACTGTGCATATAATATGGGGGACGAGGGGGGACGTGTGGCGGCAGCGCGTGAAGATTAAAATCGACTAGAATAGAGGAAGACTCAATCATCCCGGTCGAATGCATGGTTGCAGGTGAAGATGAGGTACTGCCTGTCACTGTCAGTGCTGTGGCTGCGTGGCACATCCCTTCCGTTTCGCGGGCGGACCAGGCAAAGGAAGACACGATGAGTTTAGACTTGCTTTCCGCACGGTAAGTGTCTTGTCCCTACCTCCTAGTAGAAGTCTCGAGTCCCCTCCTGCGTGTTATTATGAATATTGTCCCAGGAAGGTCGTACCAAGACAGGTTTGCTTGCCGCAGATGACTCTTGCTACCTCGTACCACCGAGCAGTGAGCACAGGAACATGTACCTATCTGAGATATTCGGGTAGGTTGTGTTTGTTCGTGTTCGTGCGGTGGTGATCTGTCAGGGATATGCCCAGAAAGAAGTAATTTCCCCTCAAGTTTCACTCCGTGCTGAATGCTTCAATAGAAGTGAAAAGGACATGGTCGGGAACAACGTGTCGTTCAGGCATCAGGCGCATAAGCTTGTCTAGGGTGGTTCTATAGCGAAATGATGTATCCTGATTCCTGGAATCCTGGATGATGAGATCAGCAATCATATTGCTGGCAGCTGCAGCACCAGAGTCATGTGGGAGAGAAGGTTTCCGAGTAGAGCCGAGTAGTAGTAGACTACAGTAGTACTGTATACTCTAGTAGGTAGGGGAAGACGGGGAGTGAGGTCTGGTTTGAACTTTGTGAGCTGTAGGAGGTAATACAGTACGGGACAGGGAGGCAGTGGTCAGATGAATGAATATTTGACGGCGATCCTAATCAAGCTCTCGTTCTACCTCTGACCTAGCGCCGGCATGTGAGGTGGAGGTGACGGTTGACGGGATCCGGACTCATCCTACTTGCTACCAACCACCTCGACGTCAACACACAGACATACACTACCTCCTACCTCCTAGCTGTACATGCGCTGTCCGCTGACTCGATGTGAGAGCACAACCACACAGATCCAGGCAGGTAGACCTATCCCGGGCACACTCAACCCGTGGTCACAGCACACTGCAATTTCTTCCATGCCACAACTGGTCGACGAGATGACTTCTTCAACAGATCACCTTACCACTCTTCCTTCGGAGCTGCTCCAGACCATCGCCTCCTACCTCTTCGCGACCCATGAACCGGACAAGGCCCTGCAAAGCATTGTTGGGCAACGCACAGCCTCCGCACAGCCTCACGATCTCGAGAGCCTAGCAGCGACATGTCGGATCCTCAGGAATGAGGTCAACAATTGGGCATTGCATTTCTTGCTGGAGCACAGACGTATCACAGGATATGCAGCGCCCGAGAGCGCAGAGAAAGCGAAGCCCAAACGGCCAAAGAAGTCACAGCCGAGCAGCGCGACTCTCGGCACGAATTTCTTACGCATCTCCAAGAGCGCAGGACTGCTTTCCTGGTCAGAGAAGAAGTGTGTCTTTTGTGGGAAGACTAGTGCGCGTTCAGCCATCATGATGAATGGGTTGAAATGCTGCAAGGAGTGCGACAAGGTGGAGTGGAAAGACAAGATCACCAAGACAGATGCAACCAAGGAGTATGATCTGAAGGACCACCAGCTGCTTCCACAGCGTCAGAAGGCGGGACCTATTCTCCGCAATGTCTTCAAAGAGCTGGGAATTCCGCGACTGAGATACGGGACATATGTGTGTCAAGGAGGGACGACGACTATGTTTATGCGGGAGGATGTTAGGAAATTTGCAGAGCAGGTGCACGGGGGTCTGAGGGAACATCTGGCGCAGCGGGAGTTGCAGAGAGCCAAATTGAAGAAGACGCGAGAGGCGAATAAGGAGCGAAGGGCAGAGGAGCAAGCTGCTAGGGTAGTTGCAGAAGCGCGAGAGGCACAGCGGAAAGCTGGACTTGCTGCTGCGAATCGTCAAGGCGCCGCTATGGAGATGGTTGAGATCTCGGATGATGAAGACGTGGGAGTGGCAAATGCTATGGATGATGTGATTCTGATTGAGTGATTGGTTCTACCCAGCGATTGGTGTTTCTATGGAGGTCGAATGAGAGGCATGGTAGGCACCTGTATGATTAATGATGACCTTGGGATGATGATACGATGGGATGAGAGATGAGCAAAAGTACCTACCTGGTATAATCATGAGTACCACGAATATTCACTTCGTCTTTGTGGCTGTGTCTCTCACGCATATCGAACAGAAAAGCGATATGGGAGTGTTGTACTTCTACTCTCGGTCCATGTTCTCGTCGCTTCGGTCTTAAGTCAGCAGCTCCACTGCCTACAGGTACCCTACCTTAGTCCTGCCTGGTGACGGCGTTTTGTCTCACGCATCGCAGGCAACCTTGAACCCTTTGCCCATTACCATTAGACACTCTCACTCTCACTCTCTCACTCTCTCTCACTCTCTTCACGGCCACTACATACCACTACCACTGCCCACTCCAACCCCAATACATCCTGTTATCCTTCTTGTGGGATAAAAGTACAGCGTGGGAGGGACGGAACGCTCGCAAAGATTGAGAGCAGCGTAGGGACCACCAGTGACGAAGGTACCTCTGCGTTCTACTGCCACTGCTGCTCTTTAAAGACACTACCACACCACCCACCTACCTGACCTTACCTTACTCCACTCTCTTGTGCTTCACCACTGCTTCTTGCTTGCTTCGCCACCCTCTTGCAACTAAACTGGACGCTCGCTCATATGAAGAGACCAGCAGAGTCTCCACCTCACGAACACCACGACGCCCCCCTCCGACAAAAGCGTTCTCTCTCCGAGCATACGAGCTGCACTCCGACTGCCACCAACGGCACCGGCAACGCCACCGGCAACACCGCCACCATGACCACGCCCATGGACGTGGACCACCCGAAGAAGGTGGTGGAGCAGCTGAAGGAGGCTAGTAATGGCAATGGCGACATCGACGAGAGTTTGTACTCCCGCCAGCTGTATGTGCTGGGTCACGAGGCCATGAAGCGGATGGGCAGCAGCAACGTGCTGGTTGTGGGTCTGCGAGGACTGGGTGTCGAGATTGCAAAGAACATCGCCCTGGCTGGCGTCAAGAGCCTCACCCTCTTCGACCCCAAGCCGGCCCGTATTGAGGACCTGTCATCACAGTTCTTCTTGCAGCCAGCGGATGTGGGCAAGCCACGCGCTGATCTGACTGCACCGCGGGTTGCCGAGCTCAACCCATACACACCCGTCTCCGTCCTCGCAGCAAAGGACCTCACGAGCGACCTGAGCCTGTTGAAGAAGTTCCAGAGCATCGTGCTGACCGATACGCCACTCAAGGACCAGCTGAAGATTGCCGACTTCTGCCACCAAAACGGCATCTACATCACCATCACCGACACATTTGGCCTGTTTGGTTCCATCTTCACAGACTTTGGCAAGAACTTCACAGTCGGCGACCCCACTGGCGAGAACCCTCTGAATGGGATCGTTGCTGGCATCGACGAGCAAGGCTTGGTGTCCGCACTGGACGAGACACGTCACGGCCTGGAAGATGGAGACTTTGTGACCTTCTCGGAGCTAGAGGGTATGGAGGCGCTGAATGATGGCACGCCACGCAAGATCACCGTGAAGGGGCCGTACACCTTCCAGATTGATCTGCCTCAGAATGCGGGACAGTATAAGCGAGGCGGTCTGTACCAGCAGGTCAAGATGCCCAAGATTCTGGACTTCGAGCCACTCAGCCAGCAGCTCAAGAAGCCGGAGCAGCTCATCTCCGACTTTGCCAAATTCGATCGACCTGGCCAACTACACGCTGGTTTCCAGGCTCTGCACGCATTCGCCGAGAAGCACAACGGCGAGCTCCCTCGAGCACACAACGACGAAGATGCGAAAGAGGTGTTTCAGATTACCAAGGAGATCAATGAACAGTCGGAAGAGAAGGCCGAGTTGGACGAGAAGGTCATTACGGAGTTGTCATACCAGGCGCGTGGTGACTTGTCACCGATGGCTGCATTCTTTGGAGGCCTAGCAGCCCAAGAGGTGCTCAAGTCGGTGTCTGGGAAATTCCACCCCATCAAACAGTGGCTATACCTGGACTCGCTGGAGTCTCTGCCTACATCTGTCAAGCGTTCCGAAGAGCTGTGCAAGCCTACTGGGTCTCGATACGATGGCCAGGTCGCAGTTTTTGGCAAGGAATACCAGGAGAAGCTGTCAAACGTGAAACAGTTCCTGGTTGGCGCTGGTGCCATCGGTTGTGAGATGCTGAAGAATTGGGCAATGATTGGTCTGGGGACGGGGCCTCAGGGTAGAATCTGGGTTACAGACATGGACCAGATCGAGAAGAGCAATCTCAACAGACAATTCCTGTTCCGACCCAAGGACGTGGGTCAGCTCAAGTCAGAGTGTGCGTCTCGCGCGGTGCAGGCCATGAACCCAGACCTCAAAGGTCACATTGAGATGCTGAAGGATCGTGTGGCTCAAGACACCGAGCACATCTTCAATGAGAAGTTCTGGGAGAACCTGGACGGCGTGACGAATGCGCTGGACAACGTCGATGCTCGGACCTACGTGGACCGAAGATGCGTCTTCTTCCACAAGCCACTGCTTGACAGTGGTACTCTCGGCACGAAGGGCAACACTCAAGTTGTGCTCCCACGCCTGACAGAATCGTACTCGAGCTCGCAGGATCCTCCAGAGCAGTCCTTCCCCATGTGCACACTCCGATCGTTCCCGAACCGTATCGAGCACACCATTGCATGGGCGAAGGAGCTCTTCAACAACGTCTTCACTGCCCCCGCGGACATTGTCAATTCGTACATCACACAGAAGGACTATCTCGGAACCACGCTTAGACAGTCAGGCACTGAGAAGCAGACTCTCGAGACACTCCAGGAGTTCCTCGTGTCGAGCAAGCCAGAGACGTTCGACGACTGCATAGAATGGGCACGCTTGCAATTTGAGAAACACTTCAACAATTCCATTCAGCAACTGCTCTACAATTTCCCCAAGGACAGCAAGACTTCATCCGGGCAACCGTTCTGGTCGGGACCAAAGCGTGCACCAGATGCACTCGCATTCGACATCAACAACGAATCGCACTACAACTTTGTCCTTGCAGGTGCCAATCTGCACGCCTTCAACTACCACATCAAGCAGAACAGCGATCGTGACTACATTGCGGGTGTCCTCGATCGCATGATGGTACCAGACTTCAAGCCTGACCCAGGCGTGAAGATTCAGGCCGACGACAAGGAGCCTGATCCGAATGCACCAGCCGGTGGCATCGACGAGGACAACGCACAGCTCGAGAAGCTGGCCAAATCTCTGCCACAACCAAAGCAGCTTGCAGACTTCCGCCTGGAGGGCGTCGAGTTTGAAAAGGATGATGATACCAACTTTCACATTGACTTCATCACTGCGGCTGCGAATCTCCGTGCAGAGAACTACAAGATTCAGACGGCTGATCGTCATAAGATCAAGTTCATCGCAGGGAAGATCATTCCTGCCATTGCCACCACGACTGCGCTGGTCACGGGATTAGTCATCCTCGAGCTGTTCAAGATCGTCGATGGAAAGGATGATATCGAACAGTACAAGAATGGCTTCGTCAACCTGGCACTGCCATTCTTCGGATTCTCTGAGCCCATTGCCTCGCCCAAGGGTGTATACCAGGGTGTCAACGGAGAAGAGACGATTGACAAGCTGTGGGACCGCTTCGAGACGGAGGATGTGACCTTGCAGCAGTTCCTGGACAATTTCAAGGCAAAGGGCCTGAGTGTCACCATGATCAGTTCTGGCGTGAGTCTGTTATACGCGAGCTTCTACCCTGCCGCGAAGAACAAGGACCGATTACCGATGAAGTAAGTTGCACTCTTTCTCCGCGCCCATGATGCGCCGATCAAGCTAACAAATTCTGCAATAGGCTCTCTCAACTTACCGAGACGATCTCGAAGAAGAAGATTCCCGAGCATCAACAGAATGTGATTTTCGAAATCACTGCCGAAGACACGACGGAAGAAGATGTCGAGATTCCATATGTGATGGTCAAGCTTGGCGATCGCAAGTAGATGTTCTGCTGTGTTCTCCACACATATCCGTGCTGATGACTGCGATGCAGCAGAAATAGAAGGACGATCTGAATGAATAGCAATCACAATTGTGCATGATGTAGGATGCATCACGTCCAGACTCGAGACTGGAAACGAGCGATCGAGCGTGGATGAAGATAGATAGAGCACGAATGCAAACTCTTTCCGCTCTCGCATCTCTGATCTTCTGATGAGGTGTTGTTGTTTGTTCCAGGACAAAGACAGTCCCGTATCCTTTCTTCCACAGCAAACGATATATCGTATATCATTGAGCCGAGAGACGTCCCTGTCGGATTATTATCTACCTAACTTATATGACAACCACAAGGCGATTATCGAACAGCACATCCTACTACTACCGCGAAACCCAGCCGCATATCTGCTAATAAAAAAAATTTATAATAAACTCTACCTTCTCTATAACAACCAAACCAAGCAAGTCGAGACACAAGACCTTCCCTAGCCGTAACGCGGTTCTTTTCCCTCCCTCTCTCTTTCCCTCCCTGAGAGGCTGAGACGAGATGAAACGAAACGAAACGAAACGAAACGAAACGAATCGATACTACGGGCATGAGGTGTACTTCCTGTTCTCGGTGACACTGGTCCGTCCGATCTTGTACTACCCAAGGTAGAAACTATAAAGAACAATTAACAAGAGCAACGGACAAGAACTACAAGGCGATCAGAATAGACAGATATACGAATATACAGAATCTACTGGATCGGAGATGACAATTTGTCGCTGGACCTGTAGCTGCACCTACCATATCAGCACAATTACCTGTACCTCCTACCTTAGGCTGTCGTCGAGGATCTGACTCAGGCTGAAACTGTTGCTGAAGATGAAGAAAAGACGGAGATGAAGGCTAAACACTCCAACAGAGAGAGATTGTATAGTAGCAGTAGCAGTAGCAGTAACAGCAGTAACAGCAGATGCTCGGCCTGGCCTATAGGACAAGCGGCTGGACGAAGGGAAAGGGAATATCGATCGACAAGCTATGCTGCTTGAAGAATGACCGCCCGAAATGGGACTTGAATTCAAGGCTACATCGATGCTCATGGACGGATCCTACAAGCAGCACACAGCAGAACACGAGCATGAGTATACGCACGATCACGAAGGTCTGATAACTCTCTCTGGACGGAACTCGGACATCCATATATAAGAAAGAGTTTGGTTAAGGACTTAGCCCTTTTTTCGAGTCCTGATCAGCCCAGGGAAATTCGCTCTCTCCTATCTATCGCTGAAGCCCGAGTCTGTCAACCGGGGGTATCATGCCGGCTACCTATTCAGGAGGAACCTTACATCGGATGCTCGTGGAGTTATACTACCTACTTATAGTACCTGGTACTCTACTATAATGCCCAGGAAAAGACTTACTAGAATTATAACAACGATTATTTCCGAACTATACCGACTTCAACTTCTCAGAGGATTCCAACGCGATTCTGCAGCAGGTATATGCTGGTGGAAAAATGAGGCCGCGGCAAAAGTCAAGAAGCTGTACAGTACATGATGTATTACAGCAAAAAGGAGAAATATGGGCGCATACCATATGAAGACCTTGCCTGCCCTTGTTCGCAGAAGCCGGTATTATTAGGGGTCTCGAAACATGACGGACATCGTACACGTCTCGCGCCTAATGGTCCGTATTGCATACTAATACGGAGACCCTATGAGCCTTGAAGAAGCCCAGGTAAACCCGCGAAAGACTTGATCAAGGGCCCTTTTTGGAGTCCTTATAAGCTCAGACGGGCTTCCTTCGCAAAGTTCTTGAGTCTTCGAGCTCGAGGAAAAGTGACGGTCTGCTGTCAAGATGGATGCTCCTCCCAAGATGGATCCTCATGTCGGATTGTTGTAGAGTTGCGTTGGCTGGCCATCCAAGAACAAGGAAAACAGCAATCGCCTCCGAGCCTTCCAAAGCGGAGTGTGGAATATGCCTCCGTTGCCTGGAGCATATATGGAAGAGCACTAGCCCTGCGCTGAATCAAAAGTGCTTGACAACACACCTTCTGATTGGTTTTCTACACCAGAATTCGATTCCTCCGAGTTTCCGAGCCAATTGAGTCAAACCTCGCCATTTCCAGCGGCTCGACAAGGTCCTGCTGCATACGCTGTAACCGCAGAGGTAGCGCAGTTCAACGCAGCGTTTGGTATACCAGTTGAAGAACAGACTGGACGAATTCGGCGGATTGGGCAGGCAGGGAATCCATACCAGCGATATATACAGTCCGCCAGTACTAGAAAACGACGAAGAAACGTAACGGCTGTAGAGCCAATCAGAAGACAGAGATATAGGGTCAACAGTAGCAAGTACCTATTGCAGAGACATCGGCAATCGCGTTTTTGGCTTGAGTAGAGTTTGATACGAATTTTCCTTCCGAATGCAGCGATAGCAAGTAGCAACAAACCTTCGTTGCTACTTAGCTATGTCTACGGGACAGACACACGGGTAGGGGAGGGTATATTGAGCGGCTGGACGGGTGCATTTCAAACAAGGCGTTAAGGCAGAGCTGAGGGCCGATTGGACGGTGCGTCGTCGAGTCGCTGGAGGCAATGCTTGAGATTTTCGAGGCTACGGTTGTTAATGGACTCGTAGGTGATGAGATCGTTGAGTATATGGGGCAAGGAAGGACAGCAGTGGCTATCTCGCCTACGCTGTGTAGAGTATAGTCCAGAACTCTGCGTATAAGCCGGATCAGTTATAAGAGCACAAGCGAACACCCACGGCTTATAGCTTTATTACATACTCCACTCTACTACGATCGTTGCTTTCACCTTACCTGCTGATACTGCTACCTTTGTCGGCCGCGGCCATTCCTGCGACCCACTCGTCCCTATCTGACGACACCCCCTTTACCGCGGAGCCACGCCGCGACCTACTGTGAGCCGAGCCTATCCGATCGTCCACCCGAGGACGGTGATAGGAGAGAGGGCTTCACGGTGATAACGGTATGTGGAAAGTCGATGAGAAAGTGTTTTCGCCGCAAGAAGGGGCACCACGGCTGTGAGAGGGTCGTGGACACCAATTCCATCCGGCAGACGCGGCACGTGCGTCTGCTGCGCGAGCAGTATGAGGCTGCTCCGGCATGCGCACGATCGACGTCCTTCTTCTCATTCTCAGCAGCCTACCTAATGCAAGCCTCAAAGCAGCCCTGGATGGATGAAATTTCCCATCTTCCAAGCGCCGCCGATCCCACACAAATGGGACCCTGGTTGGTGTCCTGCGCTGAATCATAAGTGCTTGATAACAGACCTTCTGATTGGCTTTCGACGCTTGTTTGGCTCCGACGAGATGGCGACGTGTAATTTTTCTGGCAGAGGGCGTTGGCGCGGGGCTTGGAGGGGTCCGATTCTCAGGGGAGGGGGGGCGCTCATTTTGGCCAAGGCGATGAAATGATGTAGTAAAGGCGCCTGGAAGTGAACTGGGTGAGTGTGATTTTGTGGAAAGATCGACGAAGACGACCCAAGTAATTTGAAGGTGAAGGTCACTTCGTGAATACAGTACTTCGGGGATTTCCAGAGAGAAAAAGGGAACGCCAGTCCCGCCTCCCGCAATTTCAAAGGCACCTAGATGAACGACTCGTTGAAGGCGGTGTGGCACCACCATCATGAGGGGAGTGGCTTCTCTAGACTCTCTTCATTTGCAGATTATGTCTGATGAGGAGCATTGAGCTCTGGCTATCACATCTATATCTAGTAGCATTGTAGCATCTAAGTTGCCCACATACCTAACCCAGCTGTACTGTTCAGGGGCTTCTGCGCTCCCCAATACGCCATCCCCACTTCGCTGCGCCAGCACTGACTGCTTCGGTGTTCTTTGCAACAACACCGGCTTCCTCGCTGGGCCATGTCTTTGCATTTCTCACGCGCCAGCTCTACTTGGCAGCACCGTTCGACTGCACACCAGCCTTGCCATTCTTGAAGTCCTCGAAGCCTTGACGAGCAGCATCGTGGACGCTCTTCTCTCCCGCGACGATCTGCTTCGTCACTTTGAGAATGTCCGACCAGTCTTCGAAGACGGTGAAGGGGACATCCTGCTTTGCGCAGTAGAGGATGAGATCGTGTCCTTTCTTTGCAAAGAGCAGATCTGTCTCGCGAGCTGCTGAAAGGTCCGAGACTCCGTCACCAGCATAGAACATCGTGGGACGCTGGCCTGCTGGGAGGTTGGCATATGGTCGAATCGCGAGGGACTTGTCGTGACCAAAGTCGCTTAAGTGTTATCAGCAAGACGTAGCACTCTGGTAGGAACGAAGAAGCAACCTACGACTCATCGTGATACTTGATCTTCCAGCCACCTTCCTGGTCAATGCTCTTGCCCTCCCGGGGCTCCACTTCGTTGGCGATGATTTCAAGCTTTTCATGATCTGGTCCTATCAAGTTCTTCAAGATTGCCCGGATAATGGGTACCATGCCAGAGGACAACACAACAGTGGGAATGCCCTGAGCGAGAGACCACTCGAAGTACTCCTTGAAGCCTGGGTCGAGCTTGATGTTTTCGACCAAGTAGTCGATGCATTCTGGGAAAGGTTTCTTCACAGAGTCGAGCATCTTTCGGAAGGATTCGCTGTAGATGTGTGTTAGCCACCAAAGTAGGTACACCGGAAGAGCGAATGTGAGACGGGCAGGACGTACCGGAAGGTGTCTTTCTCCTCCAAGACATCTCTGTTGCCTTGTCGTCTGAGGTCGCCGCCAAAGCCTATGTTGTCTGTCTGAACTGTCGGTCAACCAGGCACCAGAAATTCATGAATCTGTGAAATTTACCATGTAGTCATTGCTGTCCTGCAAGGTAATGGTTCCATCGAAGTCGGTGAAGAAGATGAACTTGGGGTCCTTGAACGGGAACTTGAGGGCACGGAACTGGTCTTCTTGGGTTGACATCTTGTTGATTGTGCGTATGTTTCTTGATGTGTTGTTGTACAAAGTACCTAAAAAGTACAGTAGGTAGGTGGAAGGTAGAAGTGATATCGAGGAAGGCTCGCTCAACAAAACTGTGATCGGCAGGGCATTCACTTCGGCATTCGGTAAATGACGTATGCCGAAACCATATTTACGCCGGCTAACGGTATGGAGTATATTTGTTCAGTGGATCTTCCGAACGCGCTGCAACAACGACATGAGCGTATCGACGAGGCCGCTGGCCCGGCTAGCGACGGTGACAGCGAGATGGAGCTCCAACACACAATGGACTTGTGCGGGCTGCCGTATGCGGACTAGCATAGTCAAAAGGAGGACCACACCGATCTGGCAGCGCGACTTCTCGAGTACATTATGGAGGCGAGACGATAGAACAGAAGAGCGACTGCGGCGGATCCAGGAAGAGAATGCGGATCGTGTTCGCAAGGAGGAAGAGGCGCGACAGATTGCTGAGTCAAGGGCGAAACGATTACGCGACGAGCAGGAGGCAGAGCGGCGCAAACTCGAGGCAGAGACTCGGAGTCAGTCGCAGCAGGACACCGAACCAACGACACATGGCACCGAACCACAACTACCATTGCCAGTATCAGCTGCAGCTGCAGTGCCTGCGACAGCTGCCGAAACATCAAAACGGTTGCCCTCGCACGCCGAATCCAAACGCTCGGATCTCCAGAAACGTGCTCTCAAACTGCTCGACGATCTCCTCGTGAAAGCCAACACGATCTCCCAACAGGTGAATCAGTATACCGGAACTGACTACACCGGCATCGAAGCTCTCCGCCAAGAGATATCCAAGCAGGAACAGACCGTACGGCAGAGGAGTCAAGATCTCACCTCCGCGCGCACTACCTTGAACGAGGCCTACGCTGCTCAAGCGACTGCGCAGCGAGAGATTGTCGGTCTGCTGGAGCGGAAAAGCTCATGGAGTCCCTCGGATTTGGAACGATACATGTCTCTGGTCAGATCGGAGCACCTGAACGAGCAGAGCGTGACTCAGGCGAAGGAAGGGCTGGAGACGGCTGAACAACGTCTCGAGGAAGGTAGGGCTCTGCTGGAACGGTTGGAGAGGAAACAGTATCATGAAGAACAGGTGTGGAACAACATGATCAGAAGGAACTCTACATGGCTGACATTTGGGCTGATGGGATTCAATATCATACTACTGCTCGCCAATATTGTGGTTTTCGAACCTTGGAGAAGGGATAAGATCATCAGGGGAATGGAAGGGCTGTTGGAGAAGAAGCACATTGTGCATTTCCAGACAGAGGACCGTGCAACTCAAACGGGAGAAGCAGAGCTCGACAAGCAGGCGTCTGAAAATGACATGCTGCTGAACACAAATGTGTCGCCGGCCAGCATCGGTGCGAGTTCAGAGAAAGCTGCGACAACTGCTGCTGATTCTATGAGACCTGGAGAGGTGCTTCCCGCAGAGACCCCGGAAGCTGTTGGCACGGTTCCCAGCGTCCCAGAAGAGATGGCGCAAAGCAAGCCCGAGGCCGTGTACGACTCCAAGAGAGATACGAATGGAGTGGACAGGCCTACCTTCGAGATTTGGCAAGACACCCTCAGCGACCTGTTCTCCGAACGAGTGGTTCAGATGCGCAAAGTCGACATCACCAACATTGCCCTCCAAGGAGCTGCATCTGGCTTCGCTATCATGGGACTCTTACTCGTCCTCCTACGGCCAACGTAGCATATCGCTGTATAGGGGTATCACTGTACTGTAAATAAGATATTCAAAGCATGGAAGGCTTCATAAAGCCACCTCACCTTCTCCACCTTTTCAATCATGTTGTGTTGACATCACCATCATAGCCTGCTCCACCGCACGCCCATGCCAATGGGATCAGTCAAAGAGACGTGGGTATTTCACTGAAACTCCCCAAACTCTCCGTCGTCAAATCCAAGCTCTTGTGCCGTTTTGCCATCCACAGTGCTTTCCGGCGTCGCACTCTGACCCTCCATCTGCAAAGTACTCGACGGTGCGGCAGCAGCAGGAGGTGGTGGAGCAATACTAAACAATGCGGCAGTATCACTCCCACTACTCCCTGATAGCCCAGCATCCGCAGCAGGTCTTTGCCTTCTCCCCGGTACATTCACAACAATCTTCTCTCCCTCCTTCAAACTGAAATCTTTCTTCGAATCTGCCTCTCTCTGTTTCTGCAACAATTGCGCACCTCTCCCCGCTCCAGTACTCCCCGAGTTCTGTGTTTCCATCCCCAACACTTTCCTCGCCTCGGTCAGCGCAATCCCAAAATCAAACGCAGGACTGCGATCCTCAAATCCCATTCCCAAAGTCGCCTTCATCCCTCCTTCTCCCGCGACTCGCACTGCGAAAAATCGAGAACTGTCATTCGCTTGCTGCACGACCGCGGGTGTCGTATATGGTGCCGCGGCGAATAGATCTCCCGTGTTGGGGTCTTCGAGCACGAGATCGCATTTGAGCTTTCCTTGTTGTTGTTGTTGGTCGGAGGAAGAAATGGAGGTTTCGAGAATTCGCAGTCGAGCGGTGAAGATGTGTTGGGCTGTGGGCCGCGTCGGGGAGGTCCAGGTGGAAGCTGAGAATCCTGCATTGGAGGTGAGAGGGGGAATGCCGTAGATGTGGACGGGAGTGTGCGCGAAGAGGACGCGTTGAATTGCGGAGTCGGGGAGAGGGAGGCCGGTGGCGGGATCGGTTATGGCCATTACGGGTCTTTTTTTTGAGAAGGAGAAGTGGTTAATTTATGAGGCAGTTATGTAGGTAAAGGTAGTTTGGCTACCAGGAGCGAGCTCACGGGAGACGCTCCTTACCCCTGCGAGACCACTGAGAGGTGTAATAATTATACGGAAAGCGGATCGTGCCTGCATGAAACGTTGCCCCACCTTCCTGTGCGATTATCAGATCTTATCAGATTTCAGATGTGAGCAAAATCCATCTTCCTACATTCATCCACGACACAACTTGCACTCACCACCACTCACACATCAACGACCATGGCCATCACACCCGAAGACCAAATCGTCGCAGTGCTGCGCAAAGACCTCTGCTCGGAAGATGTTGCTCTGGCCAAACGATTCCGAGCGCTCTTCTCGCTCAAACATCTCGCCTCACAAAATCCCGCAACACCACAATCGATCCCCGCGGTTGAAGCGATCGCTGCTGCGTTCACGAGTCCTTCTGCCCTTCTCAAACATGAACTGGCATACTGCTTGGGACAGTCTGGAAAAGAAGAGGCGATACATTTCTTAAGAGCAGTGATTGAGGATAGAAAGGAGGATCCCATGTGTAGACATGAGGCTGCGGAGGCTTTGGGAGCACTGGGAGATCAAACTAGTCTGCCACTTTTAAGGGAGCGCAGGGACGATAAGAGCGAGGAGGAAGTCGTGAGAGAGACGTGTGAGATTGCTATTGAGAGACTGGAGTGGGAGAGCAGTGAGGCTGGGAAGAAGGAGAAGTTGAAGCAAAGGTATGTTTGGCAAAGACGTGATATCCGGTGGTGGCATTAAGCTGACAAGTTCGCGATAGCGACTTCACTTCCATTGATCCTGCGCCTCCTTCGGCATTGGACGAGAAGCCCGATATTGTCGAATTGCAACGAAAACTCATGGATTCATCTTTGCCACTATTCAAGCGCTACAGAGCCATGTTCACGCTTCGAGACCTGGCCTCTCCTCCCGATCTACCAACCGCGGTTCCCGCCATTAAGGCCCTCGCAACCGGTCTCAAGGACTCCTCGGCTCTTTTCCGACACGAAGTTGCTTTCGTCTTTGGCCAACTGTCGCATCCTGCTTCGATCCCTGCTCTGACGGAGTGTCTGAGTGATACTAAAGAGGCAAGCATGGTTCGACACGAAGCGGCTGAGGCTTTGGGCAGTTTGGGTGACGAGGACGGTGTCGAGGATACGCTGAAGAAGTTCTTGGACGACCCCGAGCAGGTGGTCCGGGATAGCATCATTGTGGCTTTGGACATGGCCGAGTTCGAAAAGAATGGCGAGATGGAGTACGCGACAGTGCCGAGTCAGATTGAGACCACTGCGTAGGCAGTATCGATGCGCGTATAGCGAGAAAAGCGATGATTTGAATTACCCATCCTTGCTGGGTCATGGGAGGTCAATGCATAAGCAGGACTTATGTTGCGTTGGACAGGACAGGTTTCGGGAGGAATGCAAATGGATTTCGCGACTGTGCCCAGGCCGGGCGGAATCCTTAGTGACCACAGAGGCGATGGCTTTGAAATGACGGGCCCAGCCAGTATACCCGATTGAAATACCCGATTGAAATGAAGCGAGCACGAAAGCTCCAAGTCTTGAATTCTGAAGTGCTTGCCACGCAGTTTGTATTGCTCAGTTGTTCGCGTTCCACTTGTAGGCGCACTTCGGACATGTGTAGAAAATGGTGGATCCTTCATCGGCTGATCGTAATTGTCGCGAGTAAAATTTCACTTCTGGATGCCCACACCTTTCACATGGTAGGTTAATCGTGGCGGCGTCCTGCATGTCGGATTCGGAAACTTCTTGCACATCCGATCGGAGTCGAGTTCTCAGCGCAGATGGAAATGCGCTGGGTTTGCTGTGCGTTATCACGACCTTTGAGGAGGTGTCTGAACTCGCTGATTAGCATCCGGCTGAACCACCGTCTCGCTGGAATAGTAAGGTATGAACGGATAGAATTTTACCCTTATTTTGCATGCCGCATACATCGCACGCAATGTATTCCTTACGCCCAGTATTTGAGTGAAGCAAGTTGCCACAGTCGGTACAGAAGACCAGAGCGCCGATAGCCGTCATGTTGTCGCGATCAAGCTATGATTGGCTAAGAAGTGGTCGACGTGGCGCAGCTGATTGTGAAGTGTTTGGAGTGAGAAGTGAAGTTGGAAAATATTGAGCTTGGGTCAAGAACAGGGCAAGGCTCCATATTTCACGGGAGATCGGCGTCCGGAACCTGGGAAGCGCGAAAGCCTCGCGACTGCTGCCTTTCCCAAAGTGCAACCCATGAAGAACCTCATCTCATCTTCTCATCTCTCTTCACTGACGACACGCTCCCTACGAATACCCTCACGACGCGTTTCTTCGCGACATTCATCGTTGCGGAGACATACGCTCTGCTAGATCGAAATGTCTTTCTAAGACTACCACCGGCTCACGCACGAAGCTCGCAACACCTCCGCATGCTGTCTTGAGATTGAATCCGATAGATTGGCATCAAGAACGGAGAAATGGCAGCGCAATTCGGTAGACTCAAGAAATAGACGGAATTATGGAGAGCGGCACAGTGGATCCTCGACAGCTGCAGCGGCCGCAGCAGAGTGGCAGTGGGAGCGGTGCACAAATGAATGGCGTCGCAACAGCGAGCAGCTCCCGCGGGGGAGGGCTTTACATCCCGACAGTACAGGAAGCCCTCCCATATACACCCTTCAGCTCAATAGTCCCCTTCAATCCAGGTAGGTGAATGACGCCTCATTGTCCCGCTGTCATCCTGCTCATGCCCCGCCATTGTGGCGGCTATTCTACCAACCCTAATTGCACCGGCCGACATAACCTGACGTTCTTCCATTGACAGATATCATGCTACCACCGCTTGCATTGCCAAACACTGCACCAACTGCGTTTCAGAACGACGAAAGTGTCAACCTCGCACGCCGAGACCTCGACCGACTTGCAGCTGGTGCTAGGAGCGCAGAGCAGGCCTCGAATCGGTGCTCACAGACTTTGAATGGTGTGAAGAAGCTGTTGAAAGGCGATGACCTGCCCGAGTACAAGTTCAAGAGGACCAAAAAGCATCCGAATACCGCGCAGCCGGCAGAGACCTTGACGCAGCCTGTTCTGCAGCCAAAGTTAAGCGATTTCGCCAAGATGGTGTTGGATAGTACCCAAGTGTCGTACCGCTACACCACGTCTCTACAAGATGCGTCGCAGATTATGGAGAAGAAGGGGTCCTCCGCTATGGTGCGCCCCGAAGCTGGACATCGTGAACATAGGGAGCCTCTAGCTGCAGTGCGTTCAGAACCGCAGCGTGATGTCCCTGCACAATCGACTACATCAACGCAACGTGCAGCATCGAAGCCAAGAGTGATATTGGGCCCGCCGCCGGCACGACACTCGCAATCTTCTCCAGCGGTACACGGTAACGTGCAGCATGTATCGAATTCCATAGTGCCCCAGCAGCAGCGGTCTCCGCAGCAACCACCAAATGCTATGCCGATGCCGCCACGTTCCACATCGGATATGCAGGCTATACCACAGGTTCAACAGCACCGACCAGTTCAGCATCAGAAGAATGCGCCTGTCGCTCTTGTGCCGCACATCCCAAGACTATCGCAATCGTCTCAGCATTCGGCGACTCCTACCGCTAGTCAGCAGGATGAACTTGCTATGCCTATAACAAAGCATACCACGCCACAGCACACGAAGAACTCGCCCACGTCTACGCCGCAATTGCATGTGCCATACATTCCTATCGTGAAGATGACGCCGGCACAACGCGCAGAGTACCAGAGGATACCAGACCCGACTTCGGCCAGCACGTTGGCTAGAAATCAAAATGCATATCTTACCAACGGGTCGCGTGTGAATTCTGATCAGCGTCAGAAGGCGGAGCAGGCTTTGGAAAGTCTGCAAAACCAACTTGAATCGATATTCGCAGCTGAAGACCAGATGCAACCGGACACCTCTGAGGATGTGTCGAAGCGTGCAAATACACTATTCGATACACGTAATACCGAAGAAGGGCCCGCGCTCATCCTGCAGGCTGATGCGCAGTCAAGGCTGGATGCCGCCTTTAAGAAAGTCGTCTCCTATAGCCGCCTCGATTTCGTAGAAGTCGACACCTTAACTCGGGTGCAACGCATTTGTGAACGTTCTCTGGCCGCACTGCACTCTGGCTCTCTCGTCATTGGAGAGGATTGGTCGGAGGATGATATTGGAGACTGGCTTGACCGCGTTTCCAATGCTGAAAATGGTCTCATTGCAGCACGTACGCTGATGCGCATCATGACTGGTGGAGCGCATCGCAAGGAGTTGCAATCGGAAGACTGCCTCAAAAACGTGCTCGATGCCTTGAGGACGGTCGTCGAAGTGTGCGTCATTCCTGTTGTTCAAGAGCGTGCCAGTCTTTACGATGACGCCAAGGGCAAGAAAGATGCGCCGAGCAATCCCAGATTTAGCATCGCAACAAAATGCCGCCCTGAGCTCCAGGGACTACTGGCAGCAGCCATAAAGCTTTTACGACAGCTGGGTGATCTGTTTGCCAAGACTGATGTGGACGAGAGCGGCGTCTCCAGTCTGCAATACATGTGCAAGATGCTCATCTTTACAGAGAATGCAAGCCACGAACGGGACTCTGCTATCGGAATCCAGACGTTCGAGCAGATGCGACGCTTCGCAATGGACGTCACTTCCAAGATCTTCACGAAATACACGGATCAGCGCACTTTCATCATTGACGAGATCCTGATGTCTCTCGAGAAGCTCCCAGCCAACAAGCAGAGCGCCCGCCAATATCGCCCCGCCGATGCGAAGCCTATACAGCTGGTTTCAGCTCTTCTCATGCGCTTAGTCCAGACTAGTGCAACGCCGAGCGAGAAGACACTCCGTCAGAAAACAGAGGCTGCGGAGTCGGAAGATGAACTCGGCGGGGATTCTGAAGCGGCAGACTCAGAGTCAGAAGGAGAGTCTGAGGATTCCGACAATGTCGTAGTCAAGAAGAACACCAAACCCAAGAAGCCTGCGGTTGACTTGTTATCGTTCTACAGGCCGTTACAGCAAGCTACTATCGGCCATGCAAGATACATTGTGAACATTTTGATCCAACGAGCGTCTCAAACAACAAAAGCGAGCGAGGAACCGTACCGCAAGCTCCTGGACATCTTCGTGGACGATTTCCTCAATGTACTCGGTCATAGCGATTGGCCTGCGGCTGAAGTCTTGCTTCTGGCACTCGTCGCACAACTCGTCAGCATCGCCGAAAATGCGAAGAGTCCTGCGCCCTCACGCACACTGGCGCTGGAATTACTCGGCACTATCGGTTCTGGAATCTCTGGGCTTCTCTCTTCGACTGCTGATATGGCTAAAGCCACGGATGCGGATGATCGTGTTTCGCAGCATCTCGTCAAGCTCGCGGACACCTTCGAGGACGGAGAATTGACCGTGTCGCAATTGACCTCGTTCGAGGGGCCCTACCGCATTGTCGTTCAATACCTGCAAGATCGAAATGTTGGAGACGATGCCCAACTGCTGACTGCACGCGGCTATCATCTGGTGCAGTGGGCGGATCAAGTCTGCAATGCTGGGGACGTCGGCACCAAGGTTTCGCAGGACCTCCAGGACAAGATTCTGCACACCATGAAGGACGTCAACTGGCTGGCCGATCATCATCCTTTCCCCAAACTAGTCACCGCGCATGGTAAGCTTGCTGCGAGGATCGTCACCGCAAACTCGAAGCTGTGTAAGGCCTTTGATCGCATCTTCAACATCATCCTCGCCTCAATGCGAAGTGAGCAGCCAACAGTGCGAAGTCGTAGTCTGAAGAGCGTTACGACCCTGCTCGATCAGGATCCGACTGTTCTTGATCGCAGTGATTCTGTCCTGAAGCAGATCGTACATTGCATGGGTGATTCGTCTTCACTGGTCCGGGACTCCGCGCTCATTCTCGTCCAGAAATGTGTCCAATTGCGACCTCGCATCGAGCTCAGGATCTACGAAAAGGTGGTGGAGCGCACCACTGATACCAGCTCATCTGTCCGCAAGCGTGCAATCGCATTTCTGAAGCAGGTCTATTTGCATGTCGAAGACAACAACGTTCGAGCTAAGATTTCGAACGCGATGATCTCTCGTGTGCACGATGTCGACGAGGGCGTAGCAGAGGTGGCACGAGCTACCATCGAAGACGTGTGGTTCTCCGCATTCCGTGATCTCAATCGCGAAGGTCATCGGTCTGTTGAAGCATCGCTGCAGTTGCGTTCTCACGCTGCTCTGATCATCCAGACTGTCGACCTTGGAGATAACGTTGCCAATGTGCTAGAAGCTCTGATCAAGAGCCTCCTGGCCAAATCGAAACAAGCTGGTGATAATGCTAAGATCTGCAGATCATTTGTTGCTGTATTGTTCGAGGGCAGTATCGATACCAGCGAGATTCCTGGAGAACCATCACAAGGAGCTATCCTGCAAGCGTTGACGGTTTTCGCCCGAGCCGGACCTACGCTTTTCACAACCTCGCAGCTTGAGCTCCTGGAGCCTTATACCAAGAATTTGAAGACCACCGATGACCTCGACGCATGGCACTTCGTCGTCACGATTCTGCGGTATACGTTGCCAGTACTGGCAGACTTCAAACCAGACTTCCTCGGCAACCTACAAGGGAGTCTATTGCAATGTGTACCGAGTATACCCTCGTCAGAAGTTGCAGTCGTGGCACCATGTCTGTGGACCATTGACGGCCTCATCGGCAATACCGATCGGCTTGTGCGGTTCTTGATCTCCGCTATGGCTGGAGTGACAAGTCGGCAACATGTCAACCTACGCGAGGAGAAGAACCAACCACAGGTGAAGGCCGTAAACAAGCTGCTGACCATTATCGGACAATTCGGAAAAGCATGCCACCTGGATGCCCTCCTGGCCGATTTCAAAGCCAGCCCAAAGCTCAATCCGTACAAGGGCAGTTCTGTTGCGGAAATGATGATTGAGCTATGCTGTAAATTCACGACTCCGTCGCAACCCACCTCAGTGCGAGAGGCGGCCTTGGAGGCCACCCTTGCGATTTGTCAGCGGTATGCTACGAACTACATGCGAGAAGATGTGGTGAAAGCGATTCAGCTCGTGTTTGATGGCAAGGAGCAGTTGTTGGAGCAGGTCTTGCTGACGAGCATGGAGGCGTTCTTCCGGTCTGGCGAGAAGGGCGACGAGGATTCTAGTGCCCCAGAACTGGGCAGTGGTATTGCGAGCGGAACCCAGCGCCTGGGCGGCACGTATCAAGCCACTGGATTCGACACGGCATCCACAGCGTTGACTGCAAGGTTCCTGGAGAAGCACTTTGTGCGAATCGCGCTCAGCTCGACAAATGATACCGCGGTGACAGCAGCTCGCATTATCGTGAGCATCAATACTCAAGGTTTCGCACATCCTGGCCTGACGGCCAACGCGCTTGTGGCTCTGCAGACCAGCTCCAACACGACGATTGCCAAGATGGCCTACTTGTCGTACAAAGAGGCATGGATCAAGCATGAAAGTACGCTGGAGAAGACGCTCATGAAATCGGTGCAGGAGGCATTCCAGTACCAGAAAGAAGTCATGCATAGCACGTTAGGCTGCACTGGGCACCCACCCACGTCGAAACTGCACTATTTCTGGGACATTTTGAAGACCGGCAACGCCAAGTCGCGCAAGAAGTTCTTCGCCCATTTGTGCGCTGCCATGGACTTTGACTCGACAAAGATGACGGAAGTCCCGGAGCTCTTACGCCATCTCGAATTTGTGCGTTTCTCCGTGGAGGGTATCGCGTTCCTCGACTATGAGAAGACCGATGATGTCCTGTTGATCCTGTCCTCTCTGCAAAAGGTTTTCTCGGGGACCGGCAACGTCGTCGCGCAATCTATCGAGAATGATGTCTTTCGGCTTCAGGTGCCGGTACCCTCGACGAGTATGATCGAGGGGAGTTCGGAGGAGATTCAAGGTGCGCCTGCTGCAGCAGTCCCGGCACCCATTACCGCTGCGCGTCTGCAGCAGCTTGCTGTCTCGGCACAGATTCTGTCCGTCGTCCAAGAGACACGCTCGTACATGCAACGTCTGTGGCAGTGTAAGAAGTATGTCAACAAGCCGAAGCTCGCGTCCAAGGATGCTGGTAGTAAACCGTCCAAGGCGACGCACGCGCCTGCCCTCACCGAAGCGTTTCACAATCGCATCACTCACCTCATGAGTGGTGCGGCGGATCCGTTGAGCCAACATGCCATGTGTTCTGCATTTGTGGAGCTGATGTCTGTGGACAATGAGGTCAAAGTGCGGTCGGATGATGAAGACGAGGAGATGGCGGACGATGACGATGCCCGTAGCGAGGGCAGCACGGGCAAGAGTCCCGGACCGCGAGGCAAGAAGAGAAAGTCGGTCGAGGGTGGTGGCAAGGGACCAGCCAAGAAGAGAGGGAAGCAGCAGCGGAAGGGGAGCGCTTCCAAGGTCACATTCGGCGGTGACGGTATCGACGACGACGACGTCGACGAACTGGGGTGAAGGAAGCTTCGTTTTACAGCTTCCAAGGATGGATGTATTTGATATTTCGCTTAACATTGCCTGGTTTTGTGCAATAGCAGAGATACCCCCCGACTCCGGTCGCTTGCGAAATGCATTCAATATGAATTGGCCGTTTCTTTTCTACTAGAGCAGCTTCCAAAAAGAGTATCGTCTGTCCTACCAGGTAGGAGGTTAGAGGGATGAATGCTTGCTGTTAACTGACTACCTTAACTTGGTACCTACCTACCTAGGTAGTTTGCTAGTGACTATAGGTACCTGATATGTACTGGTGACTAGGCACCTAGCTTACAGGAGACGTGACCAGATCAGAGTCCACAGCCTCACTAATCGTATAGTATAGTGCACTCGGACTTTTGACAAGATTGCTTATATACAACATTCCTCGATTGAGCTTTTAGTATTGGTTAATAGCAACTTTGGAGACTTGATATCTACTACCTAAACTAGTCACAAAACGCTGCTATTATATCGATTCGTCGGACCTCTCCTTATTACACATCCTCGAGTCGATCCTCGAGTCATTCCTCTCTCTCCCTACCAAGGAGGTACACAAAATCAAATGTGCCATACCATCAAAACCCGCTTAACATGCGGCCACTTCATCCACGGCCCAATAATCCAATGCGCCGAAGCAGCAGCGACAGCAGCCGCGGCAGCAGCAGCATCAGCTTCCTCATCTCGACCAACCCCTCACCCTCGCAACAACGCAGCGGGAGGAAGAGGAAGAGAAGAAATCTGCCAACCAGGCATCACAATCAACACACAAACAACAGCATGCTGCGATGATTGCGTAACAGGTTTCTCGCGCCAATTCCTCGAGAGCATCTGTCGCAGATGTCGACGCGGGGTGGTACATGGTATGGCTCTGGCTGTGTTGGAGTCTTTACCTCGAAGGACAAACGAGGAGGAGGAACATGCTGTCTCCAACTCTTCTTCTACCTCGTCATCGTCGTCGTCATCTTCATCGTCGGCGGCAGAGGAGGAGGCGGAGTATAGTCATTGGTGATAATGATATCTTGAAATCATCTCCCTTTCTCAGAGCTTCGTGTTTCCGGCGGTGGTGGGGCGGAGGTGGTGATGAGGAAAGACGTAACCGGCCGCGACGGGCGAGAGGGCGGGGTTGAGGGGTAGTGGGAAGGGAGGTTTGCGCCAGTGGGTCATGAAGAAGACGGGGTGGGTGGTGGCGGGGTTGAAGAGTGGTAGCGGATGATGAGGCGGCGGCGGCGTGGTGGAGGTTGTGGCGGTGGTGATGGTGCTGGTGGTGTTGGGCGGCATGGCTTCAATTTGGTTCTTGGGCGCACTATCGGAGACGGGTCGTGTCTGTTGTTGGTGGTTCCCGTGGTGGAGGGGATTCTGCGGGCGTATCTTTCACGTTGGCTCTGCTGTCAGTACATGTCGGTAGGCTTTGATGGAATTGATTGAGCAGTTTGATTAGACTGACCTGCGGCCGGTGAGGCTGCATGGAAGGGAACATGATTCCTCCTCTCTTCTCCGTGTTGTTGTAATCTTTGTAAGGCCAAACACAGTAGATGCTGCCTCAGCAATACTTTTGATAGGTAGGTATAGAAGGTGGAGCTAGCGGAGCCTCGGTTGACATGGATGAAGTGAAGCTGTTTCCACGCCCCACACTTCGGGCCGACTATGCTGCCGAGCCAAGATTTTCTCTCGCCACCTTAGTCAGCCTTGCTCACGTGAAGAGTCCCCGTCACGCACATGCGGACCAGTGTATGCTGCAGAAGTGCACCGCATAAATCCAGCGAATATCACGTCCGGGATTGGGGGAGATGTGGAGGCGGCTGGCTGTGAGAGCGAGGCTGACGCTGAAGGCGCCGCAATGTCGACGATACCATCAACATCCACGACACGTGATCAAGATTGACCAAGCAACTTTCTATCAGACCTACCCAGCAAATACAGACACAGACACAAACACCGACTCCGACTCCACCAATCCACCGCTCTTCGCCAAGCTCGACTTTCACCTGCCAGAGCGCACCGGCCCCGACGGCAACCCCCAATACTGGGCCGTTTGTTCACCTTCATCTCTGGCCCGGACCACCTTCTTGCAAGTCCTGGCCGCTCAACATATATGCATTCCACCCGCAGCTCGCACCTATCCTCTGCTGGCCGAACAATCACAGTCGCCACAGCATGCCATCAAGTACGTGGGCTTCGATGCCGACCGGGGAAGCAGTGTCAGCGGCACGAGTGTCCGAGGAGCCTACCTGAGTGCGCGATATGAGAGCCGACGGGAGGAAACCGACTTTACCGTTCAGGACTACTTGACTGGTCACACGGAGCTCAACGCGCTGCACCACGAACCGAGCGCAGTCGAGAGAAGCAGACTGGAAGATGTGCTCGATCGATTGAAGCTGCGGAATTTGTTGCAAATGCCTGTGGCAAATCTCAGTAATGGTCAGACGAGACGAGCACGAATCGCCAAGGCCCTGGTATCACTACCAGAAGTGTTACTATTGGACGGTCCATTCATGGGATTGGATCCCAACACAGCGCGATATATGGCTGCTGTGCTGAAGGACTTGGCCGAGCAGCAGAGCCCCCGACTCATCATCAGTCTACGGCCCGAAGATGGTGTGCCGGAGTGGATTACACATCTGGTCGTGGCCAATTCGGACCTGGAAGTTACTGCACACGGCGCGAAGAGTGAGCTGCTCGCTTCGGATCTGCACTTGGAGGGCTTCTTGAAACCGGGATTGGCCAAAGGCCCAGACACACGCCGGAGGCGACTGAACATCACCAAAGATGGCTTCCGCGAGAAATCCCCGCCTCTCCCTCGGGGCGAGCCCCTGGTCGAAATGCTTGGCGTCAAAGTCCAGTACGGCGACAAGACAATCCTCGGTGACTGGACGCAAACCGGCCCTGACGGTTCCGAAAAGTCCGGGCTCTGGTGGTCTCTTCATCGTGGCCAGCGATGCGGCATTTTTGGCCCCAACGGCAGCGGCAAAACCACCATGCTCAGCCTCATCACTTCCGACCACCCACAGACATACAGTCTGCCCATCAAGCTCTTCGGCCGGTCACGCCTTCCCGCCCCCGGCGAACCCGGCATCAGTCTCTTCGACCTCCAACAGCGCATGGGCCACTCTTCGCCCGAAGTGCACGCTTTCTTTCCCAAACACCTCACCGTCCGCCGGACCATCGAATCCGCCTGGGCCGACGCCCCTCTGGCGAAACCGCGACTCACCGCAGATGTCGATCGGCGCGTCGACGCGGTACTGCGATGGTTCACGCGGGAATTACACCCATCCCACGAGGGCGACACGTTATTAGAGACTTTACAAAAGACACTCACTAAGCCCGCTCCCAGAGATCCCGAAGCCCCCCTCAACGCATTCGCAGAATACACCTCTGACGATTCCGACCTCATCTGGGCTGAACACGTCACCTTTCGCGATTTGTCCTTTTCCTCTCAACGACTCGCCCTCTTCCTCCGCGCCATCGTCGCTTCTCCCGATTTAGTCATTCTCGACGAAGCACTAAGTGGAGTAGACGAACGAGTCCGAGAAAAAGCTTTGTTGTATCTTTCCCATGGAGAAACTATGCACTTGCCTGACTCTTCCTCCTCTTCTTCCTCGTCCTCTTCCTCTTCCTCTTCTGAAGAATCATCTTCTTATTACGCTTCCGCAGTAGCTGCCGCAGCCGCCGCTCCTCAAAAATGTATTCTCTCCCGCTTGGGAAAAATCACATTTGGAGGCCTCACGCCCGAACAGGCGTTGTTGGTCGTGAGTCATTCGAAAGAAGATGTTCCTGGTTGTGTGCGAGAGTGGATTTGTTTGCCTGAGCCTGGTGAAGAGGGGAGCAGGAGGGGGCCTCGGATGGGGATTTTACGGGGACCATTGGAGTTGAACCCTTCGGCGTGGGAGGGGCAGATTTGGAGGATATAGGGGATGGGGAGTGGGAGTGGGAGGAATGAATAGATTAGATCGGATGAATGGTCAATTAGGAACTGTTCTTTTTTTTTGAGTGTTCTCCACTCTTTGGTGACGAGATAACAACAGTACATACGGTACATATGTCTTGTTTTCTGTAGTTATCGTCTACAAGATCTTTAAACTTTTCCTCCATCTCCATTACTAACATTCACTCACTCACTTACTTACTCACCACAAACCCTCTCTAACCTAACAAAACATTCCCTAGGCACTCTCGTAAGTCGATCCCACGCCCGATCCGTATCCAACAATTCATCTTCATCTTCATCCCCATCCCTATCTCTATCTTCCACCCCCTTTTCCCCTCCCTCTGCCAATCCCGATGATCCCCCTCCCTTTCCATCAAGTCCCAAAAATCGAAAATTCCACACCACCAAAACCAACCAAATTCGAAATTCCAGATATGCGAGTTTTCGACCAAAACATGCTCGGGGTCCAAGACTGAAGATCATATTTTTCATTGTTGCTGTTGCTCCTCCTTCTCCTCCTCCTCCTCCTCCCCCGTATTTAAAACTCGGATTCGGATTGAAAACTTCTTTTCTCCCTTCTATCCCCTCCTCTCCATTTTCTGCAGTAGTAGTAATCCATCTTTCCGGCTCAAACCTCAAAAAATCCTCCCTCTCCTCCTCACCCTCTTTCCCCTCACCCTGCATTCCACTCCCATTCCAAACCATAACCACCTCCGTCCCCCTCGGAACCCTCACGCTTCCTCCCAAAACAGTCGTATCGCGCTTCGCAGTCCGCACTATAGCGGGAGTCGTCAGCGAGACGCGGAATAATTCTTCAATGCACGCGTCGAGATAGGGACAGGATAACTTCAAGATTTCGGAGGCGGTGGGGGAGCGGTGTTCGGTGTGGGCGAGGCGCAGGGAGGTTTGGAGAGTCGTGCGGAGTTTATCCTGGGAAGTGGGGTGGCGGGCGAGGAGTTTGAGGGCCCAGAGTTGAGAGGTTGAGAGGGTGTCATGGCCGGCGAGGAGGAAGCCGTAGAGCTGGAAGGTTTTTTTTGTGTTAGAGGGGGGAGAAGAAGAGTGAGGGGGAGGGGGAGGGTTCTTTTTATTCATAGAGGAAGAGAGTTATAAAGAGGAGAGACACTGACCTCGTCTGAAACGATACGAGAGTGAACATCCGGTGGTCGAGACTCTCTTTCGGCCAATTCATTCTCGCGTCGGACCATGCTGTCGACTGCAGCGCCCAGACGAGGATGCTTCTGCTCCTTCTCGTCGTGCGCTCGGCTCTCGGCTTCACGCACCATGCGGGAGATGAGATTCTCTTTCCGAAGAAGAGCCTGCTTGTACGCGCTCGTTTGTCGAAGGAACCAGTGAGCAAGCTTCGGGAAAGGCGCCTTCAGTGACGTTTCGAGGCTGTGGGAAAGACTCTGGAGTGCTTCAATGTCGGCATTCTGTGGGCCTTCGTCAAACTTAAAGGGCTTCCTGTCGTTATCCGCTTTTGGCGTTTCCTCGCCCTCGAGCGCTGTCGGGCCAGACTGCGATGTCATGTAATCGAGCTGAGCTTGCGTTGCATTGAGCTCGGCTCGATATCCAAATGTAAAGGCCAGAACCGCATCCAAGCTGAAATGGCAGATATCCCGCGAAGCATCGAATGGTCGAGACTTGCAGATCTGCAACTTCTGCTCCCAGAGATGGACCAAGTTCATAGCACTGTTGTAAATGTGTGGTCCGGCTACAGCTTGGAGAAATCCCGGCGTCATTAAATCCTGCCCGAGACGTCGACGCTTGCGAAACTCTGGGTCGTCGGTCGCCAGACGAATATGATGATCGGGTAACAGCCCCGCAAAGAGATCGGCAGTAAACGAGGAACGATCAAAGTCTTTGGTGCGTCGGAGGAGGATGTCTTGTGTCTCGCGGAAATCACACAACACCAGCCACGGCTTCGATAGTGGGCGGGTGAAGACTTGAACCAGAGGCGATTGTAATTCGGTACATTGTTGGCCTAGCCAGGAGAACATTTCGCCAGTTCGTTGAATATGACTCAACATGGCCGGCATGTCTCCGAGCAGGCTACGGGTGGCTTCTTGATGGTATGGGATCCCCGCGAGCGGTTTGGGAAGCAACGAGTAGTACACAGCATAGGCGAGAAGAGGAAGTATCGAGAGTGTGAGCAGGAGGAGCCACGGATCTGCCATGATGGTATGGTAGGTACCTGTTTAGTCGATACACTGAGGTGAGCAGGCGAACGAGTGTCGGTTGTGGGAATTATAAGGAGGTAGTATTTAAGGAATTGATAGGAAAGTGTTGTAGTCGCGTAAAATTTGACTTGCCAACATGGCGATATAGAACGACCGTTATCTCGCGCACAGTGGGGCGGCGTCAGTCCAGAGAGGCACGAAGGATTCGATGCTATCATGCTCATAACTGTGCGGAGCATCTAACGATTCTCACATGTAATGCTTGCACATCCGGACCAATCGTTTGTCGACCCAAAGTCCCAAACGTGCCCGAGTTTACTGTTTAAAACGGTAGATTACCGTATGGTACGTAATCGTTACTTCTTGCACTGAATGGGATTATGAGAGTTGAATTGGTCCAAAATGTAGACTTCATGCCGGCCATTGAACGTCCTACACTCCTACTCGTGGTTATCGACTGCGATATGCGAAGGGAAGAGTCTCGGAGTTGCATTCGGGATTCGGGGGAAGTCAGTCCAGTCCCGCAAGCAATCTCCGATTGGCTCGAAATGTTGATCTGGAGGATCTGCTGTGGGTCAAGGCTGATGAGGTCCAAAGCTCGAGGGAATTGGTTGTAGGAGGTGAGTTCAAAGGGTTGTTGTTGCTGCTGCATCCTGTCGTTGCTACAGCTGGAGGCTGCATGGCTCTTCTGAATGTCAGGACATGTGCTCCTCCATCTCCAACCATCTCGTTGTCCAGGAGGACAGAGTACATAATACTCGTTGACAACACGCTACAAGCACAGAGTCCACTCTGCGCTCTAAACCTGCTGGCCGTTTCCTGTCAAATTCGTGTCACTTTCGTGTCACTACCGCTTTCTCAATGTTGTATTGCGCGCAATCTTCCAAAGAGTCGTGCCCTCTTCTGCCGTGTCTACTATCTCTACCAGTTTCTGTCTCTTTCTGTCGCTGATGGGTTTCGCAACATGTTCGAGAGCTGTCGCTATCGCTGTCACTGGGGTGGCAGTCTTTGGGCTGTCCTCTAGGCTTGCGCGCCACAGTCGATGGGTGGTGCACTCTTCTTCTGCAGGCCTGATCGATTGTCGTCGTCGTCACCGTCATCGTACCTGCTGCAAAGGTGTTGTAAAGTGTGCTCGAGTTCGTGTTTGCCATACCTCCTCTCTCCTAGGAGGTAGGTGGTGGTAGCTGTAGGTAAGGCAGTTCCAGCCTCTCATCCACGACAGCGGCGGGTCAGCTTTCACGGCTGTGACCAGCTACACACCGTACCAGCATGGTCGGTAAGTCGGTAAGTCGGTATGGTGGCACAGGCACAGGTCGTTTAATAACAACATGTCTCACCATCAACGGCATAGGTTCGGTTCGTGTTAGCGGAAAAGAGGTAGATGCCCGTCGTTCTAAACCCGCATTCACCCGCTTGTGCCTGTGCGCGGTGTGTGCGGGGAGAAGGAGAGAGAAAGAGAGAGAAAGAGAGAGGCAATGTGGAGAGACTTTCCCTTCCTCCTCTTGAGTTCTCTCCTCTCCACCTACTGCCCACTGCCTCTCTACCCTCTGCGCCAACGAGATCACCGAGAGCTGTGCGTCTGCACATGCGGCGGCTCAGGCTCAGGGTACCGAGGACAAGCGTCTCGAGTCGTCGTGCACACCCAACAGCCATGACTTGTCTCTTCTCTTTTCCTCTCTCTCACTCTCCTCACCCTCTCACTCCCTCACCCTCTCTCCCTCTCTTTCTGCTTCTGTCTTCTCGTCCCCATTGCCATCCTCACCTCACTCACTACTAGCGCTCACCGCTCGAGCATGACAGGACAATAACACACAGCGAATACCCTCTCCTCTTCACAACGACTGCACTCACAATGACAACGACGACGAGGACGATACAGGCTGCACGCCACGCTGTCAGCTCCGCTACTCTGGCCGGCCCATTGAGTAGTAGCAGACGGAGCTTCACGACTGCCACCAGATTACATACCAGCTATGGCTTCATTGGCTTGGGAAGAATGGGTATGTATGCGCGCACGCACGCACGCCCAACTCCTTGGCCTGCAACTTGCTCACACCAGGAAACGCAGGCTATCCAATGGCCAAGAACCTGAGGACGAAAATCAAGCCAGACGATACAATGATCATACACGATGTCAATGAACAAATAACGAAGCAATTCGTGGATGAAATGGGAAGCGTGGGACCTGTCACCGCTGCTCAGGACGTAAGAGAGGTGGCTGAGAACTCGGTGAGTACCTACTTGTACCATTTCCTCTGCTCTCTTCCCATGTCTATCTACCTATGATACGACGGCGACCACATGATGAATTGTATTATTTTCCTTTATCATTTCTATGATCTAAGTGCAGCCCACAAAGCTGTTTACCTGATTACTTCAAACTACAAAGCCAATCCTCTGAAACCACCACTCGCAACCTCTCGCATCAGCAATCCTACCCACAATAATACCTCGTCAGCAATCAATGCTAACCTCGGGAAATCGTGCAATATAGTCCACCATCCTGACCGTCCTCCCCGAACCCCATCACGTCCAAAACGTCTTCCGCAACATGCTCCGACCACCAACCCTCCTCAACAATGCCCAACCCATCCACTCTGAACGCCTCTTCATCGACTGTTCCACCATCGATGTCCGTTCCTCGGCCGAAGTCTCCAACGCGACCTTCTCTTCCGGCCAAGGCAAGTTCGTCGACGCTCCCATGTCCGGTGGTGTGGTAGGAGCTGCAGCCGGTCAACTGACCTTTATGATGGGCGCCGCACCCGAACTTGTCGACCGAGCGACAGAGATTCTTCTCATGATGGGCAAAAGAGTCGTCCACTTGGGTCCACAGACCAGCGGACTCAAGGGCAAACTCGCAAACAACTATCTCCTGGCCCTGAACAACATCGCCACCGCGGAAGCCATGAATATGGGAGTCGTCTGGGGTCTGGACCCCAAAGCTCTAGCGGACATGATCAACACTGCCACGGGCAAATGTTGGCCTTCGGAAGTGAACAATCCTCATCCGGGCGTCGTGGAAGGTGCGCCCGCTGGCAGAGGATATGAAGGAGGGTTTGGGACAGCGTTGATGTTGAAGGACTTGAAATTGGCCATGCAGGCTTGCGCGGAATCCGCCATTACGCCGAGATTGGGGACGCATGCGAAGGATATTTATGCTGCGGTGGAAGGGACGCCGGAATTGCAGGGCAAAGACTTTTCTGTGGTCTATCAGTATATTGGGGGCAAGGCGACGGATGATGAGAAGACGTCTATGTGAATTGATTGAATGAACAGATACCAGAACTACCTAGGTACGTTACCCTTGGGGACGATGTGCCCCCTCTTCCCACTAGGTTAGAAGTGCATGAATATCGCTATCTATACTTGTATAGTTACCTAGTCCTCGAATGTAAATTTTCGTGGACCAAGTCAGATATGTATGCCTCCTACCATCCATCCCAATTATACCTACCATTAGGCAGCTTCAAGTATCTACATGTATCTCTCTTACCTTAGTTCGACGAGTATAGAAAGAGTCACACGTTACAATTGAAGTTCCTGGCCAGTCGCTGCTGCTGCTGCTACTATATCAAGTCTGGTCTGGTCTAGTCTATTAGGGCTTCAATCATATTGAGGTATCTATCCCAAGTATCTAGATGTGTGTGTACCTTAGGTAGGAGACAGGCAGGAGCAAGGTTGCGCTTTTTCATTCTATAAGGTACCGTACCTACAGGTAGGTAGGTAGAGTTGTTGTTGTATATAGGTACCTTAGGTTCAGATAGGCAGGAGGGTCAGGTAGGGCAGGTAGGGTAGGTAGGTTCATAGACGAAACGATGCCCTATAGGATCAACGGGTATTGTTTGTTTGTTTGTTTGTTTGTTTGTATCTATAAGGTAGGTAGGTCTAGTAAAGTAGCTCGCGAATAAGTACCGAACGTCGTACTGCTTTGCGCGCTATACTGTACTGCGTGAACGTCGCGAGATTGTGTGTGCTACCTACGGGTACCTTTTTTGTAGGGAAGGGGGATCCTAACGGGAGTGCCTGATAATGTGGAGATGTTAAGACCGGGAATTAGGAGATACACAGAGTCGTTCTCCATGTGGAGAATCAATCGTTCACGGGCCTACCTCGTAGAAGGAGGAGGAGCAAGGGAAGTAAAGTCACCAGTCAGTTTCAGCAGTTCGTCTCGTGCTCCACTACGCATTGAATGACCATCTCATCACATCACAACATCATGCTGCTATGGTCGTTAATCGTTATACGAAAGCGGAGACCACAATCTTGCAAGAGTGTGTGCAATATTGGTTTGGTCCACTAGACCCCAGCGAGGATCATCAGGTCGAGAAGAGTCCAAAACGGGAGAGGGGTTGGGGGGGGAGGGAGCGCGGAGAATTTTGCAGCTGGCCCGATCCCGTTCCCTGGGTGGAACCTGGTCTGGCACATTTTCCTATCCCTATACCGTAAGGTACATACCATACTTCTTGCTTGTTCCAGAGGGGTCATTTTCTTTTTCACTTTCGCTTCGAAACAACAAATCTTTAATCGCTGAACAGTAGAAAAGATGCGTGTTTCATCTCCAGGATTGATAATTTGTGTGATCGTTGCAGAGCGATGCAAGGTCAGGTCAAGTAGGTCGACTTGTCAAGTAGGTCAGGCCAGGTCAGGTCAGGTCAGGCAGCACTAGCTGCATTAAAACACCTCAGTTGCATAGTAAAGGATCAATAGTACCATGCAGGTGCAGTGCATAAACCAATCTGCCGTGACCTATGGGAGATCCAGAGGTCTTTACAAGTAATGTAGGAGGTATTGCAGGTTGTGCAGAGAGAAAACGAAGGGCAAAAGCAGGTACACGTACACGTACCACCTCACGTAGGAGAGGTACAACCCCCCGTTGCTGTCGCGTGCGAAAGGGTCTGGCAGCCTGAGCTGGAAACTGGACTGGACCCAGTCGTGATGGAAGTGACGCACACAGTGGAGTGTTGGATGTCCAGAGGTACCCGTAGGAGGGAGGTGTATTTTGAATTTCTGGGCCACAGTTGCGCCTCCCGTGACCTTAAATTGCTGGTCGACACCACAGACAGGCGGGCGTGTGGAGGGAGGAGGAGGAGGTGGAGGGAGGAGGACGGGAGGGCGTTGGACATGACATTCACTGACGGATGAGGCTGCACGCACACACGCTACGCTCATCGCCGCCAACCGCCACGCCACCGAATGCGGCCCACATGGGGGGGACGGAACCAATAACAGTCAGAGGAGAGCATGTCCTGCTGCCAGAACCGTCTCGGGTTGCACGCCTGCACCTGTGTGGATAGGATGGTCCAATGTCCACTGTCCACCCGCGATCGTGTGCGTATGTCGACTGTCGAGATCGATCCTGGTTCCTTTGGCCCTGTCGTGAGCTGTCCACGACTGGCAGTCTGCCACGCTTCCATCAATGGCCAGTAGGAGGTAGGAGATAGTCCTACCTCCTAGGCTCCTAGGAGATAGTAGGGTAGTCTAGGAGAGTTAGAGTAGTACCAGGCGGATGACAGCAAGCCGGTGCGGTGGTTGATCAAGACCCCTGTGCCCTCTCTGTAGTTGCGTTGCATCAAACACGAATTCGAACGCGGTCTGGGTGCTGATCAGTTTTTTTCCCCTTCCTCCCCTCCGACCGGCATTTTCTCTCTCTCCCATCACACCCTCTCTCTCACCCACTCACCCTCTCACCCTCTCGACCCCCTTCTCACGTGCTTCTCACACTGCCTCAATTTGCCCTCCTTGCTTGGCTGCGCTCTGGTACGTGTGCTCACCTTGCTTGTCTTGTCTTGTCACTTGTGTCTCCCTCCCTCACTTGCAGAGGTGCAGAAGCGACAAGCAAATCACGCTCCCGTCCCGCCGACGAGCCAATCGCGGGCGCCGTTGACGATCGACAAACATAGAAACTAGCTCCTAGCGCCAGCCCTCTCGCCGTCCAGAATCCTGAGCTGTGCGCTACCTGACCTGACCTACCGTCCCTACCTAAACCTTTAGCAGCACCGCGCCCGTCACGCTTTGCCTCAGCATCAGCCACCGCAGCCTGCTGGTCAACAGTACATGTAGTCAGTGCGCGACACCTGTGGCCGACTCGTGCCTGTGTGCGCTGCTATTTTTCTATTCTGGCGCCTGCAACATCGACCACCCGACCTGTGGCTACCACTGCCACCACTACCAACCACCACCAACACCAACAACCCAGTCACACCCCCTAAACGGAGCATTCGCCGAAAAAGGCAAAAACCAATTGACCGGCATGCGAGGACGAAGGCTGCTCAGCAGATCTTCGTGTAATAGTCATGCCTATTTGGCCCTTTCGCAAGCGGCGACGAGCCCATACAGACCACCACGACAGCGACCAGAAGGCTCTGAATGAGAAAGCGCTGCCATCAGCCGGCCCAATACACCATCCTCCACCAACAGACACGGCCATACCACCACCACCATCATCACCACCACCACCACCAGAATCACCACTACTACCTCCTCCTCCCATGTCACGAACGCGAACGTCGCAGAGATCATCGCGACGGGGATCCAAGATTGATGATGGTGCAGCACAAAAGGCGCAACCGGTGTCTGCTGCTCAGAGTAGAGTGGGAACGGCGAACAAGGAGAACGTGCCGCCGACAGACGGTGCGAGTAGGGAGGATGTCACTGCGTTGCCCATGCAGCAAAGGCTGGAACGGAGTCCTCACCTGAGACCCATTGACATTCTGGAAAAACCACAAATACCATACAACTTCCGACCACATTCGACCTCGCAGACCAGTGTCCAACGACACGATGCCATTGCCAAGCTTTCCAAGTCGAACACTCTCCGGTCGAAACGAAGCACCACCGAGTACAGCTCGCCAACGCGTCGCTTCTCGACCCGATCCAAGAAGCGTGATCCCGTGCGCGAAGAGGAAATCAGGTCCATGACCACGCCAATTCCGATTCCCAAACGTCCAGGGGATGGCCCGCTACGACGTGACAGCAAGAAGATCCGTGGTCCCAACGGAGATTCGCACGTGTCACTTCCGCCCGAGGGCTCGATCCACTCGACCATGTCCGGCGTGATGGAGCAGCGCGGGTGGGAGGTGGGCAGTATTGCGGCTGTCTTCAAAGCCCGTCCCGCTGTGAGACTGTCTGGGCTGCCGCAATATGTCTCAAACAGCATGCCACCCAGCTCTTCCGGCATCCTGTATCGCATTGACGCCTCCGGCTCACCTACGGACGATAGGCCGATCGGAAATAGCAATATGGATGCAAAGGAGCGGCGTAAGAGGCGCATCGTGGGAAAGGATGCGGATGAGCTCGGCGCAAGTGACATTAGAGCCATCATGGAACGCGAAGCCCATCGCAAAGAGAAGAGACAGCTGGAGAGGCAGGAAAGGTTGGATCGAAAGTTGAGAAGCGCTGGACGCGATCGGGCAGACAGTGAACGGAAACGACGTAATTCGGATGAGAGGAGACGCGCCGAAGCAACACGGGCACGCGTCGAACAAGAGCTGCAGGCACGTGGAGTACTCACTCCTCCGAGCGAGGTGCATCCCGCTCTGCGCGACAATGCCACCACTAAGCCAGAAGTGGTCGGATTGGGTATTGGCGAGAGTGAGACACCGGCTCAGCCACCGGACGTCGAGCAGCCACAGATCTCGGCCGTCAGTGAAACATCCGCGAACCCTTTCTCAGATGCTGCAGAGACATCCACGGCGGAATTGATGGAAGTGCGAGATGCACGAGATGTGCAGCCATCAACTCCCCAAGAGCATCCGTACGAAGAGCCTCATGTGGGCACCGCTCAAGCGGTTCGGATGTCGATGACAAGCACGCCACCACTGTCGCCAATTCATGCCAATCGCGCAGCCTCGAGCGTGTCCCATCTCGCAGACATTGCTCGGTTCGAGAGCGCATCTCAGCCCAGCATCGATGATCTTCAACCACCGCCACGACTCCCCGTCGAGCGGCGCAACTCTGCCGACCCACCTTACCAGAAACAACAGCGCAGCCCTGTGACTTGGGCGACCTTCTTCCGTCGCGGTGGGACCTTTCGTAGAAGTTCGCAAGGGCCCCCGACTTCAGAGGCAGGCTCCTTCTCGAATACTTCGCGTGAATCCATGCGTAATCAGGCCATTCCCGCTCATCTCGTCGGAACTGACCACCCGAGGCCACCAACAACGCGATCCAGATCGGGTACGCCTGTGCGCACGCAGAGCAGATTCCGAGAAGATCTGCCCGAGATGCCGATCTCACCGCCCGACTCCAGGACACAGTCTCCCGATGTCACCGCCGCTGCAGCCGCCGCCGCCGCAGCAGCAGCGCGACGATCGGCACGTACGACGCCCATGAACATTCCCGGGAAAACTCGTGACGGCGAAGGCGATGTGTACACGTCGTACCGCAACGATACGCCTCTCAGTGCCGTCTCTCGCGGCCATGTTCCCATGTCTGCATCTCTCGCCTCGATCGATTCGGAGGGTTCGTGGCTCGCTGGCAGTAGTAGCAAGCGGCAGTCCCACCAATCGGCGTTGAGCAGATCCTACAGCAAACGCAACGCCGAGTTCTTTGGCAGCTACGAGGAGCTTGGTGGGGACAGGGACGCAGAGTATCTCAGTCGGAACAAAAGTCCCGGGCCTGCCAGCAGGGGCAACATCATGGGCGCCAGCCCGGACGAAGAGAGCGAGGAGGAATCCTCACTGGGTGCAACTCCTGGAGAGCCATCCCTTACGGTTCATGGAAGTGTGCGTCGCCGGCCCACTCTCGTGCAGCACGACGCCCGACTGGTATCCCGAGAGGGTCTGGTGCAAGAGTACGCAGCACAAGGCGCTCCGGTCGAGCCCATTGAGACCCCTCGCGAGCACACACCGGACGACGAAGATGTGCCTGAATTTCACACTCCGGAGCAGTCCGACGACGAATATCACGAACTCGAGTCGTCCAAGTTTCAGCGTGCGGTTGAGCTGGGCCGAGCTCGGTCTGTGGACATGAAGCAGCATGCTCGACACTCTCGACGCTTCTCGGCCGGAAGTGCCCGCTTGCTGGATATGCCGGCACGACACGGTTCCGTCGATGTCACACGCGAAACGACACCGGAGCCCAATTCTACCAGATGAGAGGTCCACCCCCCACCCATTTCATATGTCGCCACCCAATCGCTGGTCGATGAGGAAAGATTGGAAAGACCGTACACATCCCATCACGACCATGCACTATGCAATGTATAATGCACGACGTATCACGATGTTACGGTCCATGACATTCTTTTACGCCCCCCTCCCCCCTTTTTGGTTTTGAGAGCTATAATAAAAAAAAAGAATAACAGAGACAGCAGCAGACAGCCACGCGTGTGGTGATGCGTGGAGAGAAGGTTGTCCCCTTGTAATACCTCCGGCAAGACCCGGATCACGTCCTCGGATAGTTGATTTTGCTTTCAGTGGTTTTTGTTTCAACGACGCTCGATACCCCCCTTGGTTTCCGTGGCGAGGTGCGATGCGAAGAATCAACTTGATACCCCCCCAGTTTCTCTGCTATTATATTTTTGTGAAAGAGATGACATTTGGAATTACCCTGCGTGGGTGTGTATCTGCGGAAAGACTGGCATGTTGCATAGAGAGAGAGAGAGAGAGAGACTATTGTACAGAGAGGATAGGAGTAGATTTTTTCTCTTCCAAAACCAAAGAATTCCATCCATTTGCCAGATTCCATCGTATTTATCGATCGATTATGCCTTGTAGATGCAGCAGCAGTAGCAGGAGCACCAGCAGATCGGACTTGACGCATGACGCACGTAAGCTGCATGGAGATGGGCCAACGAAAGCCTGATATAGTAGTTGTAAACTTGTATGTACCTTGCCCTAGAATGTATGGATTATCGGTGAACGAGTTACGTACGTAGTATCTTGGAGAAGACCTGTAGACTACGCCAAGACGTAGTATATAGCTAAGGTACCTAGGTAGCTAACCCTAGAAGGTGTACGTCCAGTACCTCCCAGCGAAGGTTGTATATATAGCAATGCTACTGTATGCGGTTGTTGCTATGGTGTGGTATGGTTTGCTATGCTATTGGGTTTTCAACTTTTCATGGCTTTGGAAGCCTGTCTGTCTGCTCTGGCTGGCTGGCTACCTGGCTGGCTGGCTGGCTGTTTGTCTCTAGGAGGTGGTTCCAACAACCAACCAAATCGAACGATCTACAAACCGTTCCCGTGGCATGACACCGGACGCGGATGCGATGCGGGTAAACAACAACGAACAACAAACAACGAACCAAACCAAACCAAAGAAGAAAAAAACGAAAACCAAGATATACCTAGGTAAGAGGTAAGGTATGTATTCTATAATTAAACATTCCAGGAATAGACTCATTGACCGTCCATAGAGAAAGCTAGGAGGTAGGTGCGAGGTGGTGCGATGCTCTGCCCTAACTCCCAACTTGGTTTGGCCTGGTCTTGACCCTAGTCTGTTCTCGTATTGATATATCGGATTTTTACAGGGAAGTGGTTGGCACGTGAAGTGAAGTGTTTTTATTATTGGAGATGGGTAGGTATGCTTCCTGCTGGGTATTGGTTTACTGACTTTGAGGAATGTGTACTTCACTTACTGATATGCTTGGCAGGGAGGGATCGGATTTGACCGAAGCTCAAGAGAATGAAGTTGACGAGTAGAGAAAACCAAGTAGACGGAGTTGCCCCATTTAGTATCATGGAGTCTAGTCATTTTTTGCAAAATGCTTATTTGAAGAAAAAAAAATGTCGTTCATGCAACGATTAAGAACTAGCATACCCCTGATTCATCGCATCAGATCCCCCGAAAATGGAAACCCTGGTAGGTGGTAGGTGGTGAAAGTATGTCCAATTTCAAAAGTAGAACGAGGCGGTATGTACTATTGTACATACTACTAACTAGGTAGGTACTAAAATACAACATACGATCTGTATATAAGAAGTGTTCGTGGTACGGACAGATCATCACCACCATCACATTACAATATTCACTCGAGATAACGACAACAACAAGACACTCAAACACACACACACACACACATACACACACTCAACACACATTCAGCCACAATGCATTTCACCACTCTCTTCGCAGCAACCTGCGCAACCCTCGCATCCGCACTCCCCTTTGCACAAGATGACCTGAGTAAGCCTTCTCCCATCCCCTTCCCACGAAAAAACGAAAAAAAGGGAAAAAAAAGAAAAGAAAAACACTAACACCTTCCCCCTCCAGCCCTAGACCTCACGCCCGGCTACTTCAACGTAACAGACTTCACCTACGGCTGCAGCGCCACCTGCGGCTGGTCCCTCACCATCTCCATGGGCGGCGCCTACGACCACCACCCGTCCTCTCTCGGCAACACCGTGACCATTTCCGGCGGAACCACAGACAACACCGACTACGTCATGATGGACATGCCCTCTCCCGTCGCCGACACCGATGTGACGACGCAGGTCGGAGCCTTCATTGTCAAGGATACGAATTTGTTGAAGTTGAAATATGTCGCCAATTACCCGAGTGAGACGGCTGTCTATTCGTTTTATGGAAGTACGAATGTTTTTGCAGAGACTTCGCCTGAGGGAGCTATGCAGGCCAAGGAGTTTTTGGTGCAGGAGGATTTGGTGGAGGCTATTGCGTAGATTTTCTTCTTTTGAAGAAGATGAGGGGAAGAGATGGAGCTAGGGATAGGGGAGAGAGAGAGGGAGAGAGAGAGAGAAAAGTAGGAGTTGGTGGCATCAAGCAGGCATGAATGAGCATCTATCAAAGATTGTCATATTGTTATGAGCAAGGCACACCATCATCGTCTTGCTGCAGCAGCAGCAGCGATCAAAAAAAGAATCTTGAAGAAGGGTCGATCAGACATACATATATAATAACAATAACAATAAAAAAACACCAAAAATTACCAAAAAACTAAATTTCTCTGCCGCAAACCCCTCCCTCTCTACGTCCCTCTCCCCTCCCCGCTCTTCGCTAGTCATCGAAGGATCAATGAACAATAAGCTTCTGATAAGAGAGAGAGAGAGAGAGAAAGAGAGAGCGACAGATAGAGTAGAATAGAACAGAATAGAATAAACAGCCAGGTCTTCTCGAAAGTCGAGAGCTTGATACAGACAGACTGATGATATGTTCGTATTACTGTGTAATCCATCCATCCAGGCATCATCTCCGAATTCATCTTCACCCTAGTCGGCTATATGTACATTCGACTTATTTCTCGAACATCCTGGCTGGCTGGCTGACTGGCTGACTGGCTGCTTGGAATGAATGCATACTGTGGCCATGAAAAATTTGACAGCTCAAGTCTGCTATTTTATCATTGTTATTACACTGTCAGGGCCCCACCATCGTGTCATCGACCCGGGGGACATCGGAGGGCACTCTTGCGCTTCTCATTACACTACTGACTGATTGAATGACTAACTGTCCTGGATCCGAAGCAAGCAAGCAATCCAGAAATGATTGACCTCTCCTTGCTATTGAACGAGATCTCCCACTGCCTCAGGCCAGCCATGTCCCCACACCAACGCGCGATCACCCCATCGTTGCGGATGTGGTGCCAAAAAACGAATCTTTCGTCTCGTCTCGTCCACATCAGCGACATATAGAAATCCCATGACCGCACTGTCTCGCACCGTCTGTTCGTCTGCGCCACCGGAGCAGAATTTGATCGCGAGCAAACCACCCGTCATCGCAGCCGTGGGTGTGAATTTCTCGTAGATACTGTTCCCCACCGGTTTGCTCGCCGCATATGGCACGTCGTATTCGTCGTCATCATCGGCACCACCAGGCGTGAAAGTGGAATCTTCCGAGCTCCCGGTGGTGGTGGCGCCTGACTTGACTCGATAGATGTCCAGATCGGCAAATGGAATCGTGTGGGAGTGTGGGTTCAACGATTCTTTGCTCGAGCCGAAGAAATATCGCCGCATGGATTGCGTTCGAACCTGCTTCATGAAGGCCGCATCACGCTCTACCGCTCCTCCGGGCTTCGAAATGCGAAGAACATGCACGGTTTCGTCTGGTAACTTGTTGCCACCGAAGCGTCTGGTCATATCACTGGCCAGTCGCTCCGAGCCTATCGTAAGCACCATATTGACACTGAACTCCGATAGGATGTGGGCGATCAAATCGTAATTCGTTTTGGGGTCGTTAAGCGAACCAGGCGTGTCGATAATGATTCCACTTTTCTTTGCTGTGGCATCCTCTTCGAGTCGATTCATGACACTCAATGCCATGCGTGTGGTGATGGGCTTGAAAACTTCGGGCTTCTCAGATGGTGACTGATACGGGAAGTGGTAGATGAGAGGTGTCCGGACGGGCGACACTGTAGGCCCGGAAGATGAGCTGATACCATAGCCATTCTCGAGATCGAGAGAAGAATCGACAGTCACCACCGAGAGACTGCTAGGTGGTGCCAGAAGACCTTCTCGAGGGTCCAAGTTCAGCACAGTTGGCGCATGCCCACTTCGTACTGCCCAAGCGGCGAGACTTCGTACCAGACTGCTCTTGCCACCAAAGTCGGGACCCACTACCAGTACTCGTGGCGCATCATCACCGCCCTGGGCACGCATACCTTCGAGCATGCCATGCACATTCAGCCATTCGACCGCATATTCGGTCTCCTGGCCCACGTATTCGCTCTCAGCGCTGCCGCTGACTTCCAACTGACAGCCTTGCCATGTGAAAATGGCGCCTTTGCAGCCGGAGAATGTGTAAGTTTGTCTGGGCGCGAGTTCGACTCCGAACAGTTCAGCTTGACCAGCCTCCAGCTTGATATTGTACTTTTGGTTGAAGGCAACCTCGAACCGCCACTCGTGCTGAGGTTGCAGTGTTTCGGATCTCGGCGCTTGCACTGTGGGCGCTGCACTTGCCAGTGGCGTGGCAGGTCCTTGACCAAGACCAAGCCCAAGACCCGGAAGCGAGAGACCTGGTAACGACATGGTCACTGGGATAAATGTGAGTGGCTCAAAGAATGCTGTTCGGTAGCCTCCGAGGAAGACAGGCGACCTATCTGTGGCTCGTATAGATTTTGATGCGCCTGCGCTTGACTGAAACGTTGATAGATGATGTTGTGTGGTTGTTTTCTGCGGATGTGCAGACGCGCGCGAAGTGAAGTACTTAGCCGACCGGCTTATATATCTCGATTGGGTATAGTCTTGGCGCTGAATAACAGATGCTATCCGGGCCCGGGACTCCTCATTGAGAAACATCCTGACCACACATACTCGCCTACCATGGTTGCTTCAGCTGAATCAGGGGGATCACTCAGATTTTTGACATGGTCATGTTCATTTCTAAAGTCGTGTCTACTCATTCGTGTGTATCCATGCCTATAGAAGGATGTGCTCAACCATCCCATGCCTCCCCACAATTACTACTGACGACTAAGGTAAGAAAAAAGAAACACGTCCGCAGTGCTTGCGCTCATGCTGGTATCATCGCTTGAATGCAGAGTAGCCATAGCTTCAACCTGCAACTCAACAATTTCCAAACAAAAAACTTGGGGTATCATGTGTGAATGCCACAACGGATGGGCAGTCGTGTGAGTCAAAGGTCTAATAATAGATCTTCTCCTCGTAGATGGGTGGGCGTCCATCCTCAGCATCCCAAACAATCTTGGCCTTCTCATCCAGGAAGGCTCCTTCGTCCGTAATGGGAATGACCTTGCTGGTCTCTGCAATCTCCTGCTTGCTGACACCGAGGTTATCACGTGGTACCCAGAGCAGAGGAGTCGGGTCGTTGATTGCGGGGTTGTAGAATGCGTTCTGGGAAACATCCTCTTCGTACTCGATTGCGATCTCCTTGGGCACGAGGCGTCGCATGGTCTGGTAGTCGGTGTAGATGTCGGGGCGAAGCCACTTGACGAAGAAGTTTGGCTTCTTGTGTGGTGCGGGCTCGACACGGTCTGCAGGGGCATCCAGAACACCCTTGGAACCGCTTCCAACGGCACCTGAGGCAGCACTGTCCTTGGCAGCAAACTTCTCGCTTTCCACCTCCTCATGACCGCTCTCAACCTGCAGCAGGCGACGCTCTTCAGCGTCGAGTGACTTGGGCAGATAGTTGAGAAGTGGCGCCATGGCGCTGTTGAGGCTGATGTGGTACAGAGCTGTGAAGATGAGGAAGATGATCATGAGGATGAGGGGACCGAGAGCTCCAACACTCTCTCCGGTCGCGATTGCAAAGAGGCCGATGAGGCAGACTTCTGCAATGTACAGCCCGATGAAAAGATGACCGAGTGCTCGCGGGTAGACCAGGCCCTTGGTGTCGACCTGGACATTCGAGACGAACAGGAGGTTGTAACGGTAAGCGAAATAGAACAAGCTTAATCCGATGGCCGCGAATCCCATGACAAGAGGGGCAATTGCTGCGTAGCAGATGGCGATGACCAGCAAATTAGTGTAGACCGGAAAGAGTGTTCCCCAGCCAAGGCTAGTCAGGCGCATCCAGCGGTTGTACATCTTACGTGGCGTCTTGTCCAGAAGTTTGCCCAGGACCATGAACAGGATCAAGCCGACGAGACCGACAAGCAGACCGCTGACAATGGCGAGACCTTGCAGAATAAAGTATGAAATGTAGAAGTTGCTGGCAAGGGGGATGTTGCTGGCGAGAATCATTGGCGCACTCGCGGGATCAGCTGCGATGCCCGAAATAACAGCCGAGGCCGCAGAACCAAGTGTGGCGACCAAGAAGACCTGGATGACCTGGAAGGCGAAGTAGGTGTTTTGGACTGTAAGCTCCACCGCACTGAGAGTTGGTGCGCCGCCAAGCTTCGCCATCAGACGTAGAATAATGGGCAGCAGCGACATCAGTACAGCAAGAAGGATGGTTGGCAGAAGACCTTGGACCACACCCAGGATAGAGCCAGGAATGTCGTTGATGAAACTTAGCCATGGCAAACAGCTAATGAGCGATTGGATGTTGCTGATGGCACCGACCACAGCGACAGGAATAGACCAGAAGACAATGAGAGCAACAACGAAGCTGGTGGTAAGAAGCTTTCGCACAACGCGCTCCCACCACTTGATCTTGAGGTTGGACCAGATGACTTCGTCAGGGGTCATGCCGGTGAATCGAGGAGACATCTGGAGGACCTGGTGGTGCGTCAGACTTTGGTAGGCTGCTTGAGCCTCGCTGAGAGTTGCGAACTCGACAAAGGCAGAGTTCAGCTTCTTCGCCTCGTGGGCGCGGTGCGTAGCCTGTTGTGCATCAACCTCTGGGATGAGTCTCGTCAATTCGCCTCGGCACCAGTCGATCGTGTCCACCTTCTTGCCAATGAGGAACTTGAGCTTGTGTGTGGGACGCTCCTTTTGCGTCAGGTAGCGGGAGCCATCAGCATGACCCTCGCCAATCGCCTCTTCCTCTGATCCTGCTCGCTCGGCCTTCTTGGCTTTCTTGTCTTCCTTGATCTTGTTGGCGGTGGCAGTCTTGATGAGCTTCGTCTCAGCGGCCTCAAGCTTCATGGCAACCTTGTTCCGCTCCGCTACTTTTTCTTCCAGGTCGTCGCAGTCGGTGGACAGCCAAATCTTACGAACACCAGGCTCGAGCATCGCACGTAGCCTGCTCTCTTCCATGTACTCCTCTGGAACGGAGGTGTAAAGCACTGTTCGGGACGAGAGGCGACCGGCGTAGAATGGTGACATGAGATAGGCTTGCCTCAAGTTAATGTAGTAGATCGATTCGCGAGTGATCATGTACAGGACAAAGCTGAAGAAGATAATGGCACAACCAGCGTGTGCGAACATGCGATAGTACTGTCAAGGGTCAGCGCCGGTCACGTCCTTTCGCAATGATGCCTCTCCCACTCACGTTGTTCGTCACGTTGCCCAGAGTGAGCAAGTTGAGCTGCGTCTGGGGGCCGCCGCCAGTGATGTTGACGGGGAACAGAACAGGCCATGTGATGAGGCAGCCCACAATGCAGATGACCACGGAGATCTTGAGCAGGCGGAGGAAGAGGTAGCCGTCCAGAGAGTGGTGGTTCAGGACATAAGTGTCGGGGATGGCCCAAAAGTGCTTGATCCAGCCAAACATGCCCCCCTCGAGTCTCGGAGATCTCTCATTTTCGCGGAGACTGCCCACGAATGTTCGTGGTCTGTAGTATCGCGGGAACTTGTTTCTCAGCACCAAAAAGAGAGCTGCCCACACGCATGCGAAAATAAACACTGCGACGAATGAGCTCGTACTCTACAAGTCTAGATGACATCTTTGAGATATGGGGACTTACCAGGCAAGAGCGTCGCGTACAGCGATGAGGCCGAGTTGGTATCATTTTGCTTCGAAGAGCCCACGTTGGGGTCGTTGTTCTGGTTTGTGCTGAAGCAGGCACCCATGGCTACGGGCCTGTTTTCGCTCCGGTTGGAGCTAGCAGCACCGTCGCGGCGCAGAAACGAGTATGACTAGTAGGAGTAAAAGTAAAGCTGTATGCGTGGAAGATGTGGTCGCGGTGGTGGTGGTGGTGGTCGGAGGGCCGCGACGACGATGTGGAAAGGAACGAGTGTGTGAAGTGGGAGTATGTATGGTCAGGTCAGGTCAGGTCAGGTAGGCGGATAGGTCGATGGGGAGGAGAAGCAGAAAGTAGGCAGAGGCGCTTCCTTGTTTGCAGGCGCGCAAATCCAGTCCCCGTCGTCGTTGCCCCCAGTCCAATCTTAAGGTTCCAGACAAGAGAAGGAGCGCTGGCACGTGCTCACGCCCACTGCAACCAGGGAGCGAGCTTGAGTTTAGGAATGTCGTCGGCCCAGCGTTCGTGGCGGCAAGAACGTGTCAAAGTCAACAAAGTCAACAAAAGCGGTGCTCCTGACTGCTTGACACTGCTCGTGAGATGGGCAGCGAGAACAGGTGGACTTATTATTATTATATTACCTTACATGTACTGTACCTCCTACACTCGCAGCCCTGATCTGGTTCTGACGTTTCACTTGCTGCCGGTAATACTGCGCACACGTTAGACGACAGGTCATTGGCGCGCGACGGGGGAATCCATTGGACACGGCCATCCCAGCACAGGCGCTTTCTTAGCCACAGCCCCAGCCACATGGGCTGGAAGGAAAAAGAGGGAAAAACGACCTCGTAGCAGGATTCCTGCTTCCACTACGGCCTAACTACCTCACTATCACACTATCAATCCCGAATGCCGATCCATCCATAAGCCAAGGACCACACCCTGCAGACCACGTCTACCGGACAATGTTCACATGTTCAGCTCCACTCTCAACTCCACTGACTGAGACGAGACGAGCTCGACGGGATGGGCCGAGGGCGTGATCGTGGTCCCTAGTCCTACACAGACGAGACACGATGATCGAAATTTGGGGGCGGACGTGGCTTGTCCCATCGAAGCGCCCGTCCTTCCACCTGGAAGAGATCACTGAGTCACCATACCAACATCAACGACGACAATAGTATCTATCGCACAGGACGATTGCCCTTCTCAAGATCGACGACATAGCCGAACGATTTACAGTCTTGCAGGGAGGGGACATCTAATCTAGATTTCTCGACATGAGTGGCTGGTGTCAAGGCCCCCCCAGTTCTCACGATGTTAAACCAGCTCTTACCCGTCATTCAATATCTGCGCCTCAGCTCGACAGGCCCTGCAGAATGACAGGAAGCGATACGGTGATGATAGCATACAATTGCCTATTGTGGAGGCTGTGTAATTTGAACCGGAAAACTATGCAAAGCTCATCTGATGATGATCACACATCTACCTCCCAGCTGGCAACTCCATTATACACACAGACGCACACTCGCACACACCCACGGAACCTTGAAGCGAGCTACCCCTACGGCAGCTACCTCCTACTTTGATACATTGTAGCTCCGAGCGCCTTGTACCTAGGTAGTATTTCGTCATCGCATCCACGAGCCACAAGCCACAGCCTGGGAAGTGTGTGAATCTGCGAAGCTCACATGAGATTGAGAGCTCCCGTCGCTCCCATCTCTTCGAGCTAGGGCGAGCTATGTTTTCTGAGAGGGGTCTCACCGTGATCGCAGGGGTAGTGGTTATACGTCGGCTCGTATCGAAATGCTTGATACAGTTCATGTTCCTCCTAATGCCTAGGTACTTTATCCATGGGCGGCATTGGACGGGCTTTTAACCTACTGCACTGCCACATTGCCACACTACCTACCTTACTGCTATCGGCTCACCTACCTGTACACAGCCACACACACAAAAGTGACAAAACACACACATCACACACACACACACACTTACATAATATACAACCAAACAAGCAAAAAGGACAAGCAAAAAGATAAGCAAGGCATGGCATGGCATGATAGAAGCGGTAACGAGCTGAACTCCTGCGACTTTTCTTTTTCAAATCGGCAATTTGCTTTCACTACCTAACCTACCTATGCGCGGGCAACGACCGAGTCTCGAGTTACACCCAATATGTTTGCGGAGGGAACAGCCGCGAATGCCGTGTACCTGATTTTCTTGAAAACCCCTACTTCGTACACGGGCCAGCTACATGTGTGTAGCTTGTGATGTCTACATGTGTGGCTGTGCAGGCACGGGAACATCAGGCAGATAATCTTTACCGCCTTGCCCATGTCTACGACCGGAACGACAATTTACAGTCGCCAGGACGCCCCTCCATTGTTCGTACTCACTACAGATGGCCATCGACCATCCACTGCTGCACTGGCTCTTCGCAGCATACCTTCACCACCGAGCAGAGGTCCGAAGCGTTGTACTCGCTCCTCCTCATTCAGACACACGAACGCAGTCAGTCCAGATGGGCGCATACAGGTACCTTGCGTCGTTGGCGTGGATGCAGTGCTGTTGACGCCAGCACTATCAATCGTCTCCTCGGACACCTTCAGTTGACCCAGTATGACTTGGGCAGCAAAAGCATTCAAGCCCGCTTTGCGAAGAAAACGTTCCCAGTATGTTTCCTCTTGCAGCAACTTGAAGCCTTGGTTCGCACCATGTCGAGAGATCGCGGCGGCAACCCATCGGACGAGCTCTTCATCGCCCCCGGGAACGTAACTGACCTGGACTTCAGTTTCCGTCATCAGAGTACATGTTCCGATGAAGTCGCACAACACCGTCTCGTCACGTTCATCGAGCCCAGATACTTCGATCGACTCTTCGCCCAAAGCTTGCTTGCCTTCGCTCACGACTACGATGAGACGCTCATAGCGGGGGCCTACAGTGGCCAAATGCTCGCGAATCCCTTGGATTGCTTTCTGGCCTGGTAGCGGCTTCTGCTTGAGCTTTTGCAAGTTCGTGGTCATCAAGCCAGTGCTGGCAGAAATGGTGATGTCGGCCTCTCGGCCTTGGGGGTCATGGTCGCGAACGACGAGTTCCAGGCCAGGTAGATGTTCTTGGAGCTTTCGGATCATGTAGCGATTCTCCATTAACGTGGATGATAGCACGACCGGAAATGATCGACCATTATCCTCGATAATTGGCATGGGGACTTGTCTCGCAGGTCGAGGAGGTATGATTGGTGCGGCAGGGGCGTCGACGGCCGTAGGAGGCTTAGGAGCGGCATTCGAGCGAGGAGCAATTGGCATCGCGTTGGCTTTCTGGTCGATGAATGATTCAACTGTGGGCACGTCTGGCTGACCCTGCAGCGCGAGGAACTGGCCAAAATGAGCCATCGCGTTTGCGTTCGCCGGTGATAGAGGTGGATCTCTGAGTGGATCTTCCGCAGATGCCTGTGCGGCCGTATGATTCCAAGGAGTCTCTTTCGAATTGCGCCCTTCTCCTGGCACCTGATCACCCGCAATGCGCCTTGCGGAAGTTGCAGCAGCTATATCGAGCTTGGCCTTTCTTTGTCTTAGGATCTCTTCGATGCTCAATACCGGTGCGCTGTCAGGATTCGCTTTCCCAGGCTTGGAAGACAGCTTCCCTGGCGATATGGTGGAAACGAGCTTGGAGAACAGAGTCTCAGGCCGCCGTACTTCGCCGGATGCAATGGGCGTGGGAGCTGCGTTTTGTTTGGATGTGCTGATCAGGTGGTGCTCGTTGCCCACAGGATTGCCAGCCGTCGCAGCAATGATAGGACGACTCAGCATCGTTGGTTGAAGAGGGCCGCCCACGACCGATTCCATGTCCATTGGACCCAAGTTCTCCTCTGCTTCGTCACTTTGCCATCCGGCAGGTTCGAGGTCATCTTCGTCATCATCGTCATCATCGAACACTCTCAGACCTTCAGGCTTCCATGTAAGTCGCTGCACATCCAGGTCATCATCAAGATGCAATTCCTTGAGATATCGGACGCATGATCCATCGTCAAAGTCCCCTTCTGGACGGATCTTGCCAAGGTGAGAAGAGAATGGGACCCAAGGTAGAGACTTCTCGAGCTTGCTCGCACCACTCCACCTGTTCTCTTTCTTGCTGATTTCCTTGCTGATTTCCTTCAACACATCAGACTGGCCACCGAGCTGATCCCATGGCCCAGTAACCTTGATCGGTGAAATGGCGGGGACGGGGACGCGCGCTGTGGTATCAACTTCACATAGCTTCTCACTGGCCATCATATCTAGCGCGGGCTTTGCCAGAGGACGGATCATCTCCGCGATGGTTGCAGCCGCTTCCTGGGCGCCTTCCTCGGGGTCTGTCATCTCGTCAATCGACGAAAAACGTGGAATGATGGTGTGAAGCTCATCAGTAAACGCAACCGTCTTTGCCTTTTTCGATGGCGGCTCTGATGAAGCCAAGTACTCCTGCTGCGGTAAGATCGGGCTCGACACTTTCAGACTTTGAAGCCTCTTAGATGTGTTTCGTGATGGCGTGGACGATAGTGCTGTATCTCCGACTAGGAAATCTCCAACCTGCTCGATGCCTGCCGCATGGGCTTGCTCTGCTTCAGCTTCGTCGCGCGCAATGATCTCATCATGTAGCATCGATGCTTCTTGCACAGTCGGATCCTCTGGGGTAGATGCAAGTGGCAACTGAGCGATAGGCGATGGTAACCGTGATGGAGACCATGGTGGAGATAGAGGTAGCAAGGTGGGTGAGGCTTTGTGGATGATCTGAGTGCGTTAGAAATGCTGCTTTGCACATCAGCCCCGACTTACGACATGCCTTGTGCTCACGCTCTCGTCTGACCCAGTCTTCCAGGCTTTCTTCATCCGTCGCCAGTATATTTCTCAAGAAGGCCATCGTTTCCGTACTGACTTGCCACTTCTCCGCTTCCAGCTCTTTTGCCAATCGTGCAGGCAGAGCGAGATTCACAGCACCCCATTCCAGGCTTTCATCCTTATCAGCGTCGAGCTTGAACGGCGTCATGCCTTTGGAAGTCAGACGAACTTTGTTCCGTTCCAGAATGGCTCTCATCTCCGAGTCTGGATCGCACTGCAACAGCGCTTCTTCCGCTCTGAGCTGGCGTAGAGGCGTGGGAAAATGATATCGCATGTCATCAGTCACATCGGCTTTGACATCTCGCATTACTGACGCCAGAAATTTGGCAGCTTCTTTGTCAACTTGCCAACGATCTTGGAAATGGCCTTGGCTTCGCTCTTGCGCGAGAATTTGTTCTACACTGTCGATGTTGGGTGGATCTGCGAGGAAATCGGTGTCGTAGGGTGGTGGTGGTGGCGTGGGATACCGGAGCTCATCTTGAAGATATTTCTGTTCTGCTTGCTCGATCATTGCACGTCTGAAGGATTCATCTTCGTCGTAGTAGACGTTGTCGTCTTCCATTTCGTCGTGCTGGTCCACACTGCCTTCCTTATATGGACCTTCATTCTGGGGTTGTTCCTCGTCCATACTACCGTCGTATTGCGCATGAGGCTCGCCCACCGCATCATCGTCGTCGTCGTAGGGAACGTCAGCATGGTATGTGTGAAGTTGATACACGTCCAGGTCTGAAAAGTCAGCATGATGGAAATGGCCACCGTCGAACGGGAGTGTTGCTCCGTATTCTGCTGCCATTGTGAGTACATTGCTCTATCTTGAGATGTACCACAGTGTAAGGTCAGGTAATGAAGATCAGACGTCCACAAGAGAGAGAAAGACGTGTACCTTCCCTTCCTCGAGAGAAATCCTCTTGTCGTCCGGACCTTCCTTACCTAGTACCGAGATTCTACATAACTGTACCTGCAGGTGCCTGATTACCTACATACCTTAGGTAAGGTACAAGAGAAGAAGTCCTACCTGTCTTAGGTTATCTCTGTACAGAATAAACGATACCTATCCCAACCTCCCAGAAAGCAGTCGAAGCTGTTCGTGTAAAGAAAGACTGTACCTAAAGCCTACAGGCAGAAGGTAAGGTAAGGTATAAGCCGGACCGATCGGCCGACGGACGGCCCTCCTTCGGTCTACTCGGCTACAAGTTCGGTTCCCCGTTTCCTTTTCTTTTCTTTTTTTCCACTGACGGTCTTTTTTGCATGGCATCGATCGATGGAGGATCGTGATACGCTGATCAGCCCACTACGCTAAGGGAAGGCCATATTCCGGGTGGATCAAACCAACCACAGCTGTACCAATAAAAAATTGCTCCGGGAGGTATGTGCTCCGATGTGGTGTGTGGTGTGTGGTGTACATGTGTGTGTCTCGTCTCGTGTTGTGAAGATTGTTGCTTTTTTTCTTTCTTTTTCTTTTTGCTGGAGAGGATGGAGATGATGGATAGGAATTCTGCTGGGAACCTATGATTCTCTTTTGGAATATGTACACTGCCTCCTTACATCCCGTCCTTAGGTAACATGTACTTCATTGGGCTAATTACCTTACTCGTGTACGATCAATCGATCAATTCTACAGGTGAGGTGACGTTGGAGTTGAGAGAGAAAAAAAAATAGACCAGACAGACAAATAGAGAAGAAAGGCAAAATGGTGGTGGTGGTGGTGGTGGTGGTGGCTACATGTACCTCTACCTAGCAATGACTCGTCGAGCATGTAATGAGCGCATTAGCGTGAACATGACGTTCTTCTATGCATTGTCTGAACGAAACTGGAGCGAAACGAAAAAGAGGGGGCGGTGATATTTGTATTTTTGCATTTTTTGCATTTGATCATGGAAAGGTTCAGGTACGTGTGCATGTAGGGAAAGAACGAGAGATATGTAGGAGTTACCTGTACCTGTACGACTTCCCATGGGATACTCTTGAGAGAAGAACTCAATAAGCTGAGGTGAGGGTCAGATACTGTGGTGTGATCTCTGTTGTATGATACCTATTGGTGGTATATCTCTCTGTCTTTCTTCATCTCCTCCATCGTCTTTCCACGAATGCATACTGTGCACTGCATGCACCTAGACTTTTCACAGCCAGCCAGCTCCTCCACCTTCTGTATAGGTAGCATACCTCAGGTACCTAATCAGGTCAGGACAGGACGTTTTTCTTTCTTCTCCTCTCCGACAACAATGCATTCCAGCTTTGCGTCATACGGATGTCTCAAATCAATCAAATCAGATCCGCTCCCAAACCTTTTAACACGCAAAAGACTTCCTCAGCGGACTATTCGGCTGTTGTTGAAAGTGAAGTGATCTCCTCGCGCTCTGTCCCGGCGCAACAGAAGGTGAAGAAGGCATTCTGGGTGAAGAAGGCATCCTAGGCGAAGAAGGCATACGAGGTGAAGCGGAGCCTCCACGACTTGACGACGTCGCTGGACTCTGCTCTCGAGAATCCCGACTGCTCAAGCTCAGCCTCGCCAACTCCTCTGGATCCCAAGCTAAACCCCCATATGTACCCTCTAACATTTCAATGCTATCTTTTTGACTCCGTCCTTGAGGGCTGCCGAAGAGATGTTCGAGATGAGTGTTGAGTTGGCTGACTCGTTTCTGTTTCTTTGATGTGCCTCTGGAGTCAGACGTCGAGGTGTTGTCACGGGAAGAAGCTGCTTCGGGAACGCTGTAGAGGAGGGTAGAAGTTCGAGCTGAACGGACAGCGCGGCCGCTACTGACACCGGATTGAGGTCGTGGTGCCATTGAAGATGATGAGGAAGTCCGCGGTTGTGGTGTGCGTGTCATGATTGTATGTGCTCGTCGACTTTACTTTCTTCCACCACTTGACCTGGCTTTGCCAACAGAATCGCTTGTGTCGTGGTGCGTTGTTGGGATGTATTCTTCACGTCGGTATGTGTGTGTGTGATGCGTTATCATGTAGTATACCAGTTGTGTTTGGGTCGTGTGGTGAGGTATCGTGATGTGATTGGTATTATAATTATTGTATTTCCGTCTTTCAAGTCAAGACGTAGAGAACTCCGTATGCCACGGGCACAAGAAGTAGAACGGGCAACATCTCGACCTTTTTGAAGTCGAGAAGGATCTACTAGCGAAGCGGTCTGTTTCTCGCTTATGAAACGAGGTATCGGCGATATAGTCCTTCAAGTGGTGGTAGTCGATACCGGCTCGGTTAAGTTGGGCTTTTGTTCCAACCGTTACTAACGTTTGATTCTGGAAAGCGTCGTGGCGGTAGAGTTGTCACAGATGGGGCGTGGGCGGTGTCTGTAGATGCAGGTCGCCGAGTTACAGAAGTTTAGTAGTTCCAACTTCCGTGGGTCTATACTATAGTACCAGTGCACACCGTACCGCACCCACGTATGTGTTAACAAGATGCAGGGTCCAAATGCGAGTCTTCGTGGGGAGGATACAGCACAGCAGTTGGCAGCAGGTCGAATCAGTGTCGAGTGGCGGGCTTCGATACCAGGTCTCTTATGCCTTGGCGGACCAAGTTTCGACCAGGATGATATAAGTTTCGGTGCCTGAAACAGGGAATCCTTCGGGCATGTGAGGGTCCAGAACTTTCAGACTTTCAAACTTTTTGTCTTCGCGCTCCTGAAACAGGGTGGGAAAGGGTCCGTCCGAAAAGGCATCAATCTATACCTCTCAAGTAAACAAGCAAGAGGTGAAGGAAAGTGTGGTGAGTGCAGATACAGTCTTATACAAGAGTTGTCGGCATCCAACCTCCAAGCTATGATGGAAGCTCACGTCAGGCCCATTCGCTCACCGCAGTGCGTGGTGCAATGGATGCCGATTCCGCCCGGAACCATTCACATGCTCGCCGGAACGCCGCGCGCCGGATCGCTGGGAGCTGGGTGTTATGATTGCTCCTCTGGAGCAATATGCTCATTCACATCCTGAGTGTTATAGGCATTCCTACTCTGTTGCTCTGTAGAGTTACATTGCGTATCAGGCTCTTGTAACTGTGATGAGTACTATTGATTCAAGCTGCCGTGACTTATTGCTGGGCGAACCTTTTTGTGGAAGGTGTTACCAATGCCAACGTGGAGATACTGTACAACAGGCTCAGGATCCTGATGAAGTTAGGTCGATAGAGATTTGCGGTGAGGACCTGTGGGGCAGTCTTAGACATCGTCATATTCGTATCGCATGGACTCGATACACATGCGTTAACAACGTGGCGGATATCGCGTGTGCTGGCACCTATTCTTCATGGTCCAGACCAGATACAAGAGCCGCAATTGACAAGACGTTTTTCGGTCTGCGATGCCGCACATACCGATTGCAGGGGAGCCAATGTTGCCGCCTTGGCTGACGCTACTGAATGTAGCTGCGCCTCGCGACCAAGACATACCACGACTTCGCAGCATAAGCGAGGGCTTTGGGCGTCTGCAAGGCGTATTCGTGACCATTGTTCCTCGTACGCCCAGCCCAATACGACTTTCGGCCTCGTGAGGATATGCCCGCGTTGGTTCTTCCGTCATCTGATACAGTGTCAGTCGAGTGGGTGGTCCAGCTACTCTCACACCATCTCATCATCAGCATCCTCATCCGAGATATCAATCTCTGCCCCCACGGCAGTTCCATCTTGCTGCTTCTTCCTCCTCGAAGCCCTCTTCCGCCTCCGTTGCGGACTTCCCTCCCTCGGCAAGCTGATGGCATCCAAAAAGGCGTCATTATCCATCTGACTCTTCAAGTGCGGCACATTTTCGATATTTTCCCCAGAAATCTTCAGCTTGGTCTCGAAGTTTTCATACGCAACGGGGTCTTCGTCATCGATGTAGTTCAACCGAATCCACCTCTCCTGCTCCGCCTCCTTCAAAATGCCCTTCAACTTCTCTTCTAACGTCTTTTCCTTGCCTGCACTTTCTGCAGTCTGTAGCAGACTTTGTGGGCCGGACTGAGGTTTTGATTGCGCATCTGCTTGAGCGCGTGAAGCAACGATTCGAGCACGTTCTTCTTCCGCATCGAGATGGTGGAAGACGGGGCGCATTTGAGCAGTTCCGTCAATTTTGGTGAGGTGCAGTTGGGAACCTTGGAAAGCTCCGACGAAATAGTGAGGTTTGCCTAAAGCGAGTTCGTCTTTGTGGTAGATGATCTGGCCTCCTAGGGTCTGGTAGTTATGGACTTTGTGCTCGGACTCGGCTTCTGGGAAGGACTGAAGGGACGTTTCGAGGTCGAGGTCGCGCTGGGCATTGTCCTTCAAGGGACCATCCCGGCGTGTATTTCGCTGGCGAGGGGGCGCGAGGCCAGCGGCGGGACCGTAGGTGCCCGATGCATTGTGAAGTTGCTTGGAGGCAGCGGTAGCATCGCCCCATTTGAGGCCGTTGTATTTATTGAAATTGTGGGACGTATTCAGCTTCACGTCCACCTCCATGAAGCCCGACCTGGGTTTGATGCGCATATCGTGGGGCTTGGCGCCGAATTGATTGTTGTAGGGTCGATTTCGAGGGCGATTGGGGTATTGCAGCAGCAATATCTGCTCCTGCAGCGCGGGAGTGAGAAAGACATCATACTCGGCAATGACTGGGTCGTCTTCCACTTTGGCTGCTGTGTTGGTGGTGTTAGTGCGATGAGGACGGGAGAATGGCAAGTGAAGTCTCTTTTGCACAGTGCGGACGAGCGAGAAATATCGTGCGACTTACGCGCCATGTTTCTGAACAAATGCAGCGAGTTCACTATGGGAGAGATGTTGTTGCTGTGGTGAAGAAGTGTGAATATTCCAGTATTTACAATACCTGAAAGATGGATCTGCCCCCTCCCCCACATCGGCTCCACTGCACGCGAACACGCGATCGTCGCGCGTCAAGCTACCTTTCCGGGGGAGGACTGATTACGCAGGTCATTGAGAGAGGTATGAAGTAATTCCACGGCCACCTTCTCACTTTCCATTGACGACGCTATTCCATTGTACACGAGAGAATCGAAACGGCTGCACAACAATCAGATGACGGCGATATAACGAACACGACAGCGGCAGACAGCACACACCAGAACCACACGCTCGCCACCACTCCCACAGCAACACCTCCACCATGTCATACATTGCGCCCATCCATCGCCCTTCGAGTGTGCGACATGCCATCAAGCTCTCCTTCACAGCCCCCGACGCGGAAGATCTGATCGTGGCAAAGGCCAATCGTCTGGAGATATGGGCCACCAATCCTCAACAGCCTGGCGATCCCACGCTGGTGCTGCAGCACACACGAGCCATCTATGGCAAAGTCACCATGCTGCAGAAGCTGAGGCCTGCGACGAGCCCCACCGATCACTTATTCGTGGGCACTGATCGATACAACTACTTCACGCTCAGCTGGGATGCAGACACCAGGCGGCTGAAGACGGAGAAGAGCATGGTGGATATCGCGGATAAGAGTGCCAGAGACAGTCAGACCGGTGATAGAGTGCACATTGATCCGACTGCACGCTTCATGACGTTAGAGTGCTATGAAGGCGTGGTGAATGTGCTGCCCATAGCCCACGCCGGCAAGGGAAAGAGGAGAGCAGCTGACAATGAGATTGGAGAGTTGGGAGACCCCATACCAGTACGCATACCAGAGCTATATGTGCGAAGTAGCTGCTTTCTACATAAGCGCCACGGAGGAACCAAGATTGCAGATCCAGTATTCGCAGTACTTCATGAGGACAGCCAGAACATGCCACGAATAAAGATCCGTGAGCTGGAATATCAGCCTTCACTTCGGCCAAATGAGGAGCCAGCGACGGCAGAACTGGAGAGAGGGCAGGAGGTGCAAGGCAAGATCGAAATGGGTGCCAGCCATCTGATACCCCTACCTGCGCCCACTTATGGCTTTCTTATCATAGGCGAGACGAGCATATCATACGTCGACGAGTGGAAGTACGAAATCGTCGACACGCAGCCTCTGGATGAAGCTACAATCTTCGTGGCCTGGTGTCAGATCGACGAACAGAGATTTGTGCTCGCCGACGACTATGGCAAGCTATACCTGCTCATGGTGCACCAAAAGGCAGACGGCGAATACCAAAGCCAACAAATCGATGTGCTAGGCGAGACGAGTCGAGCGAGCACGCTGGTCTACTTGGATGAAGGGCGCGTGTTTGTCGGTAGTCATCAAGGCGATAGTCAAATCATCCAGATCTTGCCGCAGAGAATAGAAGTGCTCCAGACCTTTTCCAACATTGCGCCGATTTTGGACTTCACAGTGATGGACATGGGGAATCGAAGCGCAGATGCGCCTGTCAATGAGTTTTCCAGCGGTCAAGCACGAATTGTCACTGGATCTGGAGCTTTCAAGGATGGCAGTTTGAGGTCGGTGCGATCTGGAGTGGGGCTGGAGGATAAGGGGAGTTTGGGAGATTTGGGTGAGCCGATATCAGCTGTCTTCAGCTTGCGCAGCGGTCCTGGTGTGCAAGCTGTGGATACACTAATTGCGAGCTTTGTCAGTCATTCAAGTGCTATTATCTTCGGTTCAGACGGAGATATCGAGGCGAGGGACGAGTTTCGAGGATTCGATCTCACCCAAAGTACGCTATATGCCGGGGAGCTTCCGAATGGCAGAGCGGTACAGGTGACGAGCTCGACTGTGCTGTTGACTGATACTGAAGGGGACATGATCACCGACCGATGGGAGGCGCCTGATGGTTCGTCGATCACATCTGTTTCTGCCGATGGCGATCATGTGCTTGTTTCGCTTGGTAGCGCAGCGCTGATCGTCTTGGATCTATCCGGCTCCAGTATTACTGTTGGGGCTCACAGACAACTTGGAAATGAAGAGCAGATATCCTGTCTGAGCTTATCCAGGTCATTACCGGGAGCTTGTGTGGTCGGCTTCTGGAAAGACAGTAAGGTCTCGGTGCTGAGTCTATCAGACCTGCAGCCTATTGCTTCCGAGAGCGTGGCCGAAGACGATAATTTGGCAGTCCCGCGCTCGCTGATAGTGGCCAGTATACTGCGAGATCAGCCTGCGACTCTCTTTGTTGGCTTAGCAGATGGAAATGTGGTTACGTACAGTGTCGAGTCGCTTCAACGACCCTTCTCAGCACGGAAGAGCATCATTCTTGGAACACAACAGGCCAACTTCACAGTCCTGCCGAGATCAGATGGCCTACAAAACGTATTTGCGACCTGCGAACATCCCTCGCTTATATACGGAAGCGAAGGGCGCATGGTCTACTCGGCAGTGACTGCGGACAGTGCTACTAGTATCTGCGCCTTTGACTCCTTTGGCGACTACGCAAACAGTATTGCCATTGCTACTGGCTCGGAGCTCAAACTCTCCTCTGTCGACGAAGAACGGACGACTCATGTACAAGACCTGCCTGTGTACGAGACTGTGCGACGTATAGCATACTCTTCCGAATTGAAAGCCTTTGGATTGGGCTGCATCAAGCGAACGCTGGCAGCTGGCGTGGAAGAAGTACGGAGCCATTTCAAGCTTGTTGATGAGGTCGCTTTCAAGGCGCTAGATTCTTGGGCACTGAATGAGGATGAGCTCGTTGAAAGTGTCATCCGATGTCCGCTCGATGACGGTACTGGTCTTGACGCAGAGAGATTTGTGGTTGGAACTGCATATCTCGATGATCAAGATGCCAACACCGCGCGAGGAAGAGTGCTCGTATTCGAGGTGACAGAAGATCGCAGAATCAAGCTCGTCACCGAAATGGCCGTCAAGGGAGCTTGTCGTTGTCTCGCAGTATGCAAAGGCCGCATCGTCGCAGCTCTCGTCAAAACTGTAAATCATCACGACCTTGTATTGCTCCATACGTCCGAACTAACGAGAGATCTAGGTCGTCATCCTCGCCTACGAATTCTCCCCTCCCAAATCTTCCCCCCAACTGATCAAAAAGGCCTCCTACCGCACCTCCACCGCCCCCATCGACATTTTCGCCTCGTCCTTAGATGGCCTCATCGCCATCTCCGACCTCATGAAATCCCTCACACTCGTCAAATATACCCCAGGCCGAACCGGCCAACCCGACTCCCTCGTTGAAATTGCCCGACACTTTGACACCCTCTGGGGAACAGCTGTTGCGCCCATCCCCGGCACTCACTCCTACATACAAAGCGACGCCGAAGGCAACCTCGTCGTGCTCGAACACGACCCCACAGGTTTCAGCGCCGAAGATCGAAGACGCTTGAGAGTGACGTCAGAAATGTGTCTGGGTGAAATGGTCAATCGTATTCGACCCATCACGACTGTGATTACCCCTTCTGCGAACGCAGTGGTTATCCCCAAGGCATTTATTGCCACTGTAGAAGGCAGTGTTTACGTTTTTGGGACGATCGCGCAACAGTATCAGGATTTATTGATTCGATTACAGGGATCGATGGCAGAGATGGTCAAGAGTCCTGGGTTTGTGCGATTTAATCGTTTTAGAGGTTTCAAAACGCAGGTGAGGGATATGGGCGAAGAGGGACCTGTGAGGTTTGTCGATGGGGAAATCATCGAGGGCTTTTTGGGTTTGAGTGCAGAAGTGCAGGAGAGTGTTGCGAAGGATTTGGGAGTCGAGGGCGGTGGAGAGCTGTTGAGAGGATTGGTTGAAGGTTTGAGGAGGGTGAGATGATTGAATTTCCGAGATTAATGAGAAATGTTGTGAGTGAGCAATGCAATGCGTACCCCATAGTCGAGATGGGAAGGTAGGTAGAGTAGGATAAGCTGTCGTAGACGACCGACTCTCCTACAGACAGTAGATGCACAGAGAGAGAGAGAGAGAGAGAGCCGCGAGACAATAGTAGTACGTACAGTGAAAAAAGACCCCCCAGTAAAGACGCAGAACATAAAGCCACCTCCTTCTCCTCCACTTACCTACCTCCTAAGGGTACCTACCTACCTACCTTATATTTTCAAAATCCCTGCAATCACGACCTAGAAGAAGAACGCGATGGAGGCAGGCGGTTGTGGTCTAGCCGCAGCAGACCATGTGGTTTAGATAGGTAACTATCTAGATCCTTCATTCAATTGAGGCTGTTTGCCTAGGTAAGGTACCTACATGTACATGTACATGTAGTCGGAAGTTAGAGGATAGGAATGTAGAGGGCTGGTGGTGGTGGTGGTGGTGGTGGTGGTAGTGGGTTGAATGTAAGATGTTAGTAGAAACTTTAGGTACAAGGTAAGTATTGAATACGACTCGAGTGTTAGCAGATGGAAGGTATAGTGTCACAAGTAAGATATGTAGTCAGAAAGGCAGGGCATGGCAAGGCAAGGCAAGGCTTGGGAAAGAAAAGATGAAAGTGGTTCGGAAAACACAGCCTAACAATTGGCCTCTCTCCAAAAGAATGCGTTGGATATTCTGCACACCGCTCGACCTGATAGTAGCACAGTCCCTCTCCCATAACCACCAGAGAAGAATCAGCCCCAAAGGGCATCAAGTCTCTCTCTCCCATCTTCCTCCCTCTTCTTCAAAATCAGGTGCTCTCTCACCTCATCCCTCTTCTCCAACTCCTCCGCCACCGTCTTCTGTGGATCAAAAGTCCACACAGCACTCAAATCCTCCTCTGTCTCCCCACTGACCCAACGGCCCTTACTGAGCAAATTCTCCCAGTCATCCTCATTCGCCACGTGAGGATTAACCCAGACATTGATTTCAAATCGAAAATCTTCTCGCATGAGATGACGCACGGAAAGATTCAGTGCGGAAACCATCTTTTGTAGGGCGGCGGCCATGTCGGAGAGACTGTGGTGTTGGGATTGCATTTGCCACAGTGCAAGTGGGACGAAGACTTGTGCTTTTCGGATTTCGATGCGGTTGGGCTCGGGGATATCGGCGAGCCATTGGGCGACTTTGTCGCCGAGAGTGCAGCGGAAGGTGGTCGCGGCGTAGAAGAGGAGGTGGGCGTCGTTGTAGATTTGTCGACAGCTCATGAGGAGGGGAGGGGCTTCCAATTTGGGGGCTGTCGTACAGGATGTCGAGCTGGGGTCCTCGGCTTTGAATGCCATGCTGTAGATGGTGTTGCGAAGCTCTGGTGGCAGGGCGAGGAATTTGGATGGCTCGTGACGCTTCTCGGTAGCTTGTCTAAAAACCATGACTTGAGACATGCTGCTGTTGGCGATTGTTAGTGCGTGGTGGTGGTGGTGGTGGGGTGAAAACTACAGAGGCTTCATGAATGTACTTACTGACTGCGTGAGATGTGATGTGAATTGTTGTAATGTTGTATTGCTGCAATGTTGTAATGGTGGATTGAGTATGAGCGTGGTTGTGAGAATGCAGGCAAACGGAATGTTGTGTTAGAACGAAAGAGAGAGCAGCAAACCTGCGTACAGTATATACCAGACACCGCACAACCAAATTTCTCAGAAGCATGCTATGACTGTGTTTGTACCGTTCTCACTTTTCCAAAGCCCAAGGTAGAGCAGTACCTAGAATTGGTATGTATGGTATGGTATAGTGGTCCGTGCGCGGACCTGAGCCATGGCTTCGACCACACTCTGATATTTCGACCGAGTAAGAAGACTTGGATACAGGCTTTTGACACTAAGAGTCGACTGACCAGTTCCTACTTGGGTCGGCATAGGCGCGCCGCCTTTCGGAATGGATGCCTTCATCCCAATGCAAGTCCTTCGTGACGCCTGCGATGCTCCGACTGTTCCGGGGGTCAGCCAGCTCCACGATGACATCCATCACCGAAGCCAAGGTAGCCTTTGGGAGCAACCATACATAACGACGGTCCGACGCTCACACACAGGCCGACAACGCCGCTCATACTTCTTGAAAGCTCCCACCGAAGCCGACTCGACGCAGTGAGAAAAGCCTGAACCCGGGCGTGATCCCGCCCTCTGTCCCAGAGGCGGCCGTCACTGCAAGCCACTGGATCCGTAGAACTTTCAAATTCCTCCACAGATACTCGCGCACCTTGCCCTCTGGTGCGCAAGAAAGATGCCATCATCCAGTCCTCGACTCCCCCATATGCTCCACACACACCCCTCGTGCCCTTCCCGTTCTGTTTACTAGCATTTTCACTTTCGCATCCTTGAAATATTCCATGTAATCTCAAGTCCCGATATTCCCGTAGAAAAATGTGTCAGCAAAAAGGAGAATAAAGAGAAAATTATGACCGTGTCTATTTTCTCTCTCGCACACACATCTTGGCAAACCCTGCGACAAACTCAATATATACCTTGGATAGCGAGCGCAGGTACAAAGGAAAACTTACCAGAAAGGGTCCATCCAAACATCTAGCACACCTACCTTCCCCAGCCACCTTGGGAACAAGAAGGTAAGGTAGCCATTTCGGAAGCTTTCCTGGTCCCAAATTCCGCGTCTCGACACTTTCTTTTCCATACCGGCGGGGATAGAAGAAATCTCAGAGGCGTGAGTGATGTCGTAGGCGATTTCAAGATCGGAATCTCCAGTTCGTCGTGCAAAGAAGATGGAATGGGTCTGTAGCGTACGTCAGGTCAGCTTCGATGATTCTTTTCCTTTGTTTCCCTTGTTTTTCCATCTAAGAAAGAGATGATTTGTGCGTGGTTTTCAATGTTGCCAGTTGTATACGCGAGATCTTCGCTTCGAATTTGTCTTCTCTTTCGTGCTATACCATGCCATGCCGCAAGGAACACCAGACACCACGCTGAATGACGAACAACAACCAGAAGTATGCACGCGGGCACGTCTCCATGCCGAGTCCAGGATGCTCTCGTCTGTATCGAGCTGAACACAAGCAAATTCAATTCGCCTCCTTCTGCGCTTCAGTCTCCTTCGGCTCAGGCTCCTTTTGCGCGATCGCATCCAACTCAGCTAACCTCAGCCTTGTCTTCTCCGCTTCTTCGGCCTCTCTCTTCATCGCCTCCTCCTTCTCGACTTGCTCTCTCTTTTCCCTTTCGGCTCTCTCCTTCGCCTCAACCTTCTCCCTCTCTACACTCTCCAGCGCCTCCAACTCATCCTCGACTTCACCTTCATCGACCTCGCCCATCGCGACCTCACTGATCGCATTCCCAATCTCCTCGGTATCCATCATATCATTCCTCAACCCCTCCATGACATCTTGGACCTTCTCTACTCCGCCCGTCTTTTGGTTCAAGGCTTTCAAAGCCTGTCCACTCTGTTCCAGCACCCTCACAATCTGAACTTGATCAGCAGCTTGTTCGATCTTCGCATATACATCTTCCAATTGGGCGAGTGTAGCTGTTCGTTGTTCTAATTTCGTCGTAGCGGCTTTCTTCTGTCGAAGGGCAGTCTTGGCTTGTAGAAGGTGTTTCTCCGTTACCGCGCTTCGGGCTCGGATGTCGAGAGTGTGGATTTGTGCTGTGAGGTGGTCGATCTGGGGCTGGAGCGACGAGATGAGAGAGCGCAGAGAAGCGATTGAAATGTCTTCTTTCGTGATTGGAGTCGCGTGTTGTTGGCCAGAGGCTGCAAATTTGATGACTCCAGAGGTAGGATCGTAGACAATAGCGTCGCGGTCACGGGACAGATGTGTAATGAGGACGTTCATGTCATTGGGACTGAGAGTGCTCACGCCCAGTGTTTCGGAGAATGTGGTGTCGAAGAGCTCCCGGGAGAAGATGCGCTCGGAATCACTGGTAGCTGTTTTGTTGGCCTTTTCAACAACAGCTTTTGCCGCAGCTTCCACATTGGCGACTACCACGAAACTCCCCTTGACCAATTTGTCCTCGCTGCTCGCACCTCCAACCACGCCTAATTGGCGTAGGCCCCAACTGACGACCTGCCATGGCGTGGGGATCCAGCTTTTATGATAGAGCGATTCTTTCTTTTCCAGGAAATCCTTCAGCGGCACGAGGGCTTTACTGTTCACGGCGTCTTCCAATACAGCGCCCAAGGCGAGCGGTCTCCCGTACTCTTGTGTGTTCAGCTCTCGCAGCAAAGGCTCTCCACTCTCAATCACGAATCTGCTGTTCCCGCCTGCTTGTCCGGTGGGTGAAGGTACCAGGCCTGCTTTGGCTGCTGAAGATAAGGCGCGGAGCCACGCGGATGAGTTGGCTATGTAGCCATCGTGATTTGTGGTGCGTTGAAAGCGGAAATCGCTGTAGAGAGAAGCAAGTCGGGCGCGGCTGTGGTGATGGCACGTTAGGAGGAGGACATATCACTGCAGGGGAATGGTGATCAGATGGGGTGAGTCTTCACCTACGAAATGCTTCATCGTGAGTTCGCAGGAACTCGAGAAGCTCGCTCATTATGCTTGAGGAATCAAGGCAGCGGTACTTTGAAGACAGCGGCAGCAGGATACATGTATGCAAACATGTGTGAGTGAGGTTGTAGATATGTAATGTGCCAACGCGTTTACAGAATCAGTGACGTCGATCAGAGTTTTGTCACATGCCTCGTTCTGCTTCCTCCTTGTCTGCCGAAGATTCTCCCAGATACAGAACAGGAACAGCTACACGTCTGTTGTATGTACAGGTACACGTTTCCCATCCGAGATCACTCCACAAAGTTCATCAACTGGACATGATGCACCTCCGCATCCTTCACCCCATTCCGCAACAGATGAATATTGTCCTTGAAAAGCTGCGTCTCCCTAACTTTCATATGAGCATCCACACTCTCCCACCCAATCACCAACACCGCCGCTCTTCCCTCCAGCCCTTCCTTGGGACTCTTCAAATTATCCTCGTGAGACAAACCCAGTGCCGCACCCAAGAAACCAGCAGTCTTCTCATTTTCAAATATCTCGGCAAACTTGCGAGCACCCTCCAGATAGTCTGCAGGTGCTTCTTTGCTTCCAAAGTAGAATGTAGCGACCTCGGTGACGGGAGCGCTGGTGGCTTTGGTATAGCCGCCAGCAGGCTCGAAGTCTACGTGGAGCATAGAGGGTGCTCCGCCGGCGATGGTGAGGAAGCGGTTCAGGAAGGGTTGGTAGGCTTCTGTTGCCATGAAGGTTTTGTGGTGGGAGAGGGAGTTCCAGTCTGGAGAGCAAGGTTAGTCATTCCATTTGGAAGTTCGTTAAAGGGGAGTATGAATGTTCTTCTTGAGGTACATCGTGTGTGGGACCTGTTCCAGTCGAAGAGAAGAAGTGAACTTACCAACGTGTAACTCAAAGACATCTGGTTTCTCCACCGTTGTCCCAAATTGAATCTGCTGGACCCCATCGGTAGTCTTCAGAGTACCTCCAACTTCTTTGAGAACCTTGGCAGCTTCATTCTGCTGATCTCCAATATCTGAGCCTGCCGATAGCGGACAGACGAGGAGTTCCGTAGTTGTTGGCATCTTGGTGCTTCTGGTATACTTTCACAATGCAGAGATGTTGTCTTGCTTCACTTCACGATATTTACGTGTGGACGGGGCAAAGGGATCTGTCCGAGGTAATGGAGCAGCAAGGGTAGAAAGTTGGAGCTTCCCAAGGTATTTATTATTCTGCGGAGCTGGAGCTTGCGGTGCACGGCTGACAGAAGCCAGAATCACCGGGATCGCTTGGTGTAGAACTAACAACGATCTCCTACTTAATTAGACCGCCGATGCATCGGATTCAGATTCAGTGCTGTGTCCCGCTTACCATTACCCCGCTGCGTGAAGGAACAGCTCGAATTCCCTAAAGCGGCAGGATTAGACTTCAAGTCTTGGGGAGCGCTGGTCGCCAGCACACTGCTTTCATGTTTTGCTCTACATAGCTCTTTTCATGAGAGCGTGACAAGTATTACCCGTAGACATACACGCAAGCACACACGTACAGCTGTGCGCGAATCCCAACCATGGCACTCGTTCCTCAGTGACCATGACCATCGTCTTCTCCGCCTCTCTGCTCCGGATCCAGCTTGATGAGCGTGTCGATGCGCATGATAGCCACACACGCTTCCACGGCCGACTTGAGCTGCTTCACTTTGCTCATGCTTGGCTCCAGCACACCAGCCTTCACACAATCGTGTACCTTGCCCTTGGACAGATCCAGACCGTAGTTCTTGTATCCCTTCGCTTTGGCCAGAGCCTTCGCGTCAGCATCAAGAGCTTGCTGGGTCGCGTTACGGGCAGCAGGCGCAGGGGGAGCCCCATTCGCTGGTGCAGGCGCGTGTGCTGAGGCAGGCTCTGAGGTACGTTGTGAGAGTGCGTGTCGCGATCGCAATTGTGCAACGAGCTCCGAAGAGTCCTTGGCAGCGTTGACTGCGAGTGTGGTAGGTATGACCAAGAGAGAAGCAGCGAAAGCACCAATCGCGAGCTGTTCTCTTGAGCCGACAGATGTGGCCCACTCCTCGAGGTAGATGTGCAGAGCAGTCTCGACAGCACCACCTCCTGGCACGATACGGCCAGACTCCAGTGTGCGCTTGACAGCCGACAGGGAATCGTGAACAGAGCGCTCCATCTCGTCCAGCGAGTACTCGTTGGCTCCACGAAGAATGACAGACGCAGCAGTGTGCACCTTGGGCCCCTTGACGAGAATGCATTCATCATCTGATATCCGCTCTTGCACAACCTCCTTGGCCTCTCCCAGACTCTTGGGGTCGAAGAAATCGTCTCCAGTGTTGATGTCCGCAAGTGTGCTAATCATTGTCGCCCCGGTTGCCTTCTCTATTCTCCGCAGATCCTCCTTCTTGCACCGTCTTACGGCCATGGCTCCCTTCTCGATGAAATGCTTCAGGCACAGATCATCAATGCCCTTTGTTGTGAAAATCACGTTCGCGCCAGCCTTGAGGATCATCTCTACCCTCTCCACAACCATGCTGCTCTCCCTCTCCCGAATCTTCTCGAGCTGTGCCGGGTCGTCAATCACAACATTCACCCCCATCTTCATTCTCTCCTTCTGTAAGTTCATGTCCAGCACCGCAATCTTTGCGTCCGTAATTCTCGTCTTCATCGCTTGCGAGGCCACCGTGCAGTTGAGAGCATAACCTTTCACCAGCTGCGATTCCAGCGCGCTCTTTCCATGTGCCTTGAGCACATTGACTGCCTTGACAGGATACTTGACTTCTCCTCTTGCGTTCGTCGTCTTGACACTCGTGATGGCATCCACAACCATGTTCGCGAAGAAGTCATCGTCTGCGCCGATAATCTTGCTGCTCATGGAAGTCTTCGCAATGTTCACCAAGCTGTCCCGTCCTAATGTCTCGACCTTCGTGGCAATATTCTCGTTCATATACCTGACCGCCTCTCGCAGCGCAAGTCTGTAGCCGGTGATGATGGTGGTTGGGTGTATCCGCATCTTCATCAGCTCGTTTGCTCGTCGTAGGAGCTCTGCTGCAATGAGGACGACTGAAGTTGTGCCATCGCCCACTTCCTTGTCCTGCTGCTGTGCGAGATCGACCAGAATCTTTCCTGCTGGATGCTCGACGTTCAGGAGCGCGAGAATAGTGGCTCCATCGTTGGTCACCGTTACATCTCCAATGTCGTCGACCATCATCTTGTCCAGACCGGAAGGCCCGAAGCTGGACTTGACAATGTTGGCGATTGCTTGCGTGGCGAGAACATTTTGGTCGCGAATATCACTGCCGGAGATCTTGGTGCCCCCCAGGAAGAGAGTACCACTGCGGGACTGTTCGAACATGGCTGCCATGGTGGGCAGGGCGGAGGGAAGAAGTTCTTCGCAGCTTTCCGGTGGCTTCGTTGCCTGAAGTGATGCGTGTGGTGGGCGCGTATGGGTTCAAGGGCGTGAGGTGGGCGCGTATGTGTATGTATTGATTGTGGAAACAGCTCTCATCAAATTTGTTTCGAGCAAGTCAGAACGCGGACGTGTAATCACACCTCAGGCCTTCCGCCAAGACTATCCATCCTCTTCTCTTACTGCTTGTACCTGCATGTACATACCTGACATTACCTACATCCTATATACAACATGCACAATCAACTAACAATCCCCATCTCCAACCTCACCCCTAACTCCCCTTCACCTCCGCATCCTCATCATAACACTCCCCATTCAACAAATCCTCCATGTCCATCCCCACCCCCAACTCCTCCCCCTCCCCAAACAACCTCGAAAGATCCACATCCAAACTCTTCACCACCTTCTCGCCATCATCAGGCCAATACCCCGGATCCTTCAGCAAATTCTCCAACACTTCATCCTCATTTCTCTCCATTTTTCTCGCCATCGACCCCTCGGGTGTAGCTGCGGCCAGAGGTCGACGTTCGTTGAATCCATTTTTACAATATGAGCATTGTTCTGGCATTGAAGGTATTGTTGCTGATGTACCCGTCTGATGATGGTTTTGATTTTGATGTCGATGAGGATGTCGATGAGGATGAGGATGTTGGCCATGGACGATGGTATAGCAGGATCCGAAAACTGCTGCACGGGGACAGCAAATGATGGGGAGAAATTCGCCATGGCCGCAGGAACACCATATTAGTTCTTGGGTGCACATGTTTTTTCTTCCCTCTCTTTTCGAAAACCAACTGTATATCAGGCTTTTTCTTCTTTCTCTTGGAGGTGAGAGAGTGAAGAACGGTGCTTGACTGTTGGAAGGATCCAGAAACATTTTTGTATACATTGTTTGTGCCAAATGGCAAACTCAGGCACTTATCCGGTAGAAGTCACTTCTTCGGGCAGATGAGCAGAGCTATTCTGTGTCACTGGTAGGTTCTTTTTCTTCAAAGGCCATGCAGATATGCTCATGCTTCTGCATGATCTTGCACCACTGATCTGGTATTTACAGAGTAGGTAATATAGGTTTCACGAGATCTGTCTCGTGTCCTGTCCATCCAAGATAGGGATACCTCCTTACTTGTCGAAAAGATATCAAGCCTCGCAACCACCAATGCCTCGACCAATTTTCCTCAATTAAGGTACCTACCTGTACCTAAATAGTGTCCGGCCACATTTCTTTTATCTATCCGGATTACCTTACCCTTCACATAAATACTGCAATCCGCATCAAACGCGGACTGCTTTCCTGATGACTTATGATCTAGCAGCCTCGCAGTCCAAGATAAGTGAATGATTGTGACATTGATGTCAACGACGCTAGATGATTCTTCTGTCAACAGCATGCATGGGCGAAAAAGATAGATCCACTGGGGGCTTCCTTCTGAATGCAGTACAATATTCTTTTGGAGAGATTCTGAATCCATCAGGATGATCAGGATGATGATGTATGTCGTGATAAGTACCACTTTCTTAAATGATACAGTATAGTAAAATGGACTCGCGAGATTTCTTGTAGCTCGCCATTCAGAAGGAAGCCCCCCGTGGATCTATCTTTTTCGCCCGAGGGGCCGATCTGACTCTTCAGTATGTAGCCCATCAACAAAGACGCAATCGGTCGCGGGAGCTGATCAACCGCAAAATTCAACCAACAAACCAAACAAAAATATATTCCCAAACATCAAAAATCCGCCCGACCCAGATCGATCAGAAGACAAGACCAATACTCACCAGCTCACTCCCACCCGCTCCCACCCGCGCCCCATAAATTCAACTAACTCCCCCCTCCCTGCTCTTCCTCCCACCAACTCTTCTCCCGATGAGCCCAAATCCACCACGCCTTCTCCGGCGTCCCCTCTCTCCTCCCATCAGGCAAAATCGTCGCCTGCACCGGCAAAGGAACATGGCGAATTTTAATAAAATTCTTCCAAAGCTCTTCATCCCCTTGGGGAATTTGAGGAAGAGGTGGAGCGTGCGATTCTAAAATACAAAAACATTCTTTGCCTCCGGCGGGCCACCAGGCGGTGTTGGGGAGGAGACGACATCGTTCGACGTAGTCGGGTTGACAGGTTTCGGTGAGGAGTTGTTGTTGTTTGTAGAATTTTTGGGGGGTCGGGGTGGCGGTGGGGGTGATGGTGATGTTTTGGGTGGTTGCTGGGAGAGTGTAGGTGAGAGTGGAATCGGAATCGGAATCGGAAGGGGTGGGAGTGATTGTTAATGTTGAAGGTGTGGGGGTGATGAATAAAGTCCGAATGGCTTGGACGTCTCGCTTATTTTCTTCTCGCTCGGTGGTGGTGTTGGTGGTAGAAATGAACTCGGGGTGTGCTTTGGCGTGAATTTCTTGGAGGACGTCTTCTTGTCTGATTGAAGACAAGTGTTCTGTGCGTGGTTCGGTATAGCGGGCAAAGTGTCTCGGTTGGCCAGTGGATGCAACGGTCGTGTTGCGTTCGTCCATCTCGTCTGGGTTGAGAGAAGACAAAGGCTCTGCGAGAGATTCAGAACGCACATTGCGCGCAGGGACTTGGGTTTGGGTGACTGAAATGAGGCCATTTGTGCTTTCTGTGTCGTTGTAGTTGCTTCCTCTAGCTTCGGTTACGGCAAGGGCTCCGTGAATCGCATAACTCGCGAGGGCTGTAACTGACGACAGCTTCATGATGCTGACCTCCAAAAGTGAATGCTGGGTGCAGTTTGATCTGACGATGTCGAAGAAAGGAGCTGGAACTACTTAAGGTCAGCAAGATCAAAGCGAATTTGTCCGAGCCAAGTGGTGCCGAATTGTATGGAGCATAGGCTTCGTAAGATTTCTGGTACTCAGTATTTGGAGACGTGGATGTGTATTTGCTATGACTGATAACCTACCTGATCCAGCTCACGGACCTAGGTTATGTGGCGTGACTCTGGTATGGAAGCTTGGTGGGAACCACTCACGGAGACAGCATATATATCTTACCTTTGCTGTCCTCAGCCGCGATATGAAGCGGCTTGAACCTACCTAGATTTTCATGTCTTTCATTCATTATCGTCAGCATGAAGTTTGATACCGTCCCTTCAATTCTGATCTACACAGTTCAGAACAGGCAAATGAGTATCGAAAAGGCGAGTTCTCCAAAACAGTCATCTCTGCGATGTCGATAACGAGTCAAGAGTCGGTCGTTGTCAAGACGCTCGATCTCTCAAGTATCATTGGCTTCATGATTCGAGTATGTCTCGTCCATGCGTAGTGCACTACTTTTTCACGGTCCACATAATCCTCTCTCTCTCTCATCCCTCATGATGTTGTCTCGACATTATCTTCTTCGTAGCCTTCCGTCTTGATATCGTTCAAGCCAAGATCTTCTTCTTCATCGTGCGTCCTGGTGTAGTCCTCGAGCTCTAGCTTCGGATCGGGCTCAGGTGCAGTCAAGCTTTGCACATATGAGCCAGCAAGAGGATCCTCAAGGATGAGTGTGAATTCTTTGCGACCTTCAATGGCATCACCAAGCAGTGTGAAGAAATCCTCCCATTGCTTCTTACTGTCAGATGCCATTGAATCACCAGAACCATCAGGCAGATCCGCATCGCCATCCTCAAGGCCAAAGGCTTGTCCTCGCAAGTCTTTCCGAATGTTGGTCATAATGCCTTCGACGGTAGTGAAGCGGCCTCCCATGGTACCAGGCTCCACGCGCAACTGTAGCTCTGGACAGCTGAGCGCGGCGCTCTCGCTCTTCAGGATATCTCGCGCCAGATCTTCCTTTGTGCTGACTTTCAATGTAATCTTTCGTCCCTTCTCCGGCACTTCGCCACCAGTCTTGACCTCGTTACTTCGGTAGCCGCAAGATTCACAGACTGTTGACATTAGCACAACCTGCTTGAAGAATGGAATATTCACCATCTTCATGTTCGTAGCGCATGGTCTCGTGCAGCCGGGACATGATGCGGGGAAACTGTAGACTTGATTCTCTACAATGTCTTCTTCCTGATCGACATTATTGGCCTGTACTGCTGCTGTAGGATCATCTCCCCCAACGAGGCCTTGTGAATGGTATTCGGGCCGTAAAGAAGTCTCAGGTGCTTCAGTTCCTGGTGCTGGCACGTCGTCTCCAAGTCCAAGCGCTGCATTCTGTGCTGCTGTCCGGATATACTCGCTCTTTGCCCATTTGCCTGCCGCATCACCTGGCCGTGGCTCGATCGTGCTATTGCCAGTGGGGTCATCCACGGATATCATGAATGGGTATTTGTGTCCGTTGAGCATGTCTTCCATTGTGCGAATGATCTCTGCCACCTTCGCACCGACTTCTGGCATTTGCTGCATGCGCGCGTCTTGATGCGACTCCAAGTCATCCTTGACTGCTCGGATGATGCCCTCAACGTTCGAGTACTGTCCCTTGCCAGGAGGAATCTCCAAGTCAACATCCTCTATCCTGAATGCGCACACATCGCTCTTCACCACATTGCGCTGCAAGTCGTCCTCCTTCTCCACTCGTAAGGCGTATTTCGCACCCTTGGGCTGAATCTGGCCAGCAGACTGAATCTCGTTGTTTTGGAAGCCGCACTTCTCACAACTGAACGACATGATAACGATTTCTCGGAAGAATGGGATTCTCGTGAGCAGCAGCCTGGTAATTCCATCTTCGTGACAATTCATGCACAAGCTCTCAATCTCGTCGACCACTTTCTGCTCATCGTTGTTATTGGACACCTCTTCTGCCTTGCGACCCATGTCCTCGAAGAGATCCTTGGCCAAAGAAGGCTGCCCGCCGCTGGTTTGCACCATGTCTGTTGCTTGTGGGATTCCCATGATGTCTGGTGTGTTTGGTGTGTCTGGTCTTTGTGTGAATCGTGATTTTTACGCAAAGAAATTGCATGTGACTGGGTTTTGTCAGCATCCTGAGGCCAACAATGACTAATGACGCAAGAAACATGCCTATCGATAGCAGGGGTCCATAACGAGAATGTTCTAGCGGGGACTACCCTAGTTGTAAAGCTCGAGCCACACTCTACACTCCACACGATCAATATATATTACAGCCACTACCGCCACTATACGCAGTCGAGTTCCATCTCACATCTTCAACAATATGCACTGGTAGTACACACAAATATCCTGTCAATTGTGTGATCAAGATTTGACTTAGATCTCCTCTTCCAGCAAACGGGCTGATTCTCCTTTGCAAGACCCCGTATCCCCAGCTGAAAACATACATGTAATGGATAGGTATCACCAACCAGTTCTGGGCGATATTCTGGCACCCTCCTGAAGAGCGCAAGTCAAGTCTTCGCTATCTTCTGTTCCTCAGTATGTCTGGAAAGGTTGAAGTATTTTAAATACTGGTGAGTGGAGCCTGACAGATCTCCCTGAACAGGGGCACATACGTTCACTCATCATTGTAGTCCAGAACTGCTTGTCACACGACGCGGCAAGGTTGCAGAATTGTGTATCGCAGGTGCAGGGGTAACGGTATTCTGTTCACAGATTTAATCATTCGATTCGTGCATTCGCGCACGCACTACCAGCCTCTCAAGGCATTGAAGAAGCTCCACCTAGTCGTACAAACTCTCGACCCACTCGACTCTTCTTCTTCACGCGACTCGGCCTAACAGATCTCCAGCAGAAACAGATTCTAGCTGCTGAGTGCGCTATCACGGACGCGCGCCTGATTGATCTCTGTCTCCTGTAACTCTCTCAGATCGCCAGTATTTGCAACATCACCAGTAAGCAGAGCTCCACCAATTTCTTTGGCGAAACCCAGAGCGCCGGTCGTACGCTTCCAGTAAGTGATGTACTTGCTCTTCACCTCAATGCTATCAGGGTATCAGTATCAAATGCCGCTCAAAAGTGGTCAAGGAGCACACTCACAGTTTCATTCTCGGATCTTCTGGTCCGCCATCGTGAACACCATCACCAATGTCACCAAACCAGACTTTCACGGGCTTGGAATAGATCTCCTTGATGCGAGGATCGTCGTTCGTCATACAGACGACCTCTCCTGTGACTGAGACCCAATCTTCCGTCTTGCTATCACGGAAGGAAAGCTGGACTTCTTTGTTGGCTTCGAGATCCTTGACCTTGGTACTGTTGGCATTGGCCAGGAAGAGAAAGTCTGGACCTGTTCTCTTCGCGACGGCCATGGAACGACCGACGGGCTGCAAAACAAGTTAGTCCCACGTCAAGGTGATATTTCAATTCACACGAGATGCGTGCATGTACGTACTCCGACTCCAGGACGATAGGTATTGAAGCTGGCAGTCTTGATCCTATCAGTAATCTCGTAAAAGTCGACGAACTTGTCGGTTGCTGAGGTCTTGCTGTCGTATTGCTTGGTGACTGACGGGTCAGTCTTCGCATCAACTTTGCTCAGGCGTTCAGGCATGGTGAAGGTGGTTGCTGCTGTGAAGCTTCTCGTGGCGTGTGTGAAAATTGCGTGTCTGAGAAAGAAGGCAGTTGCAGGTACAGCTCGGAGGGATTTGAGCATCTGGGGAGGGTTTAAAGGACTTTTTCTCTTGCGGTCAGTATTCAAGGCAGGACACGACAGTACAGTACAGTACATGTATGTAGTCGTGATGTATGTCTGCATGTACGTGTATTCGGGTTGCCGATCCTTGTAGCTCGACATTCAATGATCATTATGCCGTCATCGTCTTGGGAAGGGACGACCACATTTCGCCTTCCTCTTACGGATATGAAAACAAATCGGACAGCTTCGATATTTCGTAACGTACAAGCACTGGATAGGTACCTGAGGTACGATACATGTTGCGAAGCTGTTATAGCATGGATGGATGTACCGACGAACCAGTCTCTTCTTGGCGTTGGAAGCAAGTGAATTCCAGTCCTCCAACACTAGCCAGATCGTGACAAGCCTCGTCATTCGCGGCTCCATACAAGCATGCGGCATCAAGTGCTGCTGGACCTCCTCAGGTCACTCACCTCCACTCTCTGCGTCCGCGTGAGCACGTCCATCAAACGTCCCTTCAGATCAGATATGCTCGGCATCTCCTCCGCATCATCAGTCAGCATGGCCGTCACGCATTCTTTAACCTTAGCAGACTGGTGACCAGCACAACTAGCAAATTTCGGGGGAAATTCACCCTGACGCAATGACTGGAGCGTCTGTCGACGTTCCATTTGCGTGCCAAATTTGCAGAGCAATTCACAAGCGATGATGCCAAGGGCAAAAATGTCGAGACGTGGACTGGCGGGAGAAATTGTAGTTACAGGCCTGTAGATTGCTGTTCCCACAGCCGCTGGGGAAGACTCTGGAAGTGCTTCGGGCTCGGCAATCTGGGTGACTAGGCCAAAGTCGCCGATGCAGATTGATAAAGTGGCCGGATTCGGGTTGCCGCCTGTATGCATTAATTAGGTACATTAGCCAGAATCGTGACGATGACGGAGTTCCGCTTACCTTGGCGACAGTCAGAGCATAGAAACAGATCAACACAGCCCTGCATAGCTCTGTGGTTCTCCTCGTGCCTCAAGAATATGTTTGCTGGCTTCAGGTCTCGGTGCACTACGCCTTCAGCATGCAGATACTCTACTCCATCGAGTAGAGCAAGCAGAATGCGAATCGATGGCTCCAGATGGAAACAATGAGCCAATGGCTTGATCATGCCATTTTCGCCTTGTGGAGGCGAGAGGAAGTCCGCCAAGGTCATGGGATGGACGCTCATCTGCATGTAGAGCGCCAGGGATGGGCTCATGGACATCATTGCCCCATTTGTGAAGTCGGTCGACGAGTGTGTGAACTCAATGTTGGCATCGTGGCCTTCCGAGCCCACTTCAGATCTGGTCGCGATGACTGATGAGTGTGATCTACTTGTTTCGAAGGTGAACCCAATATCTTCGACAGTATCGCTTTGAGTTCTCACACGTCGTATGGAGTCAGACCATGTGTTGCTGTCGGAGCCTGCCACGATATCGCGGCTATCCTGCAAATCATTGTCGCTGGAGTTGGTAGCAAGTTCAGTCTTAGCCGACCATTCGATCCAACTACTGTGATAGCGCACCACGTTCGGATGTTGCAGTTTTGACAAGGATCGAACCTCGGCCAGCAATTCGTCAACGGCTGTCTGACCACCTGCTGTAATACGTGCCATCGATGAGGCTCGTATCGGAATCTTCTTGACAGCATAGATGCAATTGTCAAGCTTGTGCCGAACCCGATAGACCTGCGTTGCGTTAGTTCATTGGTATCAATGGGGCCATCGACAACGCACCTCGCCAAAGCCGCCCTTCCCAAGGACGTCGAGCTCTTCAAAATCCTGAATGTACCGACTTTGCATTGGTGCAGGCATACCAAGAGACATGTTCCCAAGGAGTGCCGCTGGGCTGCCGGGCTCATTCACAAGACTGTTGTGTGTGACGTCTTTCAGAAGCCGCTGAATAGGCAGTGGAACCGCTGCTTGTGACGATGTTGGCGCTGAGCTCGCCATGCGGTCTAGGCCATCACCAATTTGGCGTCTCAATGGAGCATGTCGGTCGTCTTCCAGTCCATGAGAGACCAGGTTGAAAGGCGCTAGGTTCGCTACCATGCGACGATAATGATCTTGGATTTCTCTCGTGATGGCGTCCTTGTCATTTAAAGACTTGCCTGCTTGTCGCCTCTGCTCGTAGACATGGTGTCTGGCATCTCGTTCAAGAAGTGTATGCATCAGCATATCCTGGCTTTGCGCGGCTAGTGCATTGCGTGGTCGATCAATGGCCAACGTGTCCAAGGATACGTTGCCAACATCTTGACTGTTGCTGCGGGAGATTTCTAGCGACTGGCTCGCAAGTTCTTCTGTGTCATCGTCGCTGTCTTCGCTGGAGCTGCTCCCACTGGAAGTAGCTGAACGAAAGAATCTAGACATGCTGCTTTCGACTCCAAGTGATGCATTTGTCCTCCCATATGAGTAAAATGAAGACGCATTGAAGTAGTTCAAGTACAGTAGTAGCACAGTCGCGGCTGCAGGCTGGAAGACGTGTTGCCCGCTACGAGCATTCACCAGACATTGTTGCCGCAACAAGAGGGCGCGTGAAGTTCGCGAGGCTTCGATTGCCTTCTCTGGTCACTTGTCAACAACTTGATGGAAACACACAAGCAGGTGACCAAACAGACGTTATTTGTGGAGTCAGCTAGAACTAGTCGCTACGGCAGCGGTAGTCAGCAGTCAGCCTCCCTCCTCCATCGCATGCCAAGGCCGAGAGTGAGAGGCAGGCGAGACTAACTCAGTAGGGTCCTGTGAGAGGCAGATCACGAGTCAACGACTGCGGGCAACCAGACGAGACGAACCGAGTCTTACCTACAACTCTCACTATCGCCCTTGGACTCGCCACAAACGCCATATCTGCTCCCCGCGCATCAGTGACCACCCATCGCGCAGAAGAGACCCCTCATCATCCACCCCTTGACCCCTCGCGACCTTCCCATCTCCCTCCATATGGCGCGCGAGCGAGACAGCGATGTCCCTCAGCCTGGGCCGGCAACACTATCTTCTCATGCTGGACCCGATGAATGGCTCGAACAGGCCAAGCTATGCCACTACCTACCCGAAGCCGATATGAAACGATTATGTGAGATTGTCAAAGAATGTCTCATGGAGGAGTCCAATATACAGCCCGTGGAGGCGCCTGTCACTGTCTGCGGAGATATACATGGCCAATTCTACGATCTGCTTGAGCTATTTCATGTCGCAGGAGGAATGCCAGGTGAAGTGGACCAACGAGCGGCGGAGAAGGCGGCACAGGAGAGAGACGCCCCGAAGAAGGGAAAGAGGAGTAGCATGTCTTCAGGGACAACGGCAATCAATGCTGCCGATATTGAGCCTCCCACGCAGATTACGGATCCCAAGGTGCAACGGAAAATGAAGAGGAGGTTTCAGAGGGACAGTGCCTACACATCTGCTGCGAGTGAGGATGGAAGTCAGACGGGCGAGGAAGGCGATGAGGAGAGAGGCCGAGTGCGGAGTCGTAGTGTGGGAGAGGACAACGAGGGTGTTGACGACGACGATGCTTCTGAGGACTCTGGTGTTGGGGTCAGAAGTCCTGGGCCCAGCAGGAGTAAGAGCGCGGCGAAGAAGGCGGATCAAGCCACTGGACTGCAGAACTTCATCTTCTTGGGAGACTTTGTTGATCGCGGCTACTTCTCATTGGAGACTTTTACATTACTAATGTGCCTGAAAGCAAAGTATGTGCGACTGCATGAAAACCTGCCACAAACATCTGATTGACCATGAACAGATATCCAGACAAGGTCACACTTGTTCGCGGTAACCACGAATCCCGCCAGATCACCCAGGTCTACGGCTTTTATGAAGAATGTCAGCAAAAGTATGGCAATGCTAGCGTATGGAAGTCTTGCTGTCAAGTCTTTGACTTCCTGGCTCTCGCAGCCATAATTGATGGTAAAGTCCTTTGCGTACATGGAGGCCTATCACCTGAGATACGCACACTCGACCAGATCCGCGTTGTTGCTCGAGCACAGGAAATCCCTCACGAGGGTGCCTTTTGCGATCTTGTCTGGTCGGATCCCGAGGATGTAGTTACATGGGCTGTTTCCCCCAGAGGTGCCGGATGGCTGTTTGGTGATAAAGTTTCTAGCGAAGTCCGCATCTTTCTCTCCCTGCTTCTTCGAGCTTCCCACTGACTCTATCTAGTTCAACCACGTCAACGGCCTATCCCTCATCGCTCGAGCGCATCAACTCGTTAATGAAGGTTACAAGTACCATTTCGCCTCTCAAGACGTAGTGACAGTCTGGTCAGCGCCCAACTACTGCTACAGATGCGGCAACGTCGCATCTATCATGACTCTTGGAGAAGACTTAGAGCCGGACTTCAAGATTTTCAGCGCTGTGCCCGATCATCGGAGAGCTGTTCCTGCTGGTAGGCAAGGCAGAGGGGAGTATTTCTTGTGAAATTCGCAACAGGAGTCAGAAGTGGCACGAGGCATGTGGAAAGCATGAGATTGGAGATGGCTGGCATGACACCCTTTTTTGTTTTCTCTTCTCGCAAAGATACCTGAGATATGAATAAACGGCACACGGGACTTCACCTGAGGGAATAGCATGGGGACAAGGCCGAAGAGTGTCCTGAGATGGTGGCGTTGATACTTTTTTCGTGGGAGAGATTGACCTTTGTATGATATGTGAGTAAGTGTGTATGTGTGTATGACCCCTTTTTGCATGGATACACCCTGACGACAGACGTGAAGTCGGCAGAACAGGTACATGTACATGTATTTGTCGCTCGCGAGCCCTTACCTATCTTCTCTCTGACTTGGTAGGACACGCCACCTGCGCATTGACGTATTAGCATGTCGTATATGAGTACCCAAGGTAGGTACATTAATGAGTGAGGTGAGTGAGGTGAGACTGCTAAGAGGAACAGAAGAAACGTGAAAGATGAAAAAAGAAAGAAATAAAAGAATATTCAACGGAATGATTGCAGTAACTAATTCGATTCTTCTCTCTTCTTCTCACGACATTGCTACCGCGCATGTTCAGCAGTAGTCTCAAAAAATCCTGTTCTGTTCCTCTTTTCTCTTCTCTTATCTTCTGGACCGACCACTTTCGCTCTTCGACTTATTACTACCAGTAGAACCTCGATCTTCATCCGTTTAGGGCAGTGACTGCACATCACTCATTGGCTGTCTATCTGCAGGGTGGAAAAGATCAGCCAAGCAGCTCAACATCCAACCCAATAGCCCTCATGAACAGATTCACATCCGCCAATCTCTTCAGACTCATCTCCTCCGGCAGCGTCTTGCTGACGCCGACGGTCTCCATGACCCGTTCCTTGACCCCCAAAACAAGTCTCTGCTGTTGATCCGGACTAGCTCCCACGCCCATGGCAGCCAAAAATTGCCATACATGAACATCCTCCGAAGCAGAAACAGGTCCATCAGTTGGAAAGACGAATGGAAGGACTGGTTCTAGAGTATCGAAAAGTCGATTGTACAAATCGGAGAATTGTTCAAAGTCGGTGGCTGGAGCAGATTGTTTGAGGAGCTCGGCCCTCGAAATGAGCATGGTAAGAATGCTGAGGCCGATCTTGGTCCGGACAATAGCTTGGACTTGGGTTCGTTCCAAAACGAGGCCGAGGAGGCCGATGATGATAGTGAGAGGTGCCTCGTTGACGTAGCTGAAAAGTGGTGGAATCACGGCTTGGTTGAAGAGGTTGACTTCTTCCTTGACTCGAGCTGGAATCGCCGAGTTGTCGGCCGGCGGGTATGCGTCGCGAATGACATCTAGTATGTCGAGATGGATAACCACGAGAGTGAGCATCGTCAGGCGTTGTTGGTCGTCTAGATGTCTGAATGTGCGAGGGATAGCCTTCTTGCCCTTGCTGTGGGAGAGGATTTGGATGAATGGGTGCGGCGAGCTTGAGCTGTGTTTTTCTGTTAGCAATTCCCAGATATACATGTCTCTTTCAGGCTCTGCTTACTTGGGATTGATCTCGACCATGATGCGAAGAGCGGCCCACAGTTGCTCATTGAGCTCCTGCATAGCGCTTCTCCATCTCATGTGGCCTTCGATCACGTCAGGCCCACTTTCTTCATTCGGTGGCAGTGGCATTTCGCGCTCATGGTCCTCTAGCCTCATCAGCGTCGAGTACAGATTTTCAATATCTCGAAGTCCAGTCTTGCGATCAGCTGGCTTCGTTGGGTGGTGCTTGCGGATGTCTGCAGCATCGGGACGCTTGATGTTCAGAAGCGGACGTGGTGTCTTGGAATTACTAAATGCAATCTTGCCGAGCGATCCTTCCATGACCAGCGACTTGTTCTTCGGCCTATTCTTTGCTGCCTCGACGGCTCTCGCGACCTGCTGTTCCATGCGTTGGACATGGTTGTCGCCGCCGCGAGGGTGATGCCGGCTGCGACCATACCCATAGCGGCTCCCAGTCTGGAACAAGTACGTCTGAGCGAACTGGTTAAGGGGCTGGCCAGGACCGCTTCTTGGAGGACCACGTATCTGGGCGTAGACTTGGTAGTAGAAGTCCTCGGCAAGCTGCTCTTTGCTACCAAACTCGTTGTCAATACCACCGGTGGCAGTCAGCAATTGCTGTAGCTGGATTCGAGTGATGAAGTTCTTGTCCTGCGGTGTCATAAGACCGTTGTTCTTGCTAAGCAGGAAAATTTTGTGGTTTCTCTTGGCCCGCTTTGCTTCTTCTGCCATGTATGCTTCACGGGCTTCCGAAGACATATTCATCATCTGTTGTGCCTGTGTGATTGGCGGGCCATTGTATGATGGGCCGCGATTGTGCGCAGGGTGTATTGGCGGACCCCGTGGCTGGACAGGTGGACCACCCATCGGGAACCCACCTGGGTGTGGAGGCGGACCCTGGTGAAATTGCTGAGGCTGTGGCTGACCACGGAAGTCTTGCGATGGTGGTCGAGCATGGATAGGAGTGTGCTGTCTCTGCAGAATTTGAGGCGCGCGCTGACTGTGACTGTGACCAGGCGAAGGCTGTGCTGGCAACTCTTGTGGGGTCTGAGGCTGCTGGAACTGCTGCGGAGGACGCTGAAGAATCTGCGGCACTCTCTGCTGCTCGAACTGAGGCTGCACTTGAGGTGGAGTTGGAGCACCACCGCCAAGACCCAGCATATTCTTCAACCCTTGCGACTGAGAGTGAAAGTCTGGCGTTGGCTGTTGCTGCATTGGTGGTGTAGGCCGTGCTTGCGCTCGCATTTGCGCCTCCAGCTCTTCCACGGTCATCATCCTCGCGGCAGCCTCGTGCTGTCGAACTGGCTCCGCCTTCTTCGCGACGGAGCTGCCCCAGATGGAGGCATCGGCCTCGAGCTTTGGGATATACTCTGGCTGTTTGTACGCCTCATAGCCAGTCTTTGTGGGCTTCTGCGGCGCGCGAGGTTGAGCATAAGGCTGCCTCGCCTGGTGCAAGATTTGCTCTTCGAGGAGAGTATCACGCATACCTGCCGTCTGACCAGCAAAGTCGAAGTCCCTGCCCACTCCCTCACGAGTCACCGGTTCATCGCCGCCAAAGGTAGCGTCGTTGAAGTCATCTCCAGCTTCTTGCAAGCGGGCGCCCAAACCGTCGTATGTCTCCTCAAAATCCAGCATTTGACCTTCTGTGTCGCCGCCCAAGCCAGCGAAAGGGTCGTGGGCATCAAACATGCCTCGCGAGCTTGACTGTTGCGCGCCCTTGTCCCGGGGCAGGGCGGTGTCGAAGCCGAAAAACGACATGGCGGTGGTAGTGGTGGCGGGGCTGCGGAAGAGGCGAGTGTTGATATCGTGCGTCGTGAGGTGAAGTGGCAGGCGGAGCGCAACAGCGCCAATCAGTAAGCGTCGACCTCAAGCGGCGCTATGCTCCGAGAGAGGCGATATAGCAATGAGCGCGAGTGGTTGTCAGTACATGTACGGTAGACATGTACATGGCCGTGTAAGGTAGGTAAGGGTATAGGTAAGGTATGAGTTCACTTAGGTTGTTTGTGAGATGATGCTTGCCCCACTCCCGCGCTAGGTCCTTTTGGTTAGAACTAGACATTATTGCATTGACTTGGAGTACTGACCTGAATTGACGTCTCGTATCCTGTACAGCGAGCATTGGCATTAAGGGACCCTTTCTGACCAGTTGCGCTCCATAGTGTGCCGTTGTATATCCAGTGTTGCCAGTCTTGCCAGTGACCAGTCCGCCATCCACTTTGTTGTATACATGTACCTACCCCTGAGGGCACCCGTACAGTGTCACAGAGAATACTGTATTCTGTCGCTGTTTCTGCCACATGAAGCTCCTATACAAGCCAGAATATCATGTCACTCACTTCAATGCGAACTCCTTTTGAAATGCGTTGCCCAGATGCTAGCCAAGACCCTGGGTTGACGGTCCATTTATACACCATCGCGCCACGGAACGACCGCGGTCGCGTAAGGGGGTTCGTATCATTTAATGTTATGGGAGAAAAGATGTGCTATGATAGGACACACTAGCACTGCGAGGCTCGCGGCGACGTGTCACTGCACCCGGACGTTGATTGACGAGAACGACGACTCCACGCTCGTACGAAGGTCGATCTCATTAGTTGTAGCCGTTCTGTACCGTCCATCCCATCCATCCCATCCGTCCAGTCCACCTTTCTTCTTCATCATCATCATCACCATCACCATCACCATCTTCTTCCTTTTCCTCCTCCTCTTCTTCTTCTCCTTCTTCCTCTTCTTCTTCTCCGTCTTCTCCGTCCTCCTGGCCGCCTCGCTTTTCACCCCAGCGGGCCTATCCTTGACTAGCGACTTGAGCTGGTGCTGATGAGAACCTGAGACCACATTCCCCTCAGATTCCCACTAACTCCTCTCGTCACACAACTCAGTCGCTCCTTTCTGTTCGAGGCGACAATCCCTCCCACCCACCCACCACTCCACCACCATCACCACTGCCATCTTCCATCTTCCAGACGACCCATCTCGAACGGCAGCGTCGCCATCGAGCCTACACCAGGGCACAGCTCAGCACAACAATCGGTCGGCGCATGCTGACCTGATATTGGCCGCAACACACTACCTCCCTCTGTGACCGAATCGAAGAATCACCGAAAGAGATGGCGGGCTCCACGCGATATCTGCGATACATTGTCTTCGCCTTTGTCGCCCTGATCCTCATCTTCTTCATCTCATCCTCGTCATCACGAGTCCCTGGCACTGAACACATCCAGTCCGCTTCAGACTTGCTCAAGGCGCAAGGGATATGGAAGGGCACCAACTCTGACTCGAAGACACCACCCTCAGCCGGAGACAAGTTTCCCGCCGCCGTCGCTCCTCAATCAGGCACTCAGCCCGCTGTTGCTGCTGGGTTGGACAAGCTCAACACTTCGCCTAACCCAGCTGCCGGCGGAGTGCAGACGCACCTCTCCAACACTGCGCCAGGCCCGCGCATGAACGCCACCTTTGTCACACTTGCCCGCAACAGCGATGTGTGGGAGATCTCCAGATCGATCCGCCAGGTCGAGGACCGCTTCAACCACGCCTACAACTACGATTGGGTCTTCCTGAACGATGACGACTTTGACGAAACGTTCAAGAAGGTCACGACCTCCTTGACATCCGGCCGAGCGAGATATGGAAAGATTGACAAGGAGCACTGGGGCTTTCCCGAATGGATTGATCAAGAAAAGGCGAAGAAGGTGCGCGAGGACATGCACGAACGCAAGATCATCTATGGAGACAGCGTCAGCTACAGGCACATGTGCAGATACGAGTCTGGCTTCTTTTTCCGCCACGAAATCATGCTCGAGTATGAGTGGTACTGGCGTGTGGAGCCCAGCATCGAGCTCTACTGTGACATTGCCTACGACCCATTCAAGTTCATGGCCGAGAAGAAGAAGAAGTACTCGTTCGTGCTGTCGCTCTACGAGTACGTGGAGACTATTCCCACTCTCTGGGATAGTGTGAAGAAGTTCATCAGCGAACACCCAGAGCACATTGAAAGTGACAACGCAATGGAGTGGCTATCCGATGATGGCGGAAACACGTACAACCACTGCCATTTCTGGTCCAACTTTGAAATCGGCAACCTGAACTGGCTGCGCAGCCCAGCATACATCCAGTACTTTGAGTCCCTCGACAAGGATGGCGGATTCTTCTACGAGCGCTGGGGTGACGCTCCTGTCCACTCCATCGCAGCAGCTCTCATGCTGAAGAAGGAGGAGATTCACTTTTTCAACGACATTGCCTACTACCACGTTCCATTCACGCATTGCCCTACCGACGAACAGCAACGACTGGACTTGAAGTGCCACTGCAATCCCAAGGACAACTTTGACTGGAATGGATACTCCTGTAAGTTTGATTTCCTGCCTTGGAGATGTCGAATGTGAGCACATGACTAATGGTAATGCAATAGGCACGAAACGGTGGTACGACGTCAACGGCATGGCCCTGCCAGCAGGCTACGAGAAACAGCAGTGACAACACGGAAGATACAAAGAGGTGGCAGAACAATGGCTGGGCCCAATCATCATTCTTGGAATAACGCTTGCATTTGTCCTCGTCATTCTGCTTTATCGACCGATTCTGAACTTGTATGAGTATACCGCACGAACAACGGGGTGGAGGAAGGAGAGTCGTTTCTCGCAGGCGCGTTTTCCCACCGAGCAGCAGGTGGTGGAGAAGCCTATATGGTAGACGACATGTACCAGCGTGTGAATACCTGGCTGTGACGAAAGAGAAAGCCGGGCATCATTGCAATTCAGGAGGTTCTCTTTACAAACGGCAGATGGGATTTGAATATTCTTTTTTTTTTTCTGGCACGAATAGCACGGCGAGAAATGTGGCACAGGAGTAACAAAAACGCGCAAAACTAGTCGGCGCAAGCAAGGGGCGTAGGGTAGAGGATACAATCGTAATTTCTACACGTATTGGTGCTCCAAAATTCTTTTTAAAAAAAAGCCCGTTGTCATTTCATGAAATCTCCTAAACCTAATCCAAACCCTTTTTTAGAAGTAGTGCTAGTACTAGTACCAATACTAGTACCTGTAGTGATGTTACTCCTATTGCTTGATAACAGAGCTTGTAAACTCGATTTCTTATTCTTCCGATTCCGGGATTTCGAGGCCGTAGTCGTAGAAATAATAGAAGAAGCGGACAAGCCTGAAGGTGAATTATATTCCGATTCCGAAGGTTGCGCTATACTTGTTGCTGCTGCGGTTGTTGATGAGGAGCTGGCTGTGGCACTATTTCCTCCACCAGACGTTATGCCGCGTTTCTTGATCCCCGTGGGTTTCGTCGTCGTCGTCTTCGCTGCTGTTGTTGCTGCAGGAAGAATCTGATGCGTCGTCTCGCAAGTCGAGCATTTGAGGATTTTTGCCGCAGAGAATTTTCCGGCAAGACGATCTTGACGCGTACGTTTCTTCGCGTTCGTTATGGAGGAATTATAGCCTGGAAAGAGAAATGTGCCGCAGGAAGAGCATGGTTGAGTTGTTCTTCTTGTTGTTGTTGGTTTGCCATCGTGGAATAGCTGGATTTGAAGATATGCGGAGATTGAGGGTGAGGTGGTCATGAGCGCTTCGGATGATGCTTGAAGATGCGCTGCGCGAGCGGTGGCGAGATGCGAGGTCATGGTGAAGTTTAGAGTGCTGTGCTGTGGATTCGATGTTGTAGTCGTAGAGAAGTCATTCATCTACATGTACCTTTTATTGATCGTGCAAGCTGAAAGTTCCAAGGTTCATGTGGAGCGATGCGGGCGCTAGCGGGTGGCTGCGTCTGCATAGTCAATGCTCAAAGCTTAAAAGTTAAGGAAGTCTCGAATGAGAGACGGGTTGCTGCTGCCAAACCACAAACATCGTCAGTTCTCTCACTCTTTTCCTCTCACTCTTTGGCTTCATGTTCGGCACTTCGAGCTCAGACGGACCGCATTGAGAGCCTGTCTCTCTTTAACCAACCATGGCAGTCCAACTCGAGGAGTCGCATGGCGTCCGTCTCGCCGTCGAAGGTTGCGGCCATGGCACTCTCCACGCCATCTATGCCTCGATCGAAGAAGCGTGCAAACAGAAGAACTGGCCAGGAATTGATCTCCTCATCATCGGAGGAGATTTCCAATCCGTACGCAATGCCTTCGACCTCAACTGTGTGAGCATGCCGCCCAAGTATCGCGAAATGTGTGATTTCCACGAATACTACTCGGGCCAACGAACGGCCCCGTATTTGACCGTCTTTGTTGGCGGCAATCACGAGGCCAGCAATTATCTGTTCGAGCTGTACCATGGGGGGTGGGTGGCGCCGAACATCTACTACATGGGTGCTGCGAACATTCTGCGACTCGGACCGCTGAGGATAGCTGGGATGAGTGGCATCTGGAAAGGCTTCGATTATCGCAAACCTCACTTCGAACGCTTGCCCTACAATGAGTCCGACATGAAGAGCATATACCATGTCCGTGAGTTGGACGTGCGAAAGCTGTTGCAAGTTCGAACACAAATCGACATTGGCATCAGCCACGACTGGCCGCAAGGGATCGAATGGAAAGGAAACTGGAAGAAGCTGTTCAGAATGAAGAAGCATTTTGAAGATGACGCGAACAGTGGGAAATTGGGAAGTGTTGCTGCAAGGCAAGTGCTAGAATTGCTTCGACCAAGGTACTGGTTCAGTGCGCATTTACACTGCAAGTTTGCGGCAGTGGTGCAGCATGGAAACCAAGAGCCAGCCCCACAGATGGCGCCTGTTGGAACGAGCTCGTTCGCCCTCTCATCGAAGAACCTGGACGAAGTCGACCTGAATGGCAAAGAAGCCATGGATGGTGTCGAGACAGCGCCGCCTGCAAAGAATACTGACGAGATAGATCTGGACCTGGACGATGATGAGCCACTTCCAGCTCCGTCAGCTGTCGTTGTAAAGCCTGAAAATGGTGAAGAAATTGATCTTGACCTCGATAATGAGGACGACAGTGCCCCAGCATCAACTAGCAATGACACAGTTCCGATACAGCAGACTGAAAAGAGCGAAGAAGAGGCACGCCTCGCTGCTGCTCGTGCTGCACTGCCTGCTTCATTCGCTCCCCGGAAAGCGCCAGAGCCAATCGAGCACCCTCCAGACATCACAAACACTCAAACGAGCTTCCTTGCACTCGATAAATGTTTGCCCAGCCGCGACTTCCTACAACTGATCACCGCGTCGGAAGAACCAATTCGCGATCAAGACAGACCCTTGAAGCTACAGTACGACCGAGAATGGCTCGCCATTACACGCGCCTTTGCGCTGAGTGAGCCTGTTCCAGTCGGGAATCCAGATGTGCGAGTGCCGCTAGCCAAGACACAATCCGACTATCGCAAGTTGATCGAAGCGGAGCGAAAATGGGTCGATCAAAACATCGATGATGCTCATCTGATGATTCCAGAGAATTTTATCGTGACTGCCCCCATTTTCGATGGAGGAAACTTCCGAGATGCACAGTATCAGCAGGTCAAGGAATACCCCAACCCGCAAGCAATAGAATTCTGTCAGCTCCTACACATTCCGAACCCCTTCGATATTACCGAAGAAGAGCTCAGTAATCGCTTAGCTGCGGGTCCTCGACCGGACGACTTTCAAGGTGGACGTGGAGGAGGGCGTGGAGGCTTTCGATCAGATCGCGGCGGTCGCGGTCGCGGTCATGGTCGTGGTCGTGGTCAAGGCCGGGGCCGAGGTCGTGGTGGTGGAAGAAGGTATTAGGACCGAACCAGAAGCCACGTGACAACAGTTCCAGTAACGGAATGATTGACTGGGAGATTGTTCAGATTGGAATCGTAGGCCCAGCAGTGGTATCGCTAGCATGTCCTCTGCAGCCCATGCGTTTCGCCGGTGGCAATAACGGTGGCTAGTCACAGACCACTGATGCCTCCATAACTGAGATACCCTAGCAATCCATACTTCCACCTCTCACCTTCCTCTCCCCCTTCCCCTGCCACGCGCACCACCTCTTCCACCTCTCTTTCCTCCCCTCCCGCCCGTACCTCGTTCATACACCTTCTCCCGTCCAAACGCGGCGTCCGCAATCCTCAAGTAGCTCGGCACACCTTGATCCACAATGGCCAAGATTACATTCTTGTACCCATGCTTCAGCTTCACATGCATATGCGCCTCGGCCTTGGGCGGATCGTAGGGTGTCGTCTCCAGCAGTGCCCCCAACTGATCTAGAGTCGGCATATTGCTCTCGCGAGCATTGATGACGGCGATCCGGAAATCGGGATCTACTGGTGCGGATTTCTTGAAGTGCGCTGAGCCGGGTTTCCAGACGTGGTAGGTGATGCGAAATGGGGGTTCTGTCCTTGGAGTCTTTTCTTCTGCTTCTGCTGTTGTTGATGATGGCGGCTTGGCGAGGGTGGGATCGTGGAAATTGACCAGGGCAAGTCGATGATAGATGTCCTGGTAATTCCGATAGAGATCGTTCGGGATGATGGGACCTGTGACTTGTCGTGCATGCTGTTGACGTTCGAGTTTCTGAGGGTTTGCAATGAAGAAGCATTTCAAGGATGATATTATGCTGGTCAGTCCTGTTTGCCATGTACGATTCTGCGGCTGCAGAGGAGGAAAACAGTCAGGAGTCAATGCAGGACCGGTCGAATCCCAAGAAGGTGCACGCAGAACGGTATATCCCGCACGCTTCAAGCCCGAGTAGACGGAGAAGCGCTCGAAAGTGAGTGTAGCTGCTTCATGGGGGTGGGATTCCTCGTCGCCGAGAAACATGGCATAGCCTGCTTGCAAACTCATCGGCAGACCCAATTTCGATTCTCCCTCTTCATCATCATCATCATCATCGCCATCATCGCCGTCCTCCTGAACGGTCCGAGGCCATCTCACATCCATCGTCCCGCGTTCGAGCAGATACAGTGCCTCTTCAGGATACAACCACGTACGAATTCCTCGCAATTCGTCGTCTCCAAAGGGAGATTCGTTGGCGGGGAGCACTCTGCCCATGCGAATGAACAGCGGGCCTTTGGGATTCATGGCATAGCACATGTTGGTTTCAGGATGATAGATTCCAATAGTATGTCCTTTGGGTTGATGCACTCGTTCAAAGGATAAGACATTGTGCATTGCCTGTCGTGAGGCCGCTAAGGTATTCGACTGTAGTGCTGTTGCATGTGGTTCGAAATCTTTTTCGCCTCGCTTGGGAATTACGGCATCGGATTTTCTGGTGGTGCAATTTTTCTTTTGTTAGTTTTTTTGATATGACTACAATTGCAAATCTGGGCATATCGCTCTGCTCTCACTTACGATATGGAGGTTAAGAATCGGAAATCTTGGGGCTCGTCGGAAAGATCGACTTCTTCTCCGCCGGGTTGGCCATCGCGGGGGATGATGTCTTCGTCTGCGTCTGCCATTCTTTGTATCTCCGCTACCTACCACTTCGTCGAGGATGGCAAAGGTGACTTTTGTAAAGGAACAACCACGAAGCAGAAGTGAAGGAGCGAGTAAGTGAGCGAGTGGTGTGTGAAGTGAACTTTCCCTACCTCCTACCTAGGACGAAAGACGGTCAAAGTTCAAGCTTCGTGACTGTCCTCTTGGCGCGGATTTTTTCAATGCCGACTTCACTATAAAATCTCCCCTCTTCCCTCTTTCCAAGTAAACACTGAAATCAACTACAGTCATCAATCAAATCCCATCCGAACCCGATTCCCCACTCAAGAAGAACAGAGCCAAAAAAATCCGATAATCCCCAAAAAAGCCACCACGTATAATAGACCCCTCCCAGCCAGGAACAACAATGCCAACAACAACATCTCTCGAAGACGAAAATGATCTCCTCCTCATTGTGCGCTCAATGCCTCCCATCTCTTGTAACTACTACCTGTTGTAATTAATTTTATTAACTTCTTTCCTCTTTCCAAAAAAACAATCAATTAGCTCCTCCGCAATCTCCGCAACGTAACTTTTACCTTTGGCGAAAACAGTCCGCAACACATTAGCGTGAGAAATACGGTACAGCAACATTTGGAGGAAATGAGGCAGAAGGGGCTGAGGACGGATTTGATGGGTGCGAGGGGACGACGACGAGATGGACGACGGGGAGATGAAGGAGAAGAAGGACGGGGAGATGAAGAAGGACGACGGGGAGATGAAGGAGAAGGAGAAGATAAAATGCAAGGTGTTATTGTTGAGCAGACTCGAGAAGAAGAAGAAGAAGCAAAACAACAAAAACAACCTGATGATTTACCAGAATTGATGGAGACACTTGCTAGTTTCTCTATACGATCCTAGGAGGTAGCTACATGTACCTACCTTGCGCAAACTCCCAAGACTTCAAAAACTGCAAAAATGTAATATATCATATGCATGTATTAGCACCTTTTTTTCACTTCAAAAACGTCAGTCAGCAAAAAGGCATTTCCATCACAGTATCAATGTCCGTCCATAGCTAGGAGGTAGTAGGTACATGTACATGTAAGGTAGTCTACAGCTGTCCGTGCTCAAAGGTACAGGTATAGATAGATAGGTATTGTTGCGCCTATTAAGCTCGTGATATATCGTTTCTTAATCATACGTACGTACGCTCGCTCGCTTTGAACATCTACATTGCGAACAGTTTCCGAATAATGCTAGAATTGGTCGCGTTTTGGGTGGGAGTCCTCCGACATCCAAAAGAGCGAATCTGCCAACAAAGCGGGTGTACTTCTTATAGTCCAAGCCTGGCCAGAAGACATGGGAGATACCCACCTAGCTGTAGGTAGAAGCATCCAAAAACATCCGAGCCTCACCCTGGACATGTCGTTTGCGCGTCTGGGAGCAGTACAAAGCTACCGTGTAGAAATATGCCTCCTTCCGTTACTGCCTGTTTGGTGTTCTCCATCTGACTCTCGTGAGTGCTTCAAATATTCTCAGATTAATCGTAATAATAAGGCGGCAAACAACTGTGAACACATCGTCCCCCGATGTGTTCTCATGCATGGCCACCTTGCCATACTGCTGTAAGCCAGCCATTCGCAAAACCTTGAGACGCAGCCATGTTTGCCCATTCTGCGACCTCGCCGCCATCAACAAAGGCAGCAATATCATCACCACCCATCCGGGTATCGATACTGCTCAGCCACGTCTCTTTTATGCTGGGATCCCACACCTGCTGACGTTGCGACGATTGTGCTTGATGCGGATCCGGAAGTCGATGTGGTTGTGACGACTGCGGATTGAGCGCACCATGTACAGAGGTGGGATAACCTCCATGCTGAGGGGCCGGTCCATGCTGGTGTTGAGGATAGTGTGTGGCCCCATTGACATAGGGATTTGGAGGTGGTGGCTGCATCTGATATGGCGCATTTTGCGACGTCCAGCTGCTATAGCCTGGCTGCGAGTGGTGGCGCTCAAACGATGGAGATGGGTGAGCTTGCGAAGGTGTGCCAGCAGCTGATTGTGACGCGGGAGAGGTCAGACTCGGTGGACCAGGAGCTGGACTGGGTCCTTCGGAGTACGAAGGACGAAAGTTACTCAGCTGTGGCGGCTGATAGCCATTGTGAGGTGGCTGCTGGTGCTGCGCCGGCTGAACTGATGATGGCCCTGACGAGGGCGATGGGAGATGCCCATTTTGCGGGTACTGACGCCCGTGCTGCTGGGGTTCCTGCTGCTGCTGTTGTTGCTGCGCGTAGGCATCATAGCTTCGGAATTGTCCACTACTGGGAGTCGAAATGCTCGGTTGTCGACTTGCAGGCGCACCCGGTGCAGTGTTGATAGCGCTCCAAGCGCCGGCTTCCGCCTTCGGTGGCTCAGTCGCAGCAACCGGCTGATCGCCGTCCTCACTTTTGACGGTCCCGGAGTTGCTATCGTCGTATACGGCGTCAAGTGGCCTTGAATCAGGTTGCTGCACATCTGTCATGTCGATATCTTGATCCTCAAGAACTCCGAACTCTTTCAACGTCCGTTCCAGAAGCTTGTATTCGTCCAGTCCTCCGCCTGAACCACCTTCGCGTAGGCTCAAATGTCTGGTACTGACCGGGCTGTCGCTCTCTGACGAGCTCTCAAGATTGTGAACGTTCTTCCTATAGTCACTCTTGATCCGACGGAAGTATCTGTGCATTCGATTGATCGTCTTAAACCAACCATCAGCCATGTGCAGCTTGGATCGCATGTTGCCGATCATTTCCAGAGCTTTCCGAGCGGCCTCGAAGCCCTTGCTCTCGCCAGGTTTCGAATCGGACTTTCCTGGCTCTGGTCGCGTGCACATGTAGCCATCCGGATCCATCCACGGAAAGTTAATACAGTAGACGCCAACAAATGCGACTGTGTAGATCGCAAAGCCCACGATCGGTGTTTCCACAAGCGCTCGCCATTCCTGGCACGTTCGGACAAGATCCATGATCTCTCGAGCCGACCTGAAGCACTCGCGCGCGCTCTCGTCCCAGAAACCAGCCGGCACATTAAACTTATCTGCAGGAAACAATGGTGCATCAAGGGGCCCTTCTGGCTTTGAGCAGCGAAGCGGGATGAACGGAACATACTCGCGATGCAGCATAATCTGGCAAAGTAGATAGACTGCATGTACCAGAGTATACGGCGTGGATGTCTTCAAGCTGATATGTGCTTGCGTGTTCTGTGGTGTAAGTGTCTGTTGGCGAGGAAGACTAGCCTTGAATTCCTGGCACATGCGTCGTAGTTTGTAAAACTCGCATCGATGGTCCCATGGTGGGTGCTCTTCGATTCTACGGTACTGTCAGCCCACTCAGTCAGTCATCTACTTAAGGAGTCTTACCTTCGCCCGCCAGCACACGACCATTTGACTACCTTGCCATAGATTTCCAAAATCTTGACATAGCGACTGATCAGCCCTTCGTCAGAGCCAACTTCCAGTCTCCCCTTATCGTCGTCGTCACGGAATGAGCTGCGTGGTGATGGCGCCATGTTTGGTTCCGGCGTGCCTGTGGTACCAAGCATGACTGACTGCTGCCGCTGATTCTGGACCTCTGCTCGACCTGGACCGGACATACTTCGGTCCTCTTCGCCGAGCATGAGAGTACGCACCTTTTCGGCGAACAGGAACGAACGCTCGCTGGCGGGCAGCTGTATTCTCAACTCACGTGCATGAAGCATTTGGGGTCGGTACTTGCCGCTACTCAGATATCGATCCATGATGTAACAGCTCCAGAAGGTCCGCCGTCGGATCTCCTGGTGTACGAAGGCATCCTCTGTTGCCTTGTCCGAAGACACGGAGCTTTTCCGGTTTGGGTCCATACCCAATCGTGCCGCCTCCCCTGAAAGGGCGAGGGAGCGAGATAGAGGCTCGTCGTCGAGGTCCATTTCGTACTGTAGGCCCATGGATTGGGCGGCACGAATCGCCATTCCGACGGTCAGCCAGGCCTTGGCACCTCTGCACATGCCCCATTCGTGGAGACCAAGCATGAGCGCGGCCTGACAATGCTCAATATCATGGTAACGGTTGTCCGACCACATGCTCGCAAGCTTCTCATTCGCCGCTGCGGCGTAGTACTCGGATGCAATGAGAGGGTTGCTCGGTCGCGAAGACGTGGGAGGCGAATGATGGGCCACCAGCCGAGGATGGAAGCGCGCTGTCAAGGCCAAGAAAGCCAGCAAGAACTCGGTCGAGGCCGGTGGACGAGCAGCAGCGCCTGGAGAGTCCGTAGGCGATCCATGGCTTGGTGAAGGGTCGACGATCGCAGCGCGTAAGGGCTTGAGGAATGTCGGGGGATGCAAGAAAGGCAGATCGGCAGAGTAGTGCACTTCAAAGATGTCAAACAGCTCCTGCCACACTGCCGGCGTGAGAAGTCTCGGGTCGAGAGCATCGAGCAATGGACGCGGAGAGTCCGTGGGACCCGTCGCGAGGCCCGAGTTGTACGTCGCCGTCGTCGACTTGCGCGGCCTCTGCCGCCGCTCGGCATCTCCATACACGTCGGCCCGCCCTGATATGCTATCCCGCCGCCGACCTCCACCCGTCACCGGCGAAGGGTACTGACAGTCGCGCCCCGAATTCTCGCATGAGCGACACGTCGTGCCCACTCCATTGTTCACGCATTTGACCTTGGACCGTCGGCAACGGATACAGGCAATGCTAGAGCGCATTCGGCCAGTGCCTGCGGGCGCCTGCCTGGTCACGTCGGGCCCGGCAGCGGCGTCGTTGGGGCCAGGTGGGTGGTTCGAGGCGATGGGTTGGGCGGTGCGCGGACTCTGTGCGCGGCGGTGCAGCAGAGCGTCGTCCAGGCGGTCCTCTTGCTGCTCCACGATGGGCGGACAAGAGAGAGAGAGAGAGGAAGGGAGGGAGGGGGTGCTCGTGTGGGTCGTGTCGTTTCGTGGTCAAGTCGTCGCGAGCTGGAGGATGGGATCGGCGAAGAGCGTCGCGAGCACGCCGGGTATTGGTTTGTATTATACAGCTCAGCGCTAGACGGTAGCTCAGGGTCTACCGGAGTATAGCAGTGCAGCAGCGGACGAGGGTTGACTGCCGTGACAGTCTACAAGCGGAAGTGATCAGTGATGCTGTCTATTACTCTTTCACTAGACTCGCTAGACTAATCTTAGGGCAGGGCGTTCGGGTGCCCTCGAACTAGAACGAAAACTAGTCAATGTCAGGTAGGTTATACGCCGTGGGGTGAGCGGACGAGCGCGCCGCCGGGCGTCAACAGCTGCGGTAAGGTACTTTTTCCTGCACCGACCGGGCCATCATCGTCTCATCTCACATCGCATATTCATTCTCCCAGCCTGGCCAGCCAGCGGCAGCGGCGGCAGCACGACCACAAAGAGCCTGCAGCCCAATTGTCGGGTTGGCTTCCCAGACGGAGGAACAACGTGCTGCAATGCTGCAATGCTGCACTGCTGCACTGCTGCACTGCTGCACTGATGAGTCTGCTGCAGGATCATCGCGCTGAAGGGAACCCGCTCCGCCTGCTGCAGTACACCATCACCACCACCACCACCACCTCCTCCTCCTCCTCCTCCTCCTCCCTCTCCCTCTCCCTCCTCCGCCTCTTCCTCCTCCGCCGCCGCCGCCGCCGCCGCTCCCCCCACCTCTGTCCGCGTACAGAGCAGACCCTCCAATCACCAATCCCGAGGCTCTGCGATCTGTTGTAGCATCCCACGGCCCGAACATGCTGCTCCTGGCTTCCTGGCCTGCCTTAGCGCCTCGGATAATGGCGGCATCTCGCTCACATGCTAGAGTGATGCGCACCGTAGGTACTTTCAACCCTCATCAGTACCACGGCTGTTCGATCGTCGTGAAGAGCAGTGACCGCGAGACGACGCTGGTGCGGAAATTATGGATGTGACTGGTAAGGGTGCCTGAAGCTGCCGACCAACGCCTAAAGACACACAGACTTCCAGACTTCCAGTCGACATAACTTCCCGCTGCTCGCCGAGATCTGGTCCGCTCCCAGCGTCCCTACAGGTCACTCGGCTCTGCGTGGGAACCGAGAGTCCGAGACCCGGCAGGACACGCTCTCCACACTAGGAGGTACCTTACCTTCTCACACAGTGTCCAGTAGGCTTTGGGTTAAGGTAGCTCTTGGGTCGAAACTTAATCAGTGCAGACACCACATTGCCGCCTGTCACATGCCAGCGTGTACCAACTAAAGGTACCAAGCCTGCCATAATACTGAGGTCAAGATTAACCTCTTCATTTTTATGCGGCTGCGTCCCTGTTTCCCGAGAACTATCCCGAGTTCCCGACTTGCTGGCACTCGTACATTCCAGACTTTCAAGAAAATGCTTCATCTGGCAAGTCGCGCGTTTAAATGAGAGGCAAAGAACGCATACCGATGTGCTGGAAGCGCGCCACACACTGATGTTCTGAAACTCCACATGCCTTCCACGCGCAAGGTACGACATTGTCAGACTGCAGTTGGCACATGGCCCAACATGCCAAACTCCAACTGTGTGCTCTGACCATTCGCATACGAAAATGGGCGCCTCCACAGTATGGCGAGATTGATGGCTGATCTTCGACATGTCTACTTTCTCTAAAGATTCCCCAGCAATCACTCTAATAACTTACCGCACCTCACCGCGACTGCCACTTCGAGCGCCTGGGGAATGGGAATGCCTACCCCCTGCTTAATTTGATGACGAGTAAGCAGACCTTTCGGAGCATCCTCCTATCATCGATGACGGCAACAACAACAGCAGAGCCTATCGAGCAGTGCCATCGACGATGACACCTAAGACCCAAGACCCAGGCCCACACCCAGACCAGACTTTGAAGATATGGACCAGGTTGTGAAGAAATGCGGTGTTTTCGATTGTTCGCCCTCCCGAAACCATGCCACTGTTCCAGTGGCCGCATCAAACATTCCTCGCATGGCAGCCTCGGGACCATGCTGTAGGGAAGTCAGGATAGCAGAAGGCAATCGACGCAAGGCTATGTCCTCACGCAACGAAAGCCCGTGCTTCGCCGCCAGTGGCGGGAAGATACCTTTAGGAATTCAGCTCCTAGAGGCTGATTTTCCAGATCCAGTCCCGAGCAGTAGACTACTATTGCACCTGCGGAGTGGACATGAAGTCAACTCTACAATACAGCACCAAGACGACACTAGTGTGATCGTACATAGCCAAGTGAAAATGCAAGTGTCAGGCCCATCGACATTATACATATGCACTATGCAGCTAACGAACAGTGATTGCCATCACCCAACATCCATGTACAGCTCGCAAAGCTGCCCCCCCCCCCCGTACCGTCTTCTTAGTGCGCCGATACCCGACATGAAACAGCGTTCACTATCTAAATGTTAGCACCTTGACCTGTACGAGCGTGCTCCAGACTGTATTACTATCTCCCTGCCACAAACGCTGGAGCCGAGCTTGAAAGGCGGGTTTGACCGCTGGCAGAAGAGATAATTGTGCTGTGTCGAGTGTGGGGGTGTAGAATGTTGCCTCGGGGCATTTTGATCCGGGGTCTGCCCAGGCAGTTCTGTAGGTATACACTATACAGGCCATCACCAAGCTTGTATCATCTCACTTTACATGGCATGAATAACACCTCATCTTTCATCCTGCAAATGCCGCCGGTTACATGGTGAAAAGCCGACATTGCGGCGCTGGGTTCGGTCGAGTATCGCCGTCGTGGGCATGGTCGAAGAGCCTCATTCGTGCACCTTCCTCTTCTTCTTCTGCTTCATTAATGATCAGAGCGGCCGAACTTCTATGTCGGGAGGCAGGCGAACGAAAGTCAGGTAGACGTTCCAATGTAGGTGTAACACCGTGCAAAAGAGTGGAGTAAGTGAATTAGAATCGAGGCCGTTGCAGGGGATGGCCGACCGACTACAGCGTCATCCCGCAGTGGAGAGCACATGGAGTTTCACCCGCGCGATAATGCCCATTGCCCATTGCCCACCACGCGAGGCATCCAAAAGGCATCTGTGCATGCATCTTCTCTCCTCTACCTACATGCGCTAATCCGCTGTGCCGCATTGGACTGCATTATTATGAAGACGAATAATGCTGGCATAACGACATCTTGGACGCCCCCGTAGCCACAAGGAGGAGGACTCGGCAAGACCGTTGGTTCTAAATCACCATACGCACCCGACAGGGAGCACAGCATACTCGCACTGTACACGTACGCCGACGGTACCTAGTGGGGCATTGGTCAGAACGGCACATCGAGGACTGCGGGCGGCCATAGCAGCCATATGGCCCGCAAGGCGAGGCAGAGAATCAGCTACGGTATGTCGCGGACGGGCACTCGGTCATCGACGGCACGGGCGACTGATCACAGCTACTACCAGTCCTTCCTCTCGCCAATGCAGCTGGAGGACATAGACTGGGAGTCAACGGGTTGGCCGTAGACAGCAGCAAGTCTCTTCTGTACGTCAGCAACAACTCCATCCCAGTCGCGCGCGCGCGTGTGTGTGAGAGAGAGAAAGAGAGAGGGAGAGATATATATAGAGGGAGAGACACTGGCGGTATAGTGATTGCTAAGTCGCGCCCAGATACTCTGGAGGCCGAGACGGTGTCATATGCGCCTGGGACCTCAATCTCGATTTGAGCAAAAAAGTCACTCCGCCCGAATACGATGCAAAGCTCCCCCCATCCGAACCGACAACCTTCCGCCAACAGGTCCAGGCGCATACCCACTGGATCAACGACATCGCCCTAGCCCACTCGAATCAGGCTCTGGTATCTGCTTCCTCAGACACGACAGTCAAAGTATGGCGACCGGCAGCGCAAGATGCGATACCTCCGCAAACGATTGGCCTGCATAGCGACTATGTCAAGACGTTGGCTGTGCCAAATCCGACTTGCGATTGGGTCGCTAGTGGAGGCTTAGATCGATACATCAACGTGTGGGATCTGAATGGCGGCGGCGAGAAGCTTAAGATCAATGTGGCAGAGGACGAAGTGAGCAGTCTTCTCAGCAAAGAAAAGGGCAGTGTGTATGCACTGGCAGCCACGAACTCGGTTCTTGCCAGCGGTGGACCGGAGAGCACAGTTCGAGTATGGGACTGCAGGACGGGCAAGCGTGTGACCAAGTTGGTAGGACATACGGACAACATTCGGGATATTCTGGTTAGTCAAGATGGCACTACCATCATGACCGCGAGCAGCGATCGCACCGTCAAAGTCTGGAGCACTATTGCTGGACGATGCATGTTCACTCTGACTATGCATGATGCCAGTGTCTGGTCACTCTTCTCTTCCGATCCGGATCTATCTGTCTTCTATTCGAGCGACAAGAACGGGTTGGTGGCAAAGACTGATACACGAGATAAGATCGAGCTGGACGAGGGGATTTCCGTGGCACTCTTCCAGGAGCACGAAGGCGTCCACAAGGTGATCGCTGCGGCAGATCACTTGTGGACGGCGACCAGTCGGCCGAGCATCAACAGGTGGCGAGACATCAACACAGCTTATGCGGAGATCGAGGTTCCCGAAAATTTCCACCCTCCTAGACACGGTTCTGTGAGCATGTCAAAATCGAGATATCCGAGCCCACCGCTCGTGAGAGAGCAGCAGCAGGCACCTATCATAACGCATCGACCTTCCACATCGAAACGCAGGATTCCGCTCAAGCATGCACTTCGGTTGAGCAATACTGCATACTTCCCTACTCCCATTCAGGTCCTGGACGAGTCGCATTCACCTGGCCAACGAAGAGGTACACTAGACGCCGCGACGACAGCAGAAAGCATAGACATGCAGCCCGTTCGTGCTCAGCCAGAGTTGTCGATTGAAGGACAGAATGGGTTGATTAAGCACGTCATGCTCAATGATCGGAAGAGAGTGCTGACACTGGACACCGCTGGAGAAGTTGTCATGTGGGACTTGCTGAAGTGCGTACCTATACGCTCCTTTGGCAAGCGACATCTGGAAGACGTCAAGGACGAAATGACAACAAGCGCGACAGTCGCAAACTGGTGCACCGTGGATACGAGGACTGGAAGCGTAGCTGTAGTCTTGGAAGAAAACACGTGCTTCGATGCAGAGATGTATGCGGACGAGCTGGAACTCGATGACGGCGTGGAGTATCGTGAGGATCAGCGCATCAATCTTGGTAAATGGGTCTTGCGCTACCTGTTCAACAATCTGATCGAAGAAGAAGTCCGTCGAGACGAAGCTTTCCGGGCTCAGTTGCTGAACATTAAGGAGCAGCAACGACTGCAGCGTGACAATGCGCCTACGAGTATTGAGTTGCCTCAAGCGCCAGCGAATGGCTGGCATTCCGATTCGAATGGAGCACAGTCTGCATCTACACCACGGCCTGGCACTAATGGTGGCAAGGTTGCGGCCACGCCTGGCTTCAACATTGGGCTCGCTACCCCGGGCACGGTCAACTCTCCTGTACATGCGAAGCGAGCGTCTCAGCTCGCGACCACGACGGAGGAAGGCTCACCCCTCGAGCATCGGTCATCATCACAATCTCAGCGAACATCTGGGGAGCGCAGCACGGATTACTTCTCGACCAACAGGACTGCAACCGCAGACATGGCCACGCCTGGTGGCGCGTCCCAGCCCGCAACTACTCCTGGGCCTGTTCCCGACCCGGCAACGCCTTCGGGCGAGGAGCCTCCGAAAGAAGGTGGTGCTACACCGGGCAAAGGTCTCTTCGGCAAGAAATTCAGCATGGGTATGTCTTTCAGTGGTATGAAGAAGATTGGTCGTGTCCAGACGAACGACAAGGATAAGCCCACGCCAGTGGAGGAGAAAGAAGAAGTGGAAAGCGACTCTCGATCGAGCAAGACGAGCAATTCTCGATTGATCGAGGACACGTTTCTCGGCACTGTTCAAAAGATCCGCTTCGCCTACGAGGACTCTCTCCAACAACAGGTGCATGCTCAACAGGCCCACGAGAACGGACTTCCGGTGACCCGCAGCTCCATCGACCTGCCTTCTGCCATCAAGCCCAGCGACATCTTGGAGACTCCTCTGCTTCGCCCTCCGGCTAACACGACGATCTTGATTCAAGAAGACCGACCTGAAGCCGGCGGCGTCACCGATCTCTTTGAATGCAAGGTCGGAAATCTCGCATCGCACATTGACAGCATTGAGAAAGCCGCTCCGACGTGGCTCGGTGATGTCTTGCTCCGCAACCAGATTCCGATCAAAGACGTGGTCAAGATATCGTTCATACTGGAACCATGGCAAGACCTCCTGCCGAGTATCGCCTCAGACGGCAACAACCGACTCAACGCCAATCGCATGCTTCGCACGAAAAAGATACTCGCGTACGTGGCGGAGAGAATCGAGCCTGCTTCTGAGAGAGAGGCGACGGACTTGAAACCGGAAGACTACTTGGAGTTGTGGTGTCAGAACCAGGTAAGCTGCATGTCTTCAAACGGTGGAGGGAGTGAGTGGAAAGACACGATGATGACTAACATGAGAACGTGTGTAGATCGTCCCCATCACCATGACCCTTGCCACGATCCGCTCGCACCTGTGGCGTGGAGGCGGAGATGTGGTGTTGTACTATAAAGCGAATGGGAAAAAGCCCATCTTGCACGCACCGCAGGCCACTACGGCAGCGACCGCCTCCAACGCGAGTGAAGGCTCGGAGCACACTGCTACGGGTGTTGTGCCTCGATAGTCGTCTGCTTGCTCAAGTAAGTGGAATGGTGGCTGGTACTGTACATTGATAATGTCTGTAGGTAATGAATGAATCGGAACGGGGATCTCGGAGCTGCTCATCATGGCTCAGCTGTGTGCTGGCACCTTTTAGAGCTACATTAGCTTGGTTGATTGATAAGGGGGCTGGCTACACAAGTGGATCCTCACTGCATATACATATATATATATATGTACCTTATGCATACATCCTCTTAGCTTCTGCTTCTTCTTCTTCTTCTGTTCCGCTTCCGTTTTGCAGATCATCGCCATTTTAAGAAAAAAAGTATTAATCTAACCCCTTGATAAATATACCGTATACGAGGTACATAAGGTCGGGTATGATTCTCTTTTTTTTCCCGGTATCCCCGCAAGGTAGAGCAGGAGGTAGAGTAAAAAGTATAATAGATTACATGTATACATGGTAATAGCACTAATATTTATTACCTACATATATACCAAACCCACTCCCTTGGGATTTTTTGATTTTCTTCTCTTGCTTTGTTTCTTTCTCGTAATTATCTATCCGTGTTGCCTACCTAGTGCACTTTCGCTTTCGCAAGCGTGAGGGAGAAAAATTGAGGACTGCTAGTTACTATGGGTGGTTTTTTTTTAAAAAAAAAAGAAAAAAAGGGAAAAGCTGGGAGGTGCCAAGGGGAAAAGATAGAAATGAATAAGTGGATTGAATCTTTCTCCTTTTTCTCGAGTCTCTTTTGTCTAAATGTTTCACGCAAGAAAGGATGTCTGGTATATACACGTCTGTCTCCCGCTCTCTCTCCCTCCCTCTCCCTCTCTCTCCCTCTCTCTCTTAGGGATGTAGATGTATGTATAGAGATATCTATATCTATCTATGTTTATTCGTCAATCTATCTATTAGACAACTAGTATGTAGGGTTGGTGTATATATGTGCATATATGTCCTGATAGGATATGACGATGATTTGATTGACTTGATAATGATTTACTGATTTGATTTGATATATAGATAACGTAGTAGAATCTAAAATTTCGTCGAATAATTGGTTGAGGGGGGGCATGATGATGTCGTTCAGGTTCGTTAAAAGAAAAGTTGCAAAAAGAGAGAAGAGTGTGTATGTGTTTGCAATGCTTGAGCTCGATTGATGCATGGAAAAAATAGGTAGGTAGGTAGGTAGGTAGATGGATTATTATGCAAAAGATCGATCTCATATAATGCAATTATCGGGCTCTGCCAAAAAAAAAAGATGACAAACTTCTAAATCATGCCTCCCGAGCCATTATAGACACCTTGCTGAAGGGTTTCCGGAGGCATATTCGCTCGGATTTCTTTCGGGTTGCGATATCCAGTTGAGCTCTGACTGCGAGAGGGAAGCGTCATGACAGGTGGAATGCTGGTCTCGTTGAGTTTACTTTCTGGGCCATGCGTGGGGGCAGGAGGTGGAGGAGGCGGAATGGGAATTTGGCCTTGGTTCTGTGCGGCCATGGCCTGCTCGTAAGGGCTTTGGGCACGTTGTTGAGAGAAACTCTCATGACGGACATGGCCGGTGTATCCTGGCATCGGGGGGAGCACGGTCTCGTAAGGCGCAGGAGCAGCAACAGTAGGAGGTGATTTGGCTCGAGATTTAGAGCTGCTTCGCATGCGATCGCCGAAGCCACGCATCCAGCTTCCGCTGGGCGCATTCTTGCGGTGCTGTGATGGAGAGGTTGTCTGCGCTCGCTCCATGGGCATCGGCAGCGTGGGACCCGGAGAGTCGGCTCCATGCTCATCGATGGCAATGTTAATCACGCCAGAACCACTCCGCTGATGCTGATACATGGTCGGCGGCGGCGGTGGAGGCGGCGGACCCGCAAGATGTTGCAGCTCGGCGAGCATAGGCGGTGGACCCATGTCGGCTTCGGGGATGATGATGACCTGGTCTTCGTCGTATAATGCAGCATCAATGCTGATGGGCTGCTCATCAAATTTGATGTTGACATCTGGTGGCGAGATCTTTCGAACATGGCCGCGACCGGCAGACAATCGGCGGTTGGAAGATGGGAGGGTGGGCTTGTACAGCGGGTGCACTTGTGACTGGTTTTCAGGAGGAGCTGATGCAGAGCGCGAAGGCAAGGCTTGACCCTTTTGGCCAAAGACAGTCGCAGGCAGGAGTGGGCCGATCGAGTCGCTGCTTTCCGAGAGTGTAGAGTGTTGCACTGACGACAACAACGAAGGCTGCTGATCTGACGACGACATTTGACTGAGTGCCGAACCAGTGACCTGACTGAGACTGCTACCAAGGGAAGATAGTTCGCTGTACTGGCCCGGTATTCTCGGAACGGGAGGGTCGCCATCTCGTTCGTTGGGGTCACTGCTCATGTAGCGCGGATGCCGCATGGCACGAGGAGTCGCTGGGAGTCCGATCGGTGCAGATGGCGTCGATGTTCCCGTGACTTTTGCTTGGTTGTTGTTGTTGTTGTTGTTGTATCGCGCCATCACATCAGGATCAACCGTGTGGCTTCTGGCCATGGATTCGTACGTGGTGGGGCTCTCACCGAGGTCCGTGTGGTATCGTGGTGGCATTGGCGGTCGACCGGCAGCGAGGAGGTCTCCCGGTAGGGGTATGGACGGTGCAGATGGTCTTCGGGCCAACGAACGCCTCCTTGCTTCGAGTTCCTGAGCAGCAATTTGCTTCCTCGTCATGTTACGGGCACGAGGCTGTCCCGCCACAGATGCAGGAGGCTCTGACGTGTCGAGGGACACTCCGCCAGCCTGAGCACTCAAGCCAAAAACGTCGGAAGCGTTGGCGATGATCTGTTCGCCTTGAGCGCTAGGCCTACGGCTGCTCGAACGCTCTGGCAGAGCACGACTTGCTTGTCTACGAGACTGCAGATCATCGCCTGGCTGGCGGCTAATGCTGCGAGCTCGCATACGAAAGCCACGAGTCTCCTGTTGCGCATCGTCGTCGTCTGCCTCACCAAAGCGCTTGGACGACAGGGTGGGCAAAGAAGGAGAACGAAGCGGAGGCTCGATCTCACGATTCTGGCTTCGTCCTCGCTCGCCACCAAGTTGCAGCGGAGCTAATCCTCCAATAAGTGCGAATTTGTCCGCTGCACGGCTTTGCGCCTTCTCAGCCGATTTCCGCTTCGTCCTGCCACTACGCTGCGATTCGGTCGGCGACGCGATGTTCATCTTGTAGAAGTTCTCATCGTCAGTCGTGGCAGGTTCCGGTTGGATTTGCTGTGCACCACTGCTCGCCTGAGCAATCTCTTCCGGTGACATGGGCACTGGCGATGAAGGCGAACGTTTGGCCGGTTTGATATAACGAACATCTTTTCGTCCCTCTGATCGTTCCCGCATTCGACTGCTCGTCCGACCAGATCGGCTTTCACCTCGTTTCCGGCTGCGGTTGCGCTGTCTACTCTGAGCTCTGGAGGAAGCTCGCACTTCGCGAGCTGTGACTCGTGCTTCTTCGACACTGCTGATATACGCATCGATGGCCCGTCCTTTGCCACTTCTCGTGCTACCATCTGTGATGGGACTGAACGCGCCCTGTCGACTCCGGCTACTCGCATCGGTGCTTGGTCCTGGAGACAGGGCATCAGTATAGGCTGTATCCATGATTTCGACTTGAAGCCCTCCTAGCTTGCGTTCTCGAGGACTGTCAGACGTGCGAGGTTCGGCTTTCAGCCGGGAGAAGACGCCTTGTGCTGGAGATGGGAGGTGGCCATCATCCACATCCGGAGCGCGCCTCATCACATCATGATGACCCTGTCGTACCGCGCTGACGGGGTCCGCTGATGGATCGCGACGCGCCAGATTCGGAGTTCTTGAGGAGCTCTTCTCACGAGCGGCTGTCATGGGAGTGGCCAGCTCGGCAGCTTCCTGTTTGGCTCTTGCGATATCATCGCGGGATGGCAATCGTTTCCGTGATTGGTATCCTCCCGGAGTTGCAGTCCTGGCGGTCGATGGCTCACGAGTGGCTCTCATCGCTTTCCACGGAGCGACTCCCCCAGGGGATAAAGCAGACTGGGCAATCGGAGTGACGCCGAGGGCGGTATTGAGTGGCCTGGCTGTGCCACCTTGGCCTGACACCGGAGCGCCTTGGTCGCCGAAGGATGTGATGAGCTTGAGAGACGCATTCTTGGCTGTTAATCGAGCCGACGCAGATCGAGAGGGCGGTGAAAGAGGCGGACTGGTCATTCCTCCAGCGCTCAGAGGCTGCATGAAACGCTCTTGCTGCGCCGCATAGACTGCGTCTTGAGATCGTGGTGAGAACCATGGCTCCGAAGTTTCCACGCTGGTGCATGAAAAGCACCTGACAGCCAACTCCGGTTGACCAGACGTGACCGCTGCTTCGCCCCATTTGCGAATGAGATACGAGATCCGCTGCCAGTCCGAAGGCGACGTGAGACAGGCGAGTAGAACCGATTCCAGCCAATACTGCTGTGAAACGTACACTTCAATGGCATCGTCGTGCTCGCCCAGCCCGAGCAAAATCGCCACAGCCGGATGGATGTCTCCCTTCTCCAGGAGACGCTGCACAAAAGCCTCGCCCACCTTCTTTTGCGAGTCTGCCCCAATGGAGCTCAGTGCGAGAAGCATCCAGTCCGAAGATGTCATGGATTCCGACCCAATCATCGAGGCCATACTGTCTGCACCCATGTCGCCGAGCCATTTGGCAAGTAGCACAGCTGCTGCGGAACCAGGCCGGTGTCGAGACATTTCATCCTGTAATAAACTTTGTACACTGTCATTCCAGCCAAATACCACACTGAGCATTTCGGATAGCAGCAGATCCGGAGTTCTTGCGGCATTCCCATACTGCGGCGTTCTAAAAGCAACGTCTCGAAGGCGAGCCTTGATCGTGGGGAAGAGGTCCATCAGTGCTGTCTCTTGCGCTTCTTCTGGACTTCGCAATATCTCCCGCCGCAGATTGGAGGATCTTCGTGTGTGACGAGCTGCGGATGCAGATGGCAGAGAAGACGCGACGGATCGAATCGACATGCTTTCATGCCCCATCTTCGGAGGTGGTCCAAAGGAGAACTCGGTGCCGTCGTACCCAGCGTCAGAGGACGCCCTCGAAGAATCCGGTCGATCGTATAGATACTGGCGCTGACGCCTTCGCCCTGAGCTCTTCGAACTGGTAGATGATGATGCTTGACTGGAATGAGGACTGAGTGGCATGACCTTGTCACGAATTTCAGACTCCAACGCATCGAGCGAGTCCATTTCCTTGGCAATCTTCTGCAATGGTGACATTGCCGCACTCTCGTCTGCACTGCTCTCATTATCGGTAAAGGTAAACGGAATCTGCTGATCGATGCTCAATGACCTCCCGGACTCTGCATATGGGTTCTTGCGTTCCTCGAGCATAGTGGGCGGCGTCGGAGGTGTATTTGCGGGTGCATGCTGTGCGTTGGCGACCTGCATTGGAGTGGAGCTGGGGTTAATGTCATACTGGAAGACAGCGTGATTGCGGCCCAGCGCGAACAGCGTTGCAGTGGGACCATAGTTGGCAATGCCAGTCACACCATCGCAGGTTGGGATGATTTCGTAGGTGACTTTCTTGGTACGAACGTCCCAAGAGCGTGTTTCACTATACCATGCAATTAGCGCACACACAAGGAGATACGACATACCGCCACCCAACTGAAGGGTGCACGTGGCAATCTCGAGTGCCACCAAAGCCACTCACCCGTCGGCATATTGCACAATCCGGCCGTTCTTCGACCACGCAAACCAGCATGGGCCAGACTGCTGCACTTCTGGTCTCTGCAGGACTCGAATGATGTTGGGAGTTTCTCCATGCTGTGCCTTGGGTACACTCCACACTCGCAGATCGCCATCTGCTGTTTGCGTAGCAAGCATATCCGTCTTCTGCTTCGACGAAGATCCATGCCAGGCGAGATCTGTGATCCGTGCAGGCGATCGTGTGGTATTGAGTGTATGCAGTATCGTGAATGAAGGCTGTAGAGTGGCGATTAATATCGAGCCATTCAGGTACCCAATCGCAAACGTTCTGCAATCTGATGCTGGCGCAATTGCAGTGATAGGATCGAATATCGTGCGTGCCGAGACATGTTCCGATGTGGAAGGTTCGAAAAGGATGATGTTCCCTTGATCGTTTGCTGTACACTATCAGTTGCTGCAAATCTTCCGCTACTCCCATACAAAGCCTGCATACCAAATGCAATGTTGCCGTTGCGCATAAAGCTCGCGACTCTCATGTGTTCATAAGCAGAAAAGCGTGCCACTTCTCCGCCACTGAGGATATCCCAGACAATGGCAGTCTTGCCCACGTCGAAGCTGACTGCCAACCGACCTGATCCTCGTTCACTGACATTGTCCACAGCAATCCATAGCACATCCTCCCGATGCAGCGCAAATCGCCTTTCGATTGTTAAAGTATCATGATGTAGGACGAGAATTTGGCTCCGTTGGGCGTATAACAGGAAGGATGCGGTCGCTGCGCAAGGTTCGAATGCCGAGTCGCCATTGTCAGGTGTGAGACTAGCTGGCGGGGGAGTCTGTCTTATTCCTCCCGAACGCTTCGACGTTGTCGATCTGGTCGAGTGGGACCTCTGCCGCGACACTTGACCGGAGGACATGATGCGTTGCTGTGAGTCTTGGGGGGATGAATGATTAGTCGGGCTCTGCACACACACTTTTCAACATGGCCCGGTAGTAGTAGTGGTGGTGGTGGTGGTGATGGTGGGTGTAGTTGTCAAAGCAGGTGTCTCCTCCAGCACGGAACCTCGACCAGATGAAACATTTTGTAGGCAGCAGAGAGAGGAAAGCATACGACGTACCCAGACATGCGCGCTATATCAAGTGAAGTCACACTTGTGTTCCTCGAGCGGCCACAAATGCTTCTCGAGAAGCTCTCGTGCGCTTAGGACCCGCTACCGCGAACAGGACCCTGGTCAGTGTCGCAGCACACGATGCATGCAGCCGAGCTGCTGGGTGAGGATTGAGAGGGCACACTGAACCACGGCCTGCAGGTGGGAGCAGATGGGAGCGGGTACAAAGAATGCAGGAAGTGCGTGTGAAAAGGGCAGTTCTGCACGGGATGTAGTCTGGGAGCGTAGGTAGGCTGTTGTGTGAACAGAGAGAGGGTGAGAGGGAGAGAGAGAGAGAGATAGCTCGGCGCGTAGATGGTTGAGCAATGAGGAGAGCACGATGCCTCCATACCACACAGGCACACACCCCGTGAGGAACGACCAATGCAGGGTAGTTCGGAGAGAAAGCGGCTAAGTAAACGAGGTGTCTGAAAGGCTGGGAGCAAGACACCTATGAAGAGGCAAAGGGCGACGAATGGTCGACTATTCGTCCAGCAGACAGACGCCATTGGGCCATCCGAGGCCAGCGTGAGTGGCCCTTTTGGCCCGCCCAGAAGATGAGGAGTGGGCCTATTCTTGATGGCTTCCACGCAGGACGGACGTGTTTCATGTGCTGGATTGCTATAGCGTGCATGGAGAGACTCCAGTCGAAGAGAGGAGAGACGAGCAGGTGCAGTGCGAATTGCTTGGAATATGGAACGCAGCCCTGTGATTGGTCCAGCTCAGCGCTTACACAAAAGCCTCGTTCGTCCCGAGCCTGTCAACGTGGGCGCCGCTTCGTGATATATATCAACCAGCACGACGACGTGATCGAGACTTTTCCCCAGAGCCGTCCCTCTCATCAATCAGCACGCCCGTCCGCCCGCCCGCCCTCCCGCCGTCATGAATCATGAATCGTGCGTGCGTGCGAGCGAGCGAGCGTGTCTTTTCCAACCGCCGCTGTGGGTGCGGAGCGCGAGCAGCGGCATCTTTTCCACGAGGACTTGGCCGGGGCGGTGAGGTCGCATAGGAACCGACCGGCTTGGTACGACGTATCTGTTCCCAGGGCAGTGGCATGGCAATAAAGAGTCCTTGCAGCGGACTGCACGTTTCTGTTGGCCTGTGCAGTTCATCACTCACTACTCACTCGGTGAGAGATGGACCTGAGGCAGCACGCTGCAAATAGCTGGCTGCCACAGAGCACACTAGGAGGTAGGTAATATTCTACTGGTGCCGCTCCCCCGGCATCCCTAATGCGGTGCGCGCATTGCTGGATTCGCTGCCCATCGTTATATTGCTTTCCAGCCGGCCTCGTGCTGCCTGCCGTAGTTCGTGACGGCGTTACATGTCCACCGCGACTTCCAGTAGCAGCGGCCGTGAAGAGTTGGCGTTGGCGTTGGGAGTTTGCTGTCTTGCCAATCGTGGGCGCTGCCGACCTCCAGTGTCCAATGTTGCGCGACCGCAACTACGTGCCCTACACCATCACGCCTCATCACGTCGAGGCGAGAAGGGAGTGCGAACAGTGCGAACAAATGAAAATCGATAATGACAATGATGATGATGATGATGACGATGATGGATGGTGGTAATGATGATAATATAATGCACGTTCGTTAAATCCATCACTGTCGCTATATGGGTATCGTCGCCTAAAAAACCAATACAAAATGCCGTTTAGCGCCTGGCTTGGCACATTAAAGTCCTCCCGTCATTCATCACTCCTGGTGCTTCGTCATCTGGCACACTCGACGTGTACTTGCATATCTCATTGTTGAATTATTGAGCGTTCCAGGCGCTCTCATTCGGTACACCCTCTCTCCCTCCCTCCCTTTTCACTGTTTCCATCGCGCTTCCATGAGAGCCTGGCCACGCCAGCTGTCTCAGCACCGCTGTCCGGACCATGTGCCGGCGGCTCTCGCGTGACAATAATGATGAGTTGTCACTGCGTGTACTTGTCCCATACATGAGTGAGGCTGCAACAAACACGACTCATCGGATTCACGCTCTCGCCAAGCCCGACCGAGCGTCTGGTCTGTGGCCTGAGCATCACGTGTCAAAATGAGTGGGTCACACTCCTGGTGTCGCAGCTCCCCCATCACATGCTGGTGGACGGTGATGCCAGTTCGTTGATCATTCGTCCTCGGTTGTTGAACACCACTGCATGTTCCAGATCACAAGTCGATCACTCCTTCTTGCTGATCTCGGAGCTACTGCGACGCTTCTTCTTCGACTCGGTGGTTCTGCAACTCCGTGGCTTGATGGCAACGACCGGAGGCAAAAGAGGTCTTGCGAGCCACGCTTGGGCTTGTCGTGGAGGTGGTGGAGGCTCGCTCAAGTAGTATTCATCATCGTTGCCAAAGAGGTCCGCATCGCTGATGTAGGCGTTTGGTCGATCTGTCAGTCTTCTCGACGCGTAACCAGTACATGAGGAATATGGGTCAGCGAGATTCGTTGTTGTCGCTGTTGGTGTGGTTGATGATGTTGATGTTGATGCTGGTGCAGCTGTCGATGTTGTTCCCGATGACGAGCTGTTGCGATGTGTTGTTGATGTCGCTGAACACGACGCCGAAGAGGCGGTTGAAGCGATGGACATTCCACGCGTTGGCGACATCGATGGCGTCGAGCACTGGCTGGAGAAATAAGACGACATGTCGGTAATGTGTGTCTGAAGGTTGGAATCGTTGCTGATGGAGCAATCGGCGGTTACCAGGTATAAGTAAGGTCGCCGGTGGGCAGCGGACAGTAGTAGTGCGTCGACGGTAAGAAGTGTATGACTGCGTGCACCTGCTATATATGGCAGAGCCGGTGGCAGTGGTCAGTCAGAATGTCACCCTCGCAGGCAGGGTTATCAAGCGACGAGTCCGATTCCGGAAGGCGAAGGATGACAAAAAGGCGTATGATGAGTCGCTCCCCGGGGATTCCACCAGACGGAGGCGCTGGAACGGGAGGGAGTATGATATATAAACCTGACCGCAGCTGCTGCAAGCCCAATCAGTCACTTTTTTTGTCCAGACACGACGGGGCACGGCGAGAGCAGGATCCTAGATTATGAGCAGGAGCAGCAGCAGTGTGGCAGCGTGCTGGCCGGCATGGGATTATCTCGCTTTTTGCCTTGAGCCTTGGTCCCACTCCGAAACAAGGCCCTCGGTATATTTCCACACTGATTACCGGCTACCGGACTCTACCTGGCCTGGCCTGGGCCTGGCCTTGGTGGCTTTTGCCTGGCCTTGCCCTCTTTTTGCATACCGACTTCTCCCTCCGACCTTCAGCCTATATCATCGTCATCACATCGCGCAGCTGAGCAATGAGCATCACATGCATGCCATCGACGACAACGACGACGACGACGACGTCGACGGCTCTCGCTCTCTCTCTCTCTCACCGGCCCACTCGCTCGCTGCTCCGTCCCACCACCCGCCGCGTCCTGCACACCGCAAACCGTATCCCACTGACAGCGCGACATCGTCTACGCCACGTCGTCGGGTGCGGTCAGCGATAGACTGGTGACTTGCTGCACCACGCCGAGGCCTTCACATGGTGCTCGGCAAGCGCAGGGAAAGTTTATCCCTCCATGTACCGTAGGGTATGCTAGCAGGCTTGCACGTACCCGCTTCCGCCCACATGGGCCATGGCATGGGGTACCGCGCGCGGATCGGTGGAGCGACAGCTGCTGCCGCCGGTCAACCAAGCCACCAAACAGGCTACGGCAGCTGGCTCCTCTCCCTTCCCTCCTCGCACTAAGAGGGAGGAAGTGAACACCACCCGTACCACCCGTACCACCCTCCTCACTGCACTGCCGGGGAAATGAATTGAGAAATCTGTCCCTCGTCCGACTTCCCACGACGCCCACGTTCCCCGGCGGGGAAGAGAACAGGAATTACCAGCCTCCAAGGCTGAGTCTGGCCACAGCCCAGCCCAGGTGGTATTCCGGTCGCGGAACCAGAATAGGCTCCGATCTGTCTCGCAGCTCGCTGGGCGGATGCAAAGGGATTACACGCAGCCTCCTTCGCTGACTACCTACACTCTGTACCTACCTACTCGCACTGCACTGTGGCATGCTTGACCGCCACCTCACACGACGTCACAGTATACCAATTTGCCGAACCTACCGTTTTTCTTGCTTGTTAACTTTCGCGCACCACACACACAGGCTGTGAAGACAAAGACGACGACATGTCCGCCATCGAGCTTAGTGCGCGAATCTGTATGATGTTTCCGATGCGCGGCGACTTGTCGCACGGTGCCGCGGTCAACCACACCACACCGGATTCCGACTAGATCAGGCTTACTACTGAAGATACAGAATCAGACCACCGCTCTTTCAGATCACGTCGAGACGAGATGCGTGGAGAGCGATATGATGATGATGATGATGATGATGATGGCATGTGCGCAACACCTCTGAGAGCGTGGACTCTCAACACCAATCTTCATTGCTCTCACATCCAAAGGCAGAGTCAGGAGAGTCACAGTGCTTGCGGTACCATGACCCTTTTCCCAAGAAAAATGGCACTTTGCACCTTGAGAGTCTGAAACCTTTCCGAGCATCCTTGACATTCCGGGGACCTACAACCGATCCATGACTTTAGATCCGCGGACCGCGCCTACTAGTCTTCACAGTCGGAAGTGCAAAGAAAGAGTCTGTAGGAGGTACTTGTCGTCGAGACTTGTGACCTCTCATCGTGCGGTGGTATGATGAGATGCTCATAGGTAAGCTTTCGACGACATCCCTCCACTCCAACTGTATCGAGCTTGAGCATCCTTTGTTGTCGTGCAACGACTGCATGAGGTTCATCACATCAAAGTGTATGTGCCGTCAATCACTTCACCTGGGAACGCGCTCTAGGCCTCGGGCCGCACTCGCTTCGAGCGCTTTGACCACGGTATGGCCTCAGTTTCCACGAACAGGTAAGGTACGTACTGTAGATGGCAGTCAAGATACTAGCGAGAGCCGACCAGGAAAACATCACAGTACCTCCTAGTGTAGTAAAGGGTACAGAGGATGGCTACTCATTATCCGACTGCGAAAGCGCGGGTTTCGAGTACATACTACAGGTACCTCCTCACGGACATCAATAGGCATCCGGCGCCGAGCACGCCCCGACCCATGACGTGCACGAGAAGCAGGGGACATGTCAACACTCACATCAGCGAGCAGTAATACATGTATGCAGAGAGTGTCTCAGACGCACTTGATTTGGATTGCGCTGCGGCTGCTCGTCATTTTCTCCAGTTTTTCAGCGGCAATGTCAATCAATGGAGACGGGCCACTCTTCATGACATCAAGCGGCGCATCCCATTTTCGAAGTGCAGGTGAGACATGATGACCTACCATACAGGCATGTTGATGTACTAGGGCGTGCAGACTGGCGAGAAAGTGTATACACAAAGAAAAAGAGGCAGTGTTCATAAGCCAGGAATCCCCAGCAGCGTATAGGAGTTAGGTACTGTGCCGCCCACCGCCCTACCTCGGGAGGTAGCAGGTGAAAATTGCCGTGAAGAAGCTGCAGAGGTCAGACACAAAAAGGTCCACTTCTTCAAGAGGGCAACACCGTAACAAAGTAAAAAAGGCCCCGTAGGGCTGGGGGAGAGGAGATTATGACCGGGTTTCCCGGTCGCATGCCGTAGTAGGACAGTAAAAAGGGCTTTCCGACCCTAGAAGATACTGTAGTGGCGGTTTCGGGAACATCTCTGCTGATTTGATAGTTCCCTTATAATAATTCCCAACATGAGCACACCCTTCCTTTGCACCAATCGTCTATTCTGCGCGTACAAATGTACCTGCGCACACATTCCTGCAAAACAGCATGTAAATGCAGATGCAGATGCAAATGCAAATGCAGTCCTCGTCCAACCTGCATCGTGCCACATCCAACCATGCCAACAACTACACCTATTCTGGAAGAAGTTTTTTTTTTTTTTCTTCGTTTTTTTCCTGCTTTCTATAATCTCCAATCCCTCCCAGCCCACACCACACCCCTATCTAGGTACCTACCTTATCATGCCAGCACTCTTATCACTCCCGTAGTTCAGCCATGACCCTAATCCTCCCTTTTCTCTTGTTCTCCTTCTCGAACGACGTGCTACGTAACTAGTTCACAGGCATGTCTGTACTGTGTGTACTTGTAGCGTTTGTACTGTTTGTACTGTATACATGCTCGGCCCTATTCAACTTGTCAATTCCAAGTTACATGTTACATGAGGTAGGTATGTATTCGAACTAGGTCTATTCCCCCAAATGTGCCGCTGCGGCTGCTAGGAGGGTTTATTCGTTTGTTCGTTTTTTTTCGTTTCGTTTCGTTTCGTTTGTTTGTTTGTTTGTTTGCTTGTTTGTTGACAAGGTAAGGTAGAGGAGATTGGAAAGACGGGATAGGGGTTTGTTTTCTATTCTACGAGCTTTTTCAATCTTGTATACCTTACATTTCTTTTTTCTTCTAGAGGAGGTAGAGTCTATATACCTACCTACCTACCTAGGTAAGGTCAGGTCAGGTACAAATGAATTGGCCGAATGATAGGGTAAGTAGTAGCTAGTTAGGTAGAAGAAGAAGAAGTAAAGAGAGAGAGAGGTAAGGTAACTATCTACTATACTACTGTATTTACCTGACTACTGCACCTACTCTAATTTTCCACTCTAGGTACTAGTAAGTAGCTTGAATTAATCTTGAATAGTCTTGAATTGTCTTGACTACCTATTTGACTAAGGTAGTCTTGACTCTATAAGGTACTACTGTACCCTACCTGACTTTTTGTTTCCTTCTCGTCTGCTATAGTAACTTTTTCCTTCTTGTCTCGTGTCCCTTTTTACCTTTTCCCTTCTTTTTTTTCTTGTATACTTTTCCCTTTTTTCTCAAACTTTCTTCTTGCATGCATACCATCTAACGATCTTCGATCTGTTAGCTACCTACATTAGCTGTCCCTTGCTTACAGGTATTGTGCAAATTTCGGCGTGTTTGTGATGACTTGATAAGAGTCGCATAGTATTAAGGTACCTACCTACCTGAGGTCAGGTCAGGTCAGGTAGGGAGGGAGGGGATCTCCTCATCTTTTCCTCTTCCTACTTTGTTGGGGGTGTGAGGAGGGCGGGATGAGGGTGATGGGTTGGGTGGAGTGGGATGAGGATGGGATGAGTACATGTGTGTTGGGTGTGTTGGGTGTGTTGGGTGTGTTGGGTTGGTCAGGTTGCTGTCAGGTTTTGAGAAGTATACACCGAGCAGGAAAGGTTTGTACCTACCTCAGGTATGTATCTGCAAGTCTGGAAGTCAACAGATAGATGCATGTAGGGAGGTATATAGAGCTTTGATGAAAACGCACCATGTTGCATGTACTGTATACATGCAGGAAAGCACACCATGCAAGGAGTACGTACCCAAGGTATCCCCAACACCAACTGAGCATACATATATTTTGTTACAGATCACGTGCTCAACTGTAATGGTCGAGGTGAAATCCCATTTCCTCCACTATCCATTCCTTAGTCTCTATCCATTCACGAGGCCCTAGTTAGAATTTGGTGGTGGTCGTCCACTCGCTTCGGCAACGAGCGATTTGCTGCGCATGATCCTAAGTCCAAAGGAAACCTTCAGCCGAGCAATCGGGCAGAGAACCTTTGGCCATGAAATGGCTATGCTGGATGAGTCTTGTGGGTGGCGGGATGGGGTGGAGGGTGTAGATGGGATGACATCTTTTTGGTCGTTTTTTTGGTTTTTTTGTGTGTATGGGGAAGTTGAGGGTTCGATTCGTAGTGGGGAGAGGAAGATTGTTTCTTTTTTTTTTCTTTTCTTTTTCTTTTTCTTTCTTCTCCTTCGTGTATCTTGATGCAAAGTTGGCAGTATTGTAATACCTAGGTGAGGTATAGATGTTTATTTACTCGGTGAATTCTTCCATAGCCTCATGTCACTGGAAGATTCAAATCCACGTCGCAGTGGTACCAAAAGCGAGTAGGACGGGACATGATACTCCTCAGCACCCGCAAGCGATAGATACCCAGCCGAACTAACTGCTGTTCGTGTTACAACAGCAACGGCATCGAGCCGTCTACTAGACAATATCAATACACTCTTCATCTGGATGTCGAGGTCAGACTCAGAACTCGGTATTGGACATGTTTTACATCATCTCTTCAATCATGATACCGACGCGCTGGACAGAGCAACGCGCCATTCGGTTCATCCAAACGCGACGGTAGTAGCCTCTTATCAGTGTCGTGGCAACCAACAGTACGAGAGAGAGCCTTTACGCTACGGTAGAAGGGCGGACATGCGCGGCTTGCTTCCATTTGCACCTTGCATGATAGATACCGTCTTCTTCTTCCTCTTCTTCTTCTTCACCACCACCACCTCATCTTTCCCGTCGACTCTCGTTTGATTCTCCCCCGAGAGAAATCCGTCCTTCGTTTGCGCAGAGAAAGTCATTTATTCGTGGACTGGGCGCAGGTATTCGACGACTCCTCCTGCAGCCACGCGAACAGGGTTGTGATTGGTATTTCACCGTCAACAAAGCCCGGCCCGCCCTTGTCCACGTCGCTCGCTACCAAGCTCCGGCGCCAAGACGATGTGGAAGACGGTACGTTCGCTTTCATCACTGGTTGGCCGTGCATGGCAGCAGCAGCAACATCTCGGCGCAGATTTCATCTATGCAATGCGGTGGAAGGGGAAATTGACCATGGATCGCGATAGGTCGCCGCCTTTCTTTGCGCCCACGCGGCTCTCACCGCCGCCGTCGATCCCATCGAAGTCCACCAGCAAGAGTTTGTCATCCCGAACAACAATGGAGAGCGCTTCATGATTGTGGGCGTGGACTATCAGCCGGGTGGACAGGGAGCATATGGCACCGGCAGTGGTGACCCCTTGAGCAATGCCACCGTCTGCTTGCGCGATGCCGCCTTGCTCCAAGCCCTGGGCATCAATACCATCCGCTCCTACAATGTCGATCCGACACTGAATCACGACGAATGCGTGTCCATCTTCAACGCCGTGGGCATTTACCTGCTGCTGGATGTCAACAGCCCTCTTCCGGGACAGTCCATCGATCGCTCGAATCCCAGTGATAGCTACAATACCGACTATCTCAACCACATCTTCACCGTCGTCGAAGCCTTCAAGGACTATCCGAACACGCTTGGCTTCTTTGCCGGCAACGAGATTATTAACGATGTCGCCACTGCCGAGGCCAATCCGCCATACATCAGAGCGGTGCAGCGCGATTTGAAGAATTACATCAAGAACCACGCCTCTCGCACCATCCCTGTGGGCTACTCTGCTGCACAAGTGCAAGATGTGCTCAAGGATACCTGGGCGTACTTGCAGTGCGGCGACGACATCTCTCGATCCGACTTCTTCGGCCTCAACAGCTATTCGTGGTGCGGCAGTGGTTCCAGCTTCACCACCTCGGGATACGACACTCTTGTCCAGTGGTTCAGCAACACGACCATCCCCGTATTCTTCAGCGAGTACGGCTGCAACGTGCCCTCACCGCGAGTCTTTGACGAAGTCCCCGTCCTCTACGGCCCCCAAATGACCGTTCTCTCCGGAGGTCTCGTCTACGAATGGACGCAAGAATCCTCCAACTACGGCATCGTCAACCAAAACGACAACGGCACCCTCTCCCTCCTCGCCGACTACGAAACTCTCATGAACCAATTCAACAAAGTCAACGTCACCCTCATCACCACCCAAAACGGCACTGCCACGAACCTTCAAGCCCCCGCCTGCAGTGCCGGACTCATCAGCAACTCCGGCTTCAGCAAAGACTTTGACCTTCCCTCCGTCCCCTCGGGCGCAGAAGACCTCATCTCCAACGGCGTGTCCAACCCTCCCAAAGGCAGCATTGTCCCCGTCACCCAGACAAACGTCGACATTCCCGTCTACGCGGCCAATGGCGCGCAGGTGCAGAATTTGGCTATTGCCGCTGCGTCGGGAGCGAATCGGCCTGGTTCGGGCGGTTCGTTGACGGTTGCTTCCTCTGGCAGTGGTGCGAGTAGCACAGGTTCTCCGTCGTCTTCTCCTTCTTCTTCTTCTTCCTCGAGCGAGGGATTTGCAGCGAAACCTACGCATTATGGTCCTGTTGAGATGGTTGCTGCCGCTGCTGCTGTGTTTGGAGCGGGGTTTATGCTGTAGAGGTGCATGGATAGTATTTTTGGGGGTGCAGTTGCCGCTGTGTTGACTCTTCGTCATTATCAATCATCATCGCCATTGTTGCGGCAGCAGCAACAGTAGATGCGAGAGAAGGAAGAAGTTGTGGTGGGAGTATTACAGTAATACAGGTAATGATGAAAGAATAGAGGATACAGGGATAAATACATGTACCTTAATGTCTGGATGTCTGAATGAATGGATGCATCGGTTGAAAGAGAGAGGAAATAGACCAAGGAGAAGGAGAAGAGGATGAAGATGAAGATGCAGATGAAGTAGCGGGAAGAGGAAATAGAAGGGAAGAAGAAAATAGAACAACCCTCCCAGAAGCAGAAGAAGCAGCAGAAGAAGAATGCATAGAAACAAGAGAAGCAAAGTATAGATTACGCATTCATGGACTGACTACAGTACAGTACAGAACAGTACATAATAGTACTTGAACATAATGACATTAGAGAACCCCCCTTTTTTTCCCCAAAAACATAAAAATCAAAATTTCAATCTGGTATATTTCATCCTGTGATATTCCCGTCTCCCTCCTAGTATGAATTACAAGTCATAAGTATAAGTGTATATATATATATATCTGAGAAAAGAGTGGTGTCCGAAGTCATAGTGATAATTTTTGGTTTTTTTTTTCATTTGGGTTTTCGTTTTCGTTCTGTCTGTCTGCCCATGCTCGCAAACTTGCTTGTCTTGGAAGGAAGGAGAGGAAAGAAGGGAAGGAAAAGAAAGGGCAGAAAGGGAGAAAATATAATCTGAAGTTCTTCGGTCCATTCATGTGAACTGACTGACTACCTTACATTAACTAAAAGTTACAGTACAGTACAGTATACCCTTTTCGGGGTTTCCCTTCTCGGAAAGGAGAGGTTAGGGTATTGGTTTTCTTTTCGTGAGAGCTGTTTGTTCCCATTCTCTTTTTCCGTCGCTGTTGTTACCGGAATGGAACGTCGGCCGTGTATAACATCATCGTCATTTCATCGCACGCCTGGCGACACTTTTTCTTTTTCTTTCTGCAGCTGCACTGCACCGCACTGCGGTAATAACCTTGGAGCAACAGCAGCTGCTGCTTGTCTCTCCTAAGTGCTGTCTCGTCTTTCTCACTGGTTTCTCGTCTTTCTCACTGGTTACTCGTCTTCCTCACTGCCGTATCGCCCTCCTCACTCGGTCTAATCGTCCTCACTCCTCGAAATGACCTTGATCTGCCGAATACCATCCGGTTCAGTCGGAATGGCTTGAAGGACATCCTTGGTCTTTTCCCACGGAACTTTGAACAGTCCGGAATTGATCTTGCACATTCTCACTTCGCTCACCTCCTCACCCGGGTGAGTGGTATTGTGCTCCTGTACCTGCCGCAACAAGTGCCGCATGGCAGGTCCCGTTGCACTGAGAATCTTGGCGGGTGAATCGGCCTCTCGACCCTTGGACACTGATGTGAACAGACAACCAACGAAATGCTCTTCACCAGCTTCCTTGTGCGGTGGGATCAGGAGAGCTTGTCCGACGAGTTCGCCACCGTTGCGTTGGCAATGGGTTTTGTACACTTCGAATGCTGCGGGGTATTTCCCTTTGAATGCTTTGGCAATGCCGCCGCCCCATGAACCTTTAGTGTTACAGGCATGGATGATGAGGGTGTTTGGAGGAGCGTTGAAGATGTCGTTGATGCTTTCGACCAGTGTGATGCTCGACGTGGAGTCAGTACTGCTGCTAGCGTGTTGTTGTTGCTGACCTGGCGAGTTACTGCTTGACGGATCTGGCTGCGATTTTGAAACCTCTTGACTCAGTCTGAATGAAGCTGACATTGAATCGCCGCCGCTGGTGCTGGGATCAGTGCTGATGCTACTCGTCGTGTTGATGTTGTTGCTTCGAGTCGACGGCACAGCAAGTTTTTGATACTTCCGGGCGCGAGGAACTCCTGAAGATGTAGACTGTCCGAATGACTGTGTCAATGCTGGAATGGTGGAAGGGTCTGGTGTTGAATGAGGTGGTGATGTCGGAGTGAGGAGAGCAGGTGCAGGCGTAGTTCTACTTGGCTTGGCTCGCTTTGATATGTTGCCGGAACTGGCCTTTTCATCATCGGGTACAGAGCGCTTGAAACTCGTCCGAGCCGGCGGAGGGCCCATGTCTCCAGTCACCATGATTGGACTGAGGGAGGGTGTTGTTAACCAAAGATGGTAAAGTTCACTTCACCTCGACTCTGTTACCTGTAGGCAGCCAGCCGCGTCCTGCGTAGGCTACAGACTAGTATCACAGCTACGCGCATTACCTCACAACGCTTCTGATTGGACACCCATCTCTTCCGAGCAAGAGATTCCACGCCTCCCGGTCTTCAACCATCACCACCACCACCACCTCTACCACCGCCGCTACGACGACGACGACCCCCCATTGGACTCGCTGACTGCCGCTCCTGCATCTCCCTCACCGTCGCCATGTCCATCTCCTCTCGCGCGGCGTCTTCGCTGGTGCGTGGCGCCGGTCGCCAGACGCTGCCCGCCCTGCGCACCTCGACCACCGCCATCCAGAAGAACACCGAGAGGACTGCCTCGACCGATGCCTCGACATCGCACGCCGAGTTCAAATCCCCCTTCTCCCGCGGCTCGAGTAGCAAGCCGGACACCACCAACATCCCGTCCTTTAAGAGCTATCGCAACAAGGGCAGCGAGACGAGCAACAAGATGTTCCAGTATTTCATGGTCGGCGCATTTGGTGGTATCTCGGCTCTTGGAGCCAAGAACACTGTGCAAGGTGAGTGACACAAATACAGCGCGTAGTAGAGCTGTGACACCACTAGTTGGCATCAATGGGCGTCAGAAATGGCTGACGAATGGGTCATGTAGACTTCCTGGTAAACATGTCCGCATCTGCCGATGTCCTGGCTCAGGCCAAGGTCGAGGTCGACCTCGCATCCATCCCCGAAGGCAAGAATGTCATCATCAAGTGGCGTGGCAAGCCCGTCTTCATCCGTCACCGCACCGCCGACGAGATCAAGGAGGCCGAAGACTTGGACTGGAAGACGCTTCGGGACCCACAGCCTGATTCAGACCGTGTGAAGAAGCCGGAATGGCTCATCATGCTGGGTGTCTGCACCCACTTGGGTTGTGTGCCCATTGGTGAGGCGGGAGACTATGGAGGATGGTTCTGCCCGTGCCACGGTTCTCACTACGATATCTCGGGTCGTGTAAGAAGGGGCCCAGCACCATTGAACTTGGAAGTGCCAGCGTACGACTTCCCAGAAGATAATGCGCTCGTCATTGGTTAAGCGCGGGGACGGGAGTGGACATGAGAGGGAGAAAAAGACGTCGAGTGTAGCTGGGAATGAAGACAGGTGGTATACGCTGAGCCAGACAGGCGCGGCCCTTGTACAGTTAAAGATACATCATCTTGTTTTAGCGCTGGTGAGATCAGGTCTGTAAAAGAGGTCACATTTACGCGCTATCCCTTGCCTCTTGTTGTGCTTGCCCATGGATTGGGACTCATGGTCCATGGCAATGCTGGAGATGCTGTAACACTTTGGATCCTACTCTTTGCGGTCAGCTTGCCCAAAGATATCGCGGAACAGTGGTTGCTAGTTCACGCACTGCTATACCTCCGTCGGATACCCGCGCCAGCAGTTATTGGCTTACTAAGATATATCTCGAACTTTTTGGTTCTCAGTTTTGGGCCACTAGAATAACATGAGACCCATTGCCGTGCACCATCACGAACGCCTCAAGCCAATTTTTCGTTTCGACCAAGAAACTGTACGCGTCAAGAAGTGTATCGTACACCCGCGTCTGCCTTCAATATGGGCAAGAGAAAGGCGAATGGCGATGACAACCAGCCAACAAAAGACAAGATGGAGATTGACGGGGAAGATAGCGGGACCGACGACGACGTACGCTGGCCACAGTGAAATCTCTCCTCAAGACACCGCTAATTGCTCCCGCAGGATACCAACATGCTCGACGTCGACTTCGAATTCATGGACCCCAACCCTGCAGTCGACTTCCACGGCATCAAGAACCTCCTCCGCCAACTCTTCGACTCAGACAACCAACTCTTCGACCTCTCCGAATTAGCCGATCTCATCCTCTCCCAACCTGGCATGGGCTCCACCGTCAAATGTGATGGCGAAGAAAGCGATCCCTATGCTCTTCTCACAGCGCTCAACCTCAACCACCACCGAACCAAGCCCATCATCCTCAACTTGACAAGATACATTCTCTCCCGAGCCAAAGCTTCAGGGAACTCGGGCCTGTGCCAACTCGAAAAATTGCTCGCGGCAGATTCCAAAGCACAAGTCGCTTTGGTATTGAATGAGCGATTCATCAACATCCCCCCACAAATCATCCCACCCATGTACAACCTCCTCGTGGAAGAAGTCGATCTCGCAGTGAAAGACCAGGAACCCTTTGATTTCACGCATTATCTCATTTTCAGCAAAACCTACGCCGAAGTAGATTCCAAACTCGATGCCGAAGACTCGGAACGGCCGAGCAAGAAGGGGAAAAAGAGCGCTACGACCTCACAAAGAGGAGGCAAAAAGAATGATGATGATGCCTCCGAGACATTTTACTTTCATCCCGAAGATGAAATTTGGCAGAAACATGCGGTCGGGTTTTCGAATTTCGATTATGAAAAGGAAGCGGATGAGGGAGCGAGTGATGCCAAACGAGCTTTTGCCGAGGCGGGAATTCAGCCGCAAGGGCATATGGTGTTGATTGAGGGGAAGAAGAAATTTCACGAGGCTGTGAAGGCTGTGGGGGAGTTTCTGCAGGGTTGATGAGATGTTGTGGGTGGTTGAAGCGAAAGGGAAGGGAAAGGGAAGAAATGAAAAGAGGTTATAAGTAGCGAATGAAACTTGCCTCTGGTATTCGAGAACGAACAAACGAACCGTTTTTTTCAATATGTCTGAACCTCCAATGTGAGCGTAGCAATACCCTTTTGGTGGGAGGATTTCCATCAACTACGCGCTGCTCATCCTGCAGAGTGCATACAGACCATATCAGTCATTCTCTCTACCGCCGACAAGAACAACAACAACAACAACAACAACAACAAAGAAATCGATCATCCAAGACAGGCATGAAAATCAAAACGAACACCTATTCACGTGTCGCACAAACCCATACGACTGATCTACACGACCATCACTTCCTCCCTTCCTTCCTCTCCCACAGTGCATGCATGCATCCTCGCTTTCAATCCCGTTCAATCCCATCCCATACTTCCCCTCGCGCCAGAGCGAGTAAGTAGGTATTTCCCCACGAGCTGTTTATACTACTATTATTACCTGGTTCTTCCTTCCCAAAAGGAGAAAGAAAGAGAAAAAAAAGAGCACCGGCTACTAACCGGGTAGATTTTCTTTTTTTCTTTTAGATGCCTTTCGATAGTTACCTTATATATACAAACAAGGCCTAAGAGAGGGAAAGGAAAGGGAAAAAGTAAAAAAGTGAAAAAAGGGTTGTATTTAACCCTGTCTTTCCCTTCCTTTCCTTTCCTTTCTCTTCAAACGATACGGCGGCCGGGCTGTTTTCTCTTTCTTTTTCTTTTTTTTGCTCTCTCTTTCCTAATATCAAGTTATACATACATACATACAAGCGAAAGATAACAATTTTCCAAATTCCTTACTCAAGACAAGTAGAAAAATAAATGCTTATATATAACATAAGGTAAAGTAAGGTCAGGTAAAGTACAAGTCATAAAAACTCCAATAGGCTATTGTATCTTCTCAATATACCTACCTACCTATGTACAGTAGTAAATCAGCCATTTTGTTACAAGAAGCAAGCGGCTTGTTTAGGCTATATACAGTACCTAGAGATAATTTGATTTGATTTGATTTGAGCTGCATGTGACTGGAATGGCCTTTTTGGTTCCGAAAAAAAGATGAGGGTTTACTGTTTCTTACTTTGAGAAGTGCTGCACTGCTGTTTGTTCGTGAGTTAGATAGATAGATAGATAGTATTAGTTTGAGAAAGAGACAGAGAGAGAGATGTTCGATTTCCGGTATTCAATCGGAGTTTCACAGAGGTGTTATACTTCGATATCGGAGTTCGTTGAAGTATGTATCGCAGGTATCTATCGGAGTATTGTAGTTGATCGCAGTGTTGTAGATAGTCATCGCAGTCCATCTTTCCAGCGTCCAAATGCCGTGAAAACGTCAGGTCAGGTCAGGTATATACATACAGCACATGTACATGTACCCTTACTTAGGCAGAGGCAAGCTTCTTCTCTCTCTCTCTCTCTCTCTCTCAGAGATCGTAATTTTGTACTAACATCTCACAAATCTTACCTTTCTATACAGATCACATCATCCGTACCGGCACATGGAATCTACCGGGGGGAGAGAAGGCGATGAATGATTAGGGCAGACTATGTTGTTTGTGAATGACCAGGTAGTCTTATCTTTTTCTCTCTCTCTCTTTTCTCTCGTTTCTCGATCGATGGAGATTGGAGATGGAAGATGGAAGGGATTGGAAATGGATGATGCCTTGCCCCAAAAGAGATGGAAGAAAGAACTATATACATACTTGTACTTGTACTTGTACTTGTTGTACTTGTCAGTCTTGTTCTTTAGCGAACCAACTCAATACCAACATTTTCATGTCATCATCATCATCACCATCATCATCATCATCCAGGGATGCGTGAATGAGGTGATGATAGAGTTTTTTCGTTTGCATTTTTGTTGTTGTTGTTGGTGGGTATCCCTGTTACATAGACCTGACCTGACCTGTTTCATTCATTCATCACTCACCCATCCGTTCCTCAGGTTTGAATGAATACATTCGATACAAATCCACCTACCATAGTATGGAGTTATTACTACCTACAGTAGGTACCTTACCTTATCTACATACCTTACCTTACCTTACCTCACACAACAGACCTGACATACCTCCTAGGTAAGGTTACAGGTAGCTTCAATTCAAGCTCCATCAAAGAAAACCCACACGATCGTCAGCAATCTGAACACGGGCATGTGATACCTTCCATCTCGATCGAAAAAACTCCCTTCAGTCTCACATTTTTTGATTTTTTAAACTTTTTCGGGGTTTTTGTTTCTGTAAACCCTCTCTCTCTGTGTCTGTCTCTGTCTCTCACACTCAAACACATGGCGGCCACGTGTGAAGTTTTTTGTTTCTTATCTATAGTTCTATGCCAAGTACGCAAGGGCAGCCCCCCTCCCCCTCCCCTGTCCTGTCCTGTTCTCTTTTTTCCCCTTCTCTTTCATCCGTTTTCCCTTTTGTCTCTTTTTTTACCCATCGGCATCCTTTCTTTGGTGACATTGACCCACTGGTCTGGCTGGCTCTTTTGTTTTTTCACCAAGAGTGTTGGGGGGATAGATTAGGGTTGGGATTGGGGGTTGGGGGGGTTTGATAGCCTGTCTGCCTGCCTGTCTGCTTGCCTGCCTGGGGGTATTGCAACCGTACAGTACCGTACCGTTGCAGCCCAGGAGCCAGGAGATAAGTGAGTGTGATAGAGATAACCTGTAGAGATAGATATATGAAAGGGAGTGGGATGCGCGGTCGCCCAGTCGGGTTTCTCTTCTTTTGTTTTTGTGAGTGAATGAAAGCTTTGGGTCTCAGGCCTTCTCATTTCATCTCATCTGAGTTGTGAGGACCAGTATCCCTGGACTTCTTGTTTTACTACTACTACTTGCGACTGGTGTGAGTCACCTTTCAGCTTTGTATAGGGTAGGTAAGGTAGCTGTTGTAGCTGCGTGATCTATCCGAGAAGGGGCGGACAACAACCAACCAACAACACCAACACCAACAACAACGCCATCATGTCGACTCCCACGACACCAGAATTCAACTCGTCCGAGCCCTGGGGCGGCGATCCTCTAACCACCGACGTCAATGCGCAATACGCTGGACTCGAGTACCACTACACCTACCTCGTCTTCTGCGGCTTCATCGTCTGGCTCATCATTCCCGGAATCGGACTGCTGTACGGTGGGCTCGCGAGAAGAAAGAGTTCCCTGTCGCTGCTGTTCCAAAGCTTGATGGTGGCGTCGGTGACGACGTTCCAATGGATGTTTTGGGGCTACAGTCTCGCGTACTCGAGGACGGCGAATGCGTTTATTGGAGATTTGACCAACTTTGGCATGATGAAAGTGAGAGCTGCGCCGAGTCCGGGGAGTGCGGTGATTCCTGAGGTGAGTTGGATAGTGGATGAAGGGCTGATGATGGGGAAGAGGAGAAGCTGACGAGGAGAGAGAAATAGATCGTCTTTTGCCTGTACCAAATGCTCTTCTGCGCCTGCACCGTGCAAATCGTTATCGGCGGTTCGTTCGAGCGTGGTCGCATCCTGCCTTCACTGGTCTTTGCCTTCTTCTGGGCCACGGTCGTCTACTGCCCCATTGCGTGTTGGACCTGGAACAGTAACGGCTGGCTGTACACGTTGCCCTCGCTCGACTTTGCTGGAGGTGGACCCGTGCACATCGCGTCGGGATGGGCTGGTCTGGCATACGCGTTCATTCTGGGCAAGAGAAGGAGTGTCGGCGCCCAGTCCAAGAAGAAGCCGCACAACACGACCTTGGTCTTCCTCGGAACGATCTTGATCTGGTTCGGCTGGTTCGGTAAGCGAAGGAAACAAGGAAGTGGAAGTGGAAGCGGGTACATATGCTGATACAAGACAGGATTCAACGGCGGCTCCGCGCTGAACGCGTCCGTTCGTGCCATGTATGCGGCATTCAACACCAACACCGCGGCGAGCTGCGGCGTGCTGGGCTGGGTATTGGTCGACTACATCCGCACCAAAGGCAAGTTCAGTGTCGTCGGTGCCTGCGAAGGTGCCATTGCGGGACTGGTCGGCATCACGCCGGCAGCAGGTTATGTGAGCGTCTGGCTCGCAGCAGTGATTGGCTTCTTGACTGCGGTCGTGTGCGCCAGTCTGCAGAACCTCAACGACTGGTTGAACATTGACGAAGGGCTGGAAGTGTTCAAGCTGCACGCGGTGGGCGGCATGATGGGATCCTTCATGACGGGCATCTTCGCCGACCAGACCATCTCTGCCCTCGATGGCGCGTCGCTGTACCCGGGCGGAGTCAACGGCAACGGCATCCAAGTAGGCAAGCAGTTGGCAGAGATTAGTGCCATCTCCGCCTACAGCTTCGTGGTGACGTGCATCTTGCTGCTCATCCTCAAGTACATTCCCGGCTTGGGACTGCGCGTCAGTGAAGAAGCAGAGATGCGAGGACTGGATCTGGACCAGTTCTTCGACGAACAGATTGGCGACTGGTCCTACTTTGAGACGTTTGAGGGCAACCATCAGGTCTCGCATAGCCTCTCGCCACCCATGCTGCCGACCAGCAGTGCCACCAGCGAGCAGGCCGAAGCCACCAAGGCGGAGAGGAAGGAGTAGATTCCGATGTACGTGAGGGATGATGGGGATGATGATGCCCGGAAAGGAAGTGAAGAAGACAATGGCTCGGAACAGATTGATGAATCAAGGTCAAAAAACTTGGACTGACTGACGTCTGCCAACCTCTCAGCAGCATCTATAGCTCGTGGCTACTGTACGTGTGTGGCCACTTTCCAATGGGTTGGGCGAGGCGGATGGAATACCGTGCTTTCCGGCAGCGGCAACACTTTTGACATAAACGAAGCATAAAAAAACTCGTACGGGTCGTTGTGTAGTGTAGAGCTGTAGAGTAGGAGGTAGTAGAGTCGTTGTTAGTACCCAATCATAGCCCTTTTCTCCCTGATCGCAGACTCGCGCAGTGAAGAGGGTCTTTTCTTGTTGTGGCGAAAAAGTGCGGAATGGCCGAGGTGACTTGATGTTTTCTTTTTACCCATTTTCCACCAAAAAAAGGTCAGAATTAAGGCTCTCTTCCGCGCCTCCTTCGAGAAGGGTCCAGAAGGTTTTCTCTCCTCGATCACGCTGCCCCTCCCCCTCCTCCACGCGGAGTCGACTGCGGCTCCTGATCGCGGAGAGAGTATGTACTACATGTACCTACTAGTCACAACGGTTGACGGTGTGCAAAATGTGGCTGCCTGCCTGCTGCGCTGTCCCAACCACTCATCACTCTCTCCGTCCCTCCGTCCCTCCGTCCCGCCACACTAGGAGGTAGTAGGAGGTAGTAGGAGGTACTCTTTTTGCATAAAACGCGGACTTTTGCATAAACCCAGAGTCCGGGCGAGACTCGCCTGTATCGGCGTTGCCATTAGGAGGTAAAAACCATTCTCACATGGGACGACAATTTAGTAGCTTCTCGGCCATTTATTTTGTTTGAAAAAAAGTCCAGTCCAGTCGCTTGCGTTTGTCCGCTCGCGCGCGTTTGTCGGCGTTGAGGGTTGGCGGGAAAGAATCGGAAACAACATAGGAGGTACGTGAGAGGAATCATAAGGTAAGGTAATAATGAATGAAACAAGAAAACATCCGACCGAATCTAGGAGGTAGGTCATTGCCGCTACGGTGTCTATACAACTTTTCGATCCCGTAATACTCTTTCTCACGTGCACGGCGATGCGCTATGTTATCACGTTGTTGTTGTTGTTGCTGCTGCTGCTGCTGCTGCTGCTGCTGTTGTTGTTAGGAGGTACTCTCGCCGGGTTTCTTTTTTCTCCGTGTCATAGATTTTTGTTTTGTTCATCGGGGTTGTTTTTGACGATTCTCGTCCCCGATCTGACTGTCGGGTTTCTATAAAGCCAGTGCCATCATCCACAATCCACCAAAAAGAGAGAGATTTATGTCTGTGTGTGTGTGATCACTTTACCTGGTACCGAGAGGGCGGTGTGCAAAGAAAAAAAAAGAAATAATAAAAAAAGGAAAAATATCGAACGATTCTATGTTGATCAGTCTTTTTTTTTTTATGAAAACCACGTCTGCACACACACACACTCCGACCCTCTCAGCAGAAATTATCCCTGACGACAATACTTTGCGCTAGTGTCTCGCCGCCGACACCCCGCCACGACACACATTTATTCACGTTTGCCCGCTCCCTCTCAACATAAGGAGGTATCAGTCCATTCCAATCTCAATCCTCTTTGCATTTTGCTGCAATAGCGGGGCGTTGTTTCTGATATAGAAGAAACTTGGAGGATTCTTTGTTCTTTTCTCCATCGATTTTCCAGTGGCGGTGTCGTTTTGTGTGAGAGATAGAGAGAGTGAGAGTGTGAGAGAGAGAGGAACCGAATCCAGACTTGGAAAAGTCAATATTGTTCGGCAGTGGAGTGTTTCGGAGAGAGAGAGAAAGGGACCCAGAGAGAGTGAGAGAGCGGAAAGAGAGCGGAGAGATTCTGAGAGTGAGACTCTGAGAGAGAGAGACTCTGAGAGCCAGAAGCTTGTCCCGACGAGAACGTCAGCCGCGCACCACACGGGGAAGCCCTACCTCCTAGGACGGACTGGCGATAAGCGTCAAAGCCGCCCCGACTAGACACTCATACTTCCACCTTATCCACAGTTGTCCTCACGCAACCCACACCCTCTCTCTCCCCACCGGCCGTTTCTTGCTGAGAGAGTGAGAGAGTGAGAGAGAAAGTGGAACCAGTCGGGTTTGCCTTCTTTTTTCTTCCAACATGGCTTCTCTGGACACTCTGGACCTCATCGTCCTGGCAGTCTTGCTGCTGGGAACCGTTGCCTACTTCACCAAAGGCACCTACTGGGCCGTCCAACAGGACCCATACGCCACCTCCCAGGCCAATGGCGCGCTCAAGGCGGGAAAGACGAGAAACATTCTCGAGAAGATGGAGGAGTCGGGCAAGAACTGTGTCATCTTCTACGGTTCTCAGACCGGCACTGCCGAGGACTACGCTCAACGATTGGCCAAAGAGGGTCACTCCCGATTCGGCCTCAAGACCATGACGGCCGATTTGGAAGAATATGATTTCGAGAATCTGGATCAGTTCCCCGAAGACAAGGTCGCCTTCTTCGTGCTGGCCACGTATGGTGAGGGAGAGCCCACGGACAACGCCGTCGAGTTCTACGAGTTCATCCACGGAGATGAGGTCAACTTTAGCGAAAAGAGCTCCGAGGAGTCACCACTGCAGAACTTGAAGTATGTGGCATTCGGCCTGGGCAACAACACCTACGAGCACTACAACTCCATGGTCCGCGAGGTGAACAAGTCGCTCACGAAGCTGGGTGCGCAGCGGATCGGAGATGCGGGCGAAGGTGACGATGGCGCGGGCACCATGGAGGAAGACTTCCTCGCATGGAAGGAGCCCATGTGGGCCGCTCTCTGCGAGGCCATGAACCTCGAGGAGCGTGAGGCCGTGTATGAGCCGGTATACGAGGTGACGGAGCAGGAACATTTGGATGACGACTCCATCGTGTACAAGGGTGAGCCCAACAAGAACCACCTCGAAGGCACATCCAAGGGACCTTACAACGCACACAACCCATACATCGCATCCATTGCCGAATCGAGAGAACTCTTCAACGACAAGTCGCGGAACTGCTTGCACATGGAAATCGACATCTCCGGCTCCAACCTGTCCTACACGACCGGTGACCACATTGCCGTCTGGCCCAACAACCCTGGCCGCGAGGTCGACCGACTGCTCCACATTGTCGGTCTGAGCGACAAGCGCGACATGCCCATCAAGGTCAAGGGTCTCGATGCCACCGCCAAAGTCCCCTTCCCGCAGCCCACCACCTACGAAACCGTCTTCCGATACCAGCTCGAGATTTGCGCTCCCGTGTCTCGCCAGTTCGTGGCCACGCTTTCGCAATTCGCACCGAACGACGAGGTCAAAGAGAAGGCAAGCAAAATTGGCAATGACAAGGACACTTTTGCCGAAGAAGTCTCCAAGAAGAACTTCAACTTGGGACAATTCCTCGAGCACATTGGCGGTGGCCAGAAGTGGGACAAACTCCCCTTCTCCCTCTTCATCGAGGGCATCACCAAGATTCAACCACGATACTACTCCATCTCCTCCTCCTCGCTGGTGCAAAAGAATAAGGTCTCCATCACCGCCGTCGTCGAATCCGTCGAAGTGCCCGGCGCTCCTCACGTCGTCAAGGGCGTGACGACAAACTACCTCCTCGCATTGAAACTGAAGCAACACGGTGATCCGAACCCGGACCCGCACGGCCTGAACTACGCTATCCAAGGCCCTCGCAACAAGTACGACGGCGTGCACGTTCCCGTGCACATTCGACACTCCAACTTCAAGCTGCCTTCCGACCCGAGTAAGCCCATCATCATGGTCGGTCCGGGAACCGGTGTGGCTCCGTTCCGCGGTTTCGTGCAAGAACGCGCACAACAGGCCAAGAATGGCGAAAAGGTCGGCAAGACAATCCTGTTCTTTGGCTGCCGCAACCGCAACGACGATTTCATATACAAAGAGGACTGGGAGGTAAGCAGCTCATCCAACTTGCATTTTCACGTTTCGCACCCAACCCCATTCGCTAACCCACCCCACTTCTTCTGTAGCAATGGCAATCCGACCTCGGCGAAAACTTCATCCTCGACACGGCCTTTTCGCGCGAATCGTCCAAGAAAGTCTACGTGCAACATAAGATGAAAGAGCGCGCTCAGGAAATCAACGAATTGCTCGAGCAAAAGGCTTACTTTTACGTTTGCGGCGACGCGGCCAACATGGCCAAAGAGGTGGCGGACATTCTGGCAACCATCATCAGCGAGCAGAGAGGCGTGGATAAGAAGAAGGGAGAGGATATTGTGAAGAGCATGCGAACTGCGAACCAGTATCAGGAAGATGTCTGGTCGTAAAGGAAGGGACATGTAGGTAAGGTAGTAGAACCTACCTACCTACCTACCTACCCAAAGAAATGTCGATGAAAGAGAAAGAGAGAGAAGCAAATACAAGAAATGTGTAGTTTCGGACGAAGGAGACGGGCAAATGCAGGCGCTGGTAACGGAGTTTGTTCGAGTTTTGACACGATGCTGCCTGCCTGCCTGCCTGCCTACCTGCCTGCCTGCCGTGGGCGGTTGGTCAGGTCTGTGGTGGTTCGTAGTACAGGACAGGTTGTGGGCGGTCGCCGTTGTAGCTAGCTAGGTAGCTTAGGTGGCTAGATAGCTCTAGCGTCGCGCGCGCGATTACAGGTTGTTCGTTCCATATGACTGATTGCACATCGTCGTTAGCCATCATCATTTTATCATCAGGTGGAACACTTTATTTCATCAAGATTACCTGACCTTACCTAGGGAGAGGAACCTGGTCAGCTGCTCTGGTGGTACATACAGTACAGTACATGTACCTACTGTGTGAGCCCTGCGGTGAGGTAGTCAGCCTAGCCGAGGAGGTGCAACACTGCAACGTACATATACCGCGTTTAGCAGTGTGTTTGAAGAGCCGTCATCTTGTGTAGCCAGCCAGTGATCTACGCGAAACGCCCGGGCACCTAGGTGATGTGATTGCGGAAAAATGAAACTCTGTCTCATCAAGCTCGGACTGCATGATTTCTTCTGTGCGGTCCACGTTTGTTCATCAAAAACGACTTTTTCCTTTCATCCTGAAAACAATACCACCCGCAGCAAAGAGAGGGCGCGCATGGCCTCGTTTTGCATATATATGTTCAGGTTGGGGCAGAGCCCGAGCGAGGCTGAATGGATGGCATGTATCGATGGCATGGCGCAAACACCAATAATGATGACGAGAACAATCAGGATGTGGATTCCCGGTCCCACATCTCCTCTTCTCACGCGTCTTGCATGATGGGAATCATGAGATACACTCAACTCGGTTTGTGAAGCTGCCCGTGATTCGACGATGCCATGACAGATGGTATCGGCGAACCCGCCGGCGTTCGTCGATTGCGCAACGTGTGGTAAACGAGAGCTCGCTAAATGTCACAGTTCGTAGGGGCATTCCCGACAACCTGGTTCGAAGCGCTGGCAGTCAAGATAATGACCCTGCCCGCTGCTTGACACTACTGCTGTGAGGATTTGGTTTGACACTTTGCTGCCGTGGTCAGCGGTCCGGAAAGTGAACCGCTCGAATCGCATTGCAGCACAGTCAGGAACAATGCTTGAACGTCATCTGGGGAGCCGTCCACCGTGTGTCGACGGTGCATACAGGTGCAGAGTGCGAGCAGGCATGGACATACCCCTCACGGTCTATGGTGGTACAATGTGTAATGCGCTGCGTACCGGACCTCTAACGGCACCTTGCAGCAGCAGCAGCAGCCGGGCCGTCTCTCTGGTCGGCCTGATGGCAGGATGTTGAGGAGGACAACGCACCACGCGCGATAGCTCGCCAGCTGTGGCGAATCGAATCACATCCAGAGCTGGCAGAGCTGGGTGTCTTGTGCTGCCAAACGGGGTAGAGGTCGGCGGAGATGACGAACAACCGGGCTGGCGGTGTCTATGCAACGCTAGTCGGCGACCTGGTGGCTGAATGAAGCAGCCCGCGAAGCAGTTTCGTGTAAGAAGCAGCAGATTCGGAAGGACGACGATCATGTGCCGCACGCAGCGTGGTTGCCAGAGTCGTCGACCTCAAGTTTGATCGCCTCTGCAGCCCCCATCCAGGCACTAACAGACGCGCGTTAGCCCCGTCAGCAAGGTCAGGCCCGCGAACGAACGCAGGCACAACATTCGATCTGCATTGAACTCGCTCTTTCAGGAAATGCCAGTAGGCGCGCTTTGATACTGTCAAGCCCGCAGGAGGAATTGCGTCAACGCGGTGCCAAGGGCGGAGGGTGAGGCCCCACGGCACACCAGTCGAGAGCGGCGGCGATGCGGGGCTAGTGGTTTCGAGTGCGCGGACGACAGGCGCAGAATGGGCGTGCGCGCGCGCGCGCTGGAGGAGATTGGGAGCTGGGGCACGGCTTCCGAAGAGCAGCCCGGGTGAAGGGTGAAAACGCCTGCAAAAGTGATAGATCGCATTTGCAAAAGTCGGTCGCGGTGGACTCGGGGCCCGTGGGGTGGCGGGAGCGCGCGCTTCTAACCTACCGACAGGTGGTGGAAGAGGGAGATGCAGCTGGTCGGCGCGTAGGGTGGCGGTAGTAACGCTTCACATGTGCGCTGCCCTACCAGTTACCACCGACTGACCCGGCCATTCTGAGCCGGTGGTATGGGGGTTCGGGGGGCGTTTGGGCAAAGCTTAATCGAATGCCGCAGCGGATTGTGTGCAACGAGAGAATGTGTCGCAGAAGTGAACAAAGGCGGCCGGGCTTGCATGCGTGCGACAGGTCCGCTCCAGCAGGGACGGGGTGGGTTATGGAGAGGTCACTACCAGTACATGTGCCTCCTACCTTACCACCTTACTACCTGACCTGAGGTACCTAACCTCCAGACCTGCCTGACCCTCCAGCCCGGCGCCGCTCCTCTCCTGCTCAGGTACCTGACCGGCACATCCTCACGCCCTCCATCTATCACTTCCCGTCCGCTGGTACTGACTGACTGTATCGACTGCCTGATCTCCGTCCCTCTGTCCCCCGCCATCATCCATTGCCCTCTCCCACCACCGCCCCGTCATCTGCTCCCCCCTCAGACGAGACCGGCAGCATTGCTATTGCCCGTAGCTTAGACATTGTGTGCGTTGTGGTCACCGCAAGAACGTTGATTGATTTGCCTGGGAGCGGCGCATATCTCGACGACCCGCGAGGACGACGACGACGACGACTTCGCTTGCCTCTTGCGCTCCGTGCAGCCGCGCCACGTGGAATAACGGTCACTGCCATCTCAGACCCTCGAATCCTTCTTCTGGAAGTGCCCTCCAACTTCATTCCTACCTGACCTGACCTGACTTCTGCGAGAGACGAGCTTGCCATCACCGACGAGGTCCGTTCTTCCCCATACCGCACCTGCCCGAAATCACCTCGCAATTGGCAGGACCCAACGCTCGGCTGCCAAACACTTCTTCCTATTTCATCCCGCCGCTTGTCTCCCTCTTCTTCCTCTTCTCCCACACCACGCCCACTTCTTACACACCACACCACTTCTGCTCTTTTTCATTCGTGCATTCGCCGTTGACATTACCGCCTCTGCTACAGCTTAGCACATCGACCACAACCACCACCACTCCTTTCAGCACTCCCCTCACTCTCACCACCTGGCCGGCGGCGGCAGCAGCAGTCTCGAACATCACGGGCTTCACAAGGTATGTCCTCCCCAACTCCTCCACTGCACGTTCCACTGGCGCAGCTGCTGGTCTCCTCTCCCTACCTTTCTTCCCCCGGCGGCCGTTTTCGAGCCCACCGTCCCATGCCCGTGCTGACCAGAAACTTCTGCAGCAACTCGAACTTCGCTCCCTTCTACAACCTTTTGGAAGATATCCATCCACACCAGAGCTCATTGGTAAGACCTCCTGTGCGTTGTCTGTCGTTGCATTGGCGGCTCCATCGCACTGCTGGCCTGGGCATTTCGCACTCCGGTCTGGCCTAGATCCTGCTCCCTGCAAACCATCCTCCACTCGACATCACAGTTTTTCTTCCCCCTCACAAGCAAACACGATGGCAGGTTATGGTCATCTCCCTAACACTCACAACTTGCGGTTCGGCACGCAGCCTCGCCGTCAGCATATAGCTGACCGTGGATACAAGAACATGGCAGCCATGGACTCGAAGAACACCGGCTACAACCGCCAGCAGACTGGCTACAACAACGGCAACATGTACAGCAACCAGCAGTACGCCACTCGTGGCCAGCAAGGTCAGGGCTACGGCATGCAGCACAACCCACAATCCGATCCTATGGGGGCTCTCGCTCATGGGTTCCAAGGCATGAACATGGGCAACCAGTCGTTTGCGGCTCAGGCTAAGAACGCCATGATGTCGACTGCTGCCAACAACGGCTACGGAGGCCTCCCCGTTGCAACTTCGATGGCGGCCTCGATGTACGGCGCTGGCGGACAGTACATGTACCCCAACAACTACGGCGCTGCTGCTAACTCCCAATCTCCTGGCATGTACACCCCCCACGCGACTCAGTACATGCCGCAGCTCAACTACGGCGGCTACCAACAGCACGACAACAGCCCGCTGTCTCAGAACTGGACTCCTACCACTGCCGGTGCCACTGGCGAGGTTCCCACGCTCATCACACCACGCCGTGGCTCCATCTCGTCGAACGAGAACGATCAGCCAACCACGCCTTCGTACGCCGGCTATCCATTCTCTAACAATGGCGTTGCCATCAACCGATCCCCCAGTGGCGTCTTCACCCACAGCACTCCATCGCCAACGTCCATGATGGGACCATATGGCATGCCTGTGGCGAAGCAGCCTGAGCAGAGCGACGTGTCTCCACGCATCAAGATGCTCATTGCACGTGAGCCGCCGATTCCTCGAGCCATCCCCGCTCCTTCCTCTCCACTGAAGCCACTCGATCGTGCTCTCGAGAACCAGCGAGGCGAGACGAACGTCTACATTCGTGGCCTGCTGCCCGAGACCACCGATGAGATGCTTGAGTCTTGGGGTAGTCGGTTTGGTGACATCAAGAGCTCGAAGTCCATCATTGACCTCAACACTGGTCTGTGCAAGGGGTGAGTGTTGTACACAACGTCTCTGTCGACGCTGCTGATTTAGATCTAGCTTTGGCTTCGTCAAGTACCACAACTATGAGGACGCCGAGAACTGTATCCGTGGATTCCACTACCTGGGTTACGAAGTCAGCTTCGCCCGCGAGTCGTTCTACTCGAAGCTGAAGACCTTCTCCGACGAAGCTAACACCAACCTCTACGTGTCCAACCTTCCGAAGTCCATGAACGAGCACGAGCTGGCCAATCTCTTCCAGCCACACAAGGTTTGCTCTTCACGCATCCTTCGTGACAAGAACGGTAACGGTCGTGGCGTGGGTTTCGCTCGGTAAGCTTTCCTGCTGGCGTCCGTATGAGTTACCCTCTCCTTACTGACGTTCTGTATCAGCTTCGAGACGCGCGATGTCTGTGAGGAGGTCATCAAGATCTTCAACAACCACACCATCAATACTGCTGGCGAGGAACTCCAGGTCCAGATCCGCTACGCCGACACGCAGGAGCAGAAGTTACTCAAGCAGCAAACACAGGCTGCCCGTCAGTTTCGGTCAGCAGAATACGAGTACGCCACACAGGCTTGGCGCCAGGGCCGTCTTCCATACGCTGGATCGACCGTACACGACACTACCCAGAACACGAACGAGTTCGACCAGTACTTGGGCACCACTTCAGCTGTCCCAATTCAGGGCCAGCGTTGGGCCCAGTCAGCAATCCGCCAGGTACCCGGGCGTAGCCCTCTCGGTGCCGTGCCGTTCACCAACGCTGCTCAGCCTCCACTTGTCCAGATAAATGTCGCTTCTGGTGCTGAGAATCCGACTGCCACACCCGAGAACACTGCCGATGCAAAGCATACTGCTACTTCTCCCGCGACTGCTCATGCACACAGTCCGGTGGACTCTGCGGCACCATCTTCTGAAGAGTAAGGATGACACTGCCGGCCATCCTCTCTTCGTCCTATCACTACTGTCAACGACACGAATGCACTCTGTACAATATCACGAGTAGACGAATGGTGCCACGATCCCACGATTGACCACGACGGCATGCACTGCGGCACCCGGACTTCTGCATTTCTACAGCATGCTGCGTTTCTGTTCAACTAGTCACTCACTTTCCACAACAACAATATGGACAATTCAACAGAGTGATATGGCGGCATCTACATGTTAACATGATCATCAACAATGTGTGTTGTCATGCCTTCGGTGGCTGGCTTGGAATGGTTTCGTACTTAAGTTTTTACAATATGTTATCGGTTCTACTTTGTTCACGTTATCGGCGGCGGTGAGGCTCGGCCTTCAAGACTACGGCCTCCACGGGCATCATCGGACATCAGATTACACGGGCGGCACTGCATGGGAAGTAATGGTAATTTTTGCTGCGATTGTTTTATACAATGTTCATGATTCGGCTGCATGAACAAGTAAATACAGTGGTACAAAGATTGTATGTCGCTGATGACTGTTGTGCATTCTTTGTCTCGATGTCGATGCTGTTTTCTGATCATTCTATATGATGTGGCTTAGATCTGGCCTGCACATGAGCGCAGCCCAGCAACTGGTGGGTGGTGACAATATTCTACAGGCTGTTGACGTTTGACACGATTAGACAGCGGCAGGCGCACTCTCGTGTCGAGGCGGTAATGCCTAGACCGCTTCGGAGGTTTGTTGCAGCCGTGTGCACTCGATGGTCGGCATGCCGACTGGAGGGTATTGAATCGGCTGACATCGACAAGGGGAAGATAAGGTATGTGACTATGTGGGTAGGTACATGTAAGAGGTAGGTAAGGTAGGTAAGTAAGGTAGCTCACCTTACCTCACCTTGCCCTACTTTGCCCTACCTCGACCTGCCATTGGGAAATTCGTATCGTAGGAGGTAGGTAGGTAGGGATTGGTTCCTCCTTCTTGTCTCCGATCTCTGAGTACCTAGTCCTCCTACTTCAGGTACCATCTTGGTAGAGATGTGCAGATGGTGCAGTCAGCCCACTTTTCTTTTTCTTTTTTGTTTTGGCGGCCTGCAGCATGGAGATTCCTGCGAAAGGTGAAACGGTATTGGCATGCATATGGTTTGTTCTGGGATAGAAGAGGATGAGGAGCGGAGAGGTTGAGGATGATGAGGATGAGGAGGGAAGCTGAAGATATTGCTTTTCCGAATACCTGGAATATGGGAGGAAGACCTACATTAGTTGATCCGGGAGGGTCCACGGGTTGGCGCTCCTGTCAAGAGAGGTAGGTAATGTACCTATATACCTAGGTACCTATGTATCAACGAGGGGCCGAGGGCTCCTCTGTAGGTATTAATAAGCCTCTGTGTGTGCGTTTTATTAATAAAGTGGTGTAGGATGGAGAAGCTCGTGTCAGACTGTCTGTGGTCATCATCGCATGTTGCATAATTGATTGCATCTGCCTGGATCTCAGCTCAGCTGCTGGAGGAGGGGACTTGACGCGCTAGGAAATATTTTCCATTTTTGCTGTGCTGGCAGCGGGGATTCTCCTTGGATACCTAAGGTAAGGCAGTGAAGACGTGGCGAGAGCTCTACCGGGCAGTTTCTATTTTGGAGGGTTGCGGATTGGGAGAGTTTGAGAGACTCGAATACATGTACTCGAATACATGTACCTGATTTATCTAGACTGTTGGTTTGGTTGCGAGAAGGGGGTTCGTGAGACACAGTCACAGTGCAAGCACAGCATTGGGGGCTTTTGATCAGGCATGAGATTTTCCTGGTTGGGTTAGGGAGAGGGAAAAGGAACATGTGCGGTACATACAGTAGCAGGCACCCTCGTCAAGACGTCCAGAGTAAGGCTCAGTAAGGTAGTCAAGACAGTCACAGTGACACGAAGACGGGCATATCTGGACAGGGCGTGTATTCGTCGGCAGACATCGTCCGGCTGTTGTAGACTTTCAATCCCCGTTCCGGGCGGCAGATCCTCGAAGACTCTCTGGAACTATATCTCGTCTCAGCCTAGTCCATATGCAAGGTACGAGAGAGCGGAGGAAGGAGTAAACGTGGTGATACCCAGGCACGGTGGAACCGTGCTCGGTGCCTCCCTTGCACGGTGGCACCGAGGGAAGGTTCCACCAGGGTAGGGACCCACTATACTAATATATATTCTACCGGACAGGTATATAGCTTTCAGATTATTAGACATCCCTACTACGACTTGCTTTCCCCCTTACCTTCCCCCTTGTCTTCTCTAGTAGACGCTATAGGAAGCGTTCCTAGTTCCCGGACCGCCGAAAGAGTATCCCCTTATAAGGTGCTCGAGTACGCGAAGTCGCCGTTGTAAGGAGTCCTGTTCTAGAACTACCTTAGGGACCGGTCTTTACTAGCCTAGCCTTCCTCGGAGGAGCTCTAGACGGACGAGTAGCTTACCGCTGCGCAATACGGCGTACTAAGATTCCGGGAGCTTAATTAGCGCCTCGGAAAGCTACCGAGAACCGCTAGGGACATCCTACGTTGCCTACCGCTAATTCCCCCTAAAGTGCTCGACAAATTAGACCGTACGTTATACGTAAAAGAGGTTAAGTTTGATCGGATTTGTACGGTATAGCTAGGGAACGGGTCTACCGTATATAGATTTATACGGTACTATAGGGCGACAGCTCTACGGAAGCGAGAAACATACCGTATCTACGACTTCCCCTATACGCGGATTACCTAAATCTACGGTATATCTACATCTGTACAAGTTTACCTCCCCCGGCACTTAAGGCCTACAAGAGATTAGAGTTTATAAGCTATTAAAACTAAGCGACGACTTCTATTAGCCGAACTATACCTTCCCGGTTACAGATCGAGACTTCTATTAGTCGGACCGTACTTGCCCGCAAAGCTTTACGATACCTTCCGTAAGAGTTTATACCTTCTAGAAAACTATCGAACAATCGAGGCAAGTTCGTCGATATATATACCTAGAGTCTCCCGCCCTAAGACTAGAATTCTCAATCCCCCTAATCCTCTTATATCCGACGTTTCCTTACCTTATTTATACGGTGCATCCGAGACGCGGTAATACTAAGACACGGTGATACCAAGATACGGTAACACTAGCGTATAACACTACGTACACTGTTACCAGAAGTTACCTAACAAGCAAGTACGCTAGCCGAGGAGTTGTACTAGGCAGGATACAGCTCCGAGGATTTTTATACCCCTTAACGATTACCGTATCCGTACGTTCCTACTAAAGAAGAACGCTTAAGAGAACTGCTTAGACCCTAAACATTCGATTTAATCAAGACGTACTACCTTTAAGAGACCGCTCTAGCTACAATAAACGGTACCGACGCTAAGTATACTACTATAAATTCTACCGGACCGCAAATCCCGTACTTCTTCGGGAAGAAGAAGGATAGGACGATATAGAATAGTACCCGTTAGCTTCGTAAGGTAGAGTTCGAGCTCGCTAAGCAGTACGCTAACCGTAGAGTACCTCCTATAGAGATACTATCCGCTATAGATTCCTATCTACAATTCGGTAGCGATGCTGAAGACTAGGCCGACCGTAACTAGATAGTACGAAAGATTCTCTCTAACGAGAGTGTGTCCTAAGCTACCGAGAAAGACCTTCAAACATTTAAGAACCTCTTCCTCGGCCGGTACGGAAGACGCGATATAGCAGATAAGTCCTCGCTGCCAAAGCTCTAGAAGCTACGCTAATCGCCGGACGAAACGTTGCTCGAGTACTACTACCGAGCGATAGATCTTCTTCTTAATTGTAGCGGGCAAGACTACGAGAACGGGCAAGATCTGAGCCCGCTCTATATTACCTTCCTCTCTATAGCTATTAAGGCCTACCTCCGTAGAATCTATAACCTAGCCCTAATAATAAAATCGCTAGAGTACTATACAGTCACGACTACTAGGTCGTTGTACGGAGCGTATAAGTACTCCGTCCTACAACAGAAGCGCCTAGAGATAGAGCGCAAACTTGTAGACGTAATAATTGAGAACAAGAGACTAGAACTTATAGACGAGCTTATACTAGTACTAACCGTTAAAGATAGCCGATTAGATACGTTCCGAATCCCGGTAGACAAGATGGACGCCCTTAACTAGCTAAAAGACCTGTCTAGGCGAGATCCTTACCCGTTTGACCGTTATAAGCTCCGTACGCTAACTACAGAAGTACTAGCAGTTCCTATCCCGAACTAGAAGCTACTTACCGTATATAGTAGACTAAGTTCGTTCGAGGAGATATTGGCCCTATATAACAAGTATAGCTATACGCTCCTCCCGAAACGCAATTAGTAGGGAAAAGGTAAGCGCGCCGTACCGGGCGCGAACCTAAATACGGCCTCTTAAGGTACTAGCCCTAGTTATTAGCCTAGTATAGCGCCGGCAACGCAGCAAGTTGTACCGACCCTAGTTATAGCCGTACTACCGCCGCCGCTAGCCTCGGTGCTACCGAGCAACCCGATACCGAGCAACCTAACAACCAGCCGTACGTTCGATCGTAGGTTTGACCTAAAGACATCGCGAAACGAGTTCGTTAATAGTTCTCGCAAGTATAACTGCTTAATAGGATTCCTTTGTATTAAAGACGGCGTCTTAGGCTACAAGGCAGTTAAGGGTACCGAATGCCTAGGCAACCCTCTACTACTATTACGAGACGAATAGAATATGCTTAAGAACGTAGTATTTAGAGACAATGTATAGCAGTCGGGAGCATTAGCAGGGTCTTAGGCGTTAGGGCCGAACGCGATTACCCTACCGGTACGGCGTACAGTCGGGTACGTTACTAACGACGGGGAATCGGACGTCGAAAGCGTATATAATTCGTATAGGATATTCACGCCGGAAGATACCGAAGACGAAGCCCCTAAGCGCAAGGTAGCGTTTGCTAACGCTAACAGATTCTTCTTTGTCGACGAGGATAGTAACTAGGAACGAGTAGACTTCTACGCCAACCTAGGCGACAAGGTATTAGGCGAAGAACTTACTAAGCTCTCGATGCCGGCCGTTCGCACCGAGCCGGGAAAGTATATTTAGCGTTTCGACCCGATAGCCGGACGACCGGGCAAAGTACCGGAGGTACTAGGCGGAGTACTAGAAGCTCTAGAGCAACCTAACCGAGTCTACCGCCTACTAGGCATATACGACCTAATCGACTACGATATCGACAACCCTATAGTAGAAGGCCTACCGCCGCTACCGGGATTCATCCTAATACTGCCGGCGGCTCCTAAGAAAAAGAAGAAGTCTCGGAAGGAGCTATAACCTATTCAATATTATATAGAGCAAGGCCTAATTACGAGTAAGAGCCTGACTAAACGTATCTAGCAGCGCCAAAAGCTAAGTGTCGACCTATAGGAGATGTTCTAACTCTTACCGAAGTTCCGCGATAATACGATTACCCTAAGTAAAGCCCCGCGAGAGCCGCGAGGCAAGAACAAGAAAAAGCATATTACTAAAGCATACCTCGGAGTCGGCGCCGATAACGAAGAGACTGAACCGACTATAAACTGCAAGATATACAAGATTTCGAATATAAGCGCGGTAAACCGTATGCCTTTAGACACCGAGGTTACTACGGACTTCCGAGCCTACTTAGGCAAGGAAGGCAAGTTATTCTCGGTCGCGGTCGAAGTGTAGAAGGACAAATCGTCTCGAAGGGTATCTATACCCCGTTACCTATCCTACGCCGACTAGGGCTCGGATCTGAATGTAATCTATATACCGCTCGTCGAGAAGCTAGGGCTCTAATTAAGGAGTCTTAGCGAGATCGACTCGCGGCAGTTGTTTATAGGGGTAGCTAGTAGGGACACTGTACCGCTCCGCTACTAGGTATATATCAATATATCTACGTATAGGATTTATCGTCGTACTTAGGCGGTAGTCGCACCGTCTACTACAGGCACCGAGAAGAGATGCTAACATTACTAATTACTGCTCCTGCTTGGCATTCCGTAGCTCTATAGCGTATATACAATAATTGACATCCGGGAAGAGAGCCTATATATTAGTAACCCGAGCTGTAGGGAGACAAGGACCGAACTTGCGGTACCTACTATAGCGAAGGTAACTAAGGTTCTACCGGCACCGTAGTACGAGACGGAATTAGACAGCGATAGCTCCGGCTCGGACTTAGAGTCTACGACCTCGGAGGATAATACCTCCGAGGAGGAAAACTAAGGAGTCCTTAGCAGGACGCAAAAAGGCTTGATGCGAACCTACAATTAGAGAGTATTAAGACTATATCAAACATTGCTAATACGATATAAGAACTATTATTTATACAAGCATAACCCGATCCTATATTTATACAAGCATTACCGAACTTTGACAATAGCGACGAGTACGAGCTACCGAGCCCTATATTCGAAGAACTCTTACTAGAGCCCAAATTAAGACTACGGGTACTAGCACCTCGTCCGGCAGCGCCGACAATAACCGAGAAGACCTAAGAAGATACAGCAGTCCTACTAGCTACGGTAAAGTATAACCAGCTATATTTTGAATAGAAGATCTAGGAGACGGCAGACCCGTCGGACCTGCTAGTACCTTATAGGTACGGCTTGAGGTTCTACTGCCTTAAGCACCTAGACCTAGACTACCGTTCGGTCAATACGGTCCGACTAGCTACCGTATTCGAGACAAAGACTACCGAGCTACTAAAACAACTATTTCCCGTAGAGCGACGAGTAGTCCGCCTGAATACTACAGATGTCCTAGGGCCTAAGGAAGTAGACGACTAGTTCAAGTATAGAGGGTTCCTAGCGGTTAGACTACTAGCGACGACCGAGGAGTAGAGGGATAAGGTAAAAGCCCTGCTATAGGTATACCGGGACATCTTTGTAGACGATCTCAAGGATATCCTACCGATCGACCTTATACATTACCGGGTGCGACTCAAAGAGGGAACCCCGGTATATAGTGCAAAGCAGCGCAGATACGCCGGCTAGAAGGAGTACTAGCTTCGCCGTATTATCTAGGACGGGATCGATGCTAGTATATACGAGAAAACGTTCTATGCGAACGGCAAGCTATCCGAATAGAATACGGTACTAATAATCGTACCGCGAGAGGGATAGGAGCAGCCTCGGTTGGTCTTTAACTACTATTAGGTATACGAAGACTAACTAGGCAACTAGATGTATAATTAGGAAGCAGTGTATAACTTCTTATCAAATCCCTCTTACAAGTTGTACTTTCAATTCGATATTAAGCATACCTATTAGTCGGTTCCTATACACCCGGACGATCGGTACCTGCTAGCGTTCTCGGTACTAGGAATAGGTCAATATTAACCAACGAGAATGCTATAGGGCGAACGGTCGGCGTCGTTTACTATAACCGAGCTAATGTACATCGCATTAGGAGCAATACTACCGCTAGACCTAGAACCCTTACTAATATACGGCGGCGAACGACCAGACGTGCAGCATTGTTCCGTATTTATAGATAATAGCTTCGGCGTAATAGGAGATAGCATTCCCGACGACCGCGTCTTTATTAAAGGATACGACTACCTTAAGGTATACGTCCTGCCGCGACTACTGTAGGCATAGATAAAGCTCTCTCCTAAAAAGATCCGGCTGTTTATAACAAAAATCTTCGTACTCGGCAGATAGTACTATCTAGGAGGCAGAATAATAATTAAAGAAGACGCCCTAAGAAGGATCAAGGAGTAGCCGATACCCTAGTCGCAAGAAAATATTCGCGAGTTCCTTAGCACCGTCTAGACTACGAAACGCTAGGTTAAAAATTTCTCCTAGGTAGCGCTCCCCCTTACTATACTTACTAGAAAGAAGAAGTTTGTCTAGACTTCGGTATAAGACCTGTCCTTTAACCTCCTAAAGCGACTGTGTTATACGGTAGTAGCAATGTTCGGATATAACCCGAAACTGCTATGCCGGATGTATACGGACGCGTCCGGAGGGGGTGCCGGGATAGTTATTACCTAAATCCAGAATAGGGAAGAGAGGCCGCTCTAGTATAATTCGTTTAGGTTTATAAAGATCGAGCGAAATTACGACACCTACAAGAGGGAACTGTTAGTAATTTTTCGCGGAGCTATAAAGTTCAAACATTGGCTATAGGTAGAGCAAGTCTCTACCGTGTTTTATAACTAGAAACCTCTAGAGGGATTCCTAAACTCTTATACCTACGAAGACATCTACTTCCGATAGGTACAGAAGCTCCGGATACTTAACATCCGTTTCGAATAGATTGCTAGAAAAAAGAACGTAGCAGCCGACGGCCTTAGCCGAACGATTTTCGAGTTCGATAAGGACGAGTCGATAAAAGAGACGCCGATGATCAGAGATCTCGCTAATAAGGTTGCCGTACATCTACTAGGCGATAAGTAGTATTAGAAGACTAGTAAGGGTAGCTACTAAGACAAGCTAAAACAACTTACAGCGAAGATAGTAAGAACTTACTAAGCACATAGTGTTAACACCGTACTCTCTATTAGCTTTACTAACGAGGGTCCGTACCTATTAGGATAGACTAGCTTCTCCGTTACGACGACAAGCTAGCCGATAAAGAACACCGAACTTGAGAGATCCTTATAGTACGGTAATATGTACCGATATTGCACTATAGGAGAGCTCCTACTAGTAGACGCAGCTAAACGAGCGGCATTCAAGAGGCAATCAATATATTACCGCTATAACGAAAGGAACGGTCGACTGTTGTACTAGAGGACCAAAACCTCTAAGTAGGCAGTATACCTCCTCCTAAGGGAGGTAGGTCCGCTGCTGTAGCAGGTCTACGACGACAAGGGCCACTTTTATACCGATATTACTATTAAGAAATTGTTAGGAGTCTACTAGCCAAACATCGCTAGTAACGTCCGAGAGTACATCCTTAGGTATATCTAGTGCGCGAGGTATACCAACTGTACTAGGTTATAACCGTAGTAACCGATCGAGGTAATAGGACCGTAGTAGTTGTTTAGGATAGACTGGATTAGTCTATTCCCGGAGACTGCCCGGGGAAACAGGTACGTACTATACCTTATCGATTATTTCGACCGTATGTCCTTTACCTCTACAGTACTAGGTTGCTCTACGAGGGATACTATAGATAGACTAGCGGCATACATTGCCTACTACCCGACCCTAGCGGCGATCTTCTGCGATCCGGGTAAGTACTACGTCGCGAAGGAAACTAGATAGTTCTGTAAGCTAAATGGTATCTAGGCCTCGTCATAGGTTAGGTTGGGTATGGGTTGGGTACAACCCAACTTAAATACCCAACCCTACAAATAAGCTGGGTACCTAGCTTATAAGCGGGGTACAACCCAACGGTAAAAACCCAGTAGGTATACCTAATGGGTATTGCAATAGGTATTACATAATACGAGTTGAATACCTACGAAATAGTAGAAAATAATATGAATAAGGCATATATACCTACTACCTGATTCCTAGAGCGCAGATTTTGATAGGAAAATATTTTATGCTTACTGCAGCTGCCGACTATATATGCCGACTATATATACAGACTAAAAAGAGATTACCAGAAAGGAAAGCTCTAACCAATTGATTATAGTTATAAGCTACTATATACTAAGGACAGAAACTACCTTACTTCTTAGTAAGTAGCTGAGCATCTAGAGCAGATTGCTCCTTTGCTTGAGCGTCTTGAATCTTTTGATAGGCGCAAAGCTGATCTTCGAAGTTCAGCCGCTGCCAACTATAATACTGACGCGCAATTTTCTTCGCATCTCCCTCGAGAGTTTGCTAAGCAAGGCGTACGCTATCTTCTGAACGCTCTTTCGCAACAGTAAGCGCGTAAGCTGCCGCCACTAACTCATTAGCGTAGGCTTCTAACCTCTGCTCAAGAGTTTGCTCATTATCGCTAGTATCATCATCTAGCTCTTCTTGATTATAACTAGCTTGAAAGTCTCGACCTTAGACATCTTAATCTTGCTCATCTTGCTCCTGCTCATCTTCGTCCTGCTTATCTTCGTCTTGATCATCTTCCTCTTGCTCATTATCTAGGAGTAGCGGAGTATCATCCTGAGCTATTAAATTAGTATATTATAATTAATAATAAAAGAGGAGTAACTTACCAAGAGTTGCCTGCTGAGCAGTAGGTTCCTCGCTATCATTGTTGTCTACAGTCGGATTCTGAGTAGCGTCTGGTATATCCTCGTCGGAATCGTGATCAACAATTCGTCGAGGCTTCTTGGTAGGGAGAGGCTTGCATTTTGGCGTAGCCTTCGGTTTCAGCACCTTAGGAGCTTTGTTCTTCTTTGGCTCTGTATAGATGAAATTGGGATTGACAGGACCAGAGTTGTAAGGGCAGACTACGAAATCGTCAGGCCAAACACCCTACTCCTTGAGGAGCGAGCGAAGACACTCTATATCTTTGCCTTAGAGTGTGACGCGCTTAGCGTGAATGGCCAAAAGGTTAGCCGCTAGAGGAGGTAAGTAAGTAAGTAAGTAATTAATCAGAAAGAATAAGAAATAGGAAGACTTACAGGTGAAGATTCTCACTAAGAGAGACTCAGCATATTCTTGAAGAACGCCAAGAGCGCTTGCTTGAATGCGAAGAGGTGTATGAGCCTAATCCATAACGAGCTCCTTGATGAGTCTGGCAAATAGGGTTTTCTTGATGTAGAGCAGGCTCTCCTTCTAGCACTTCCTAATCTCTTTGAGAGCCAATGCTTTGAGGAAGTTAGTGCCGACCACAAATGCCGACTACAAATGCCGACCACAAATGCCGGCTACAGATCTGCATTCTGGAATTACTTACTACCTAGGGCATATCTGTGTCCCTTCTTGATGCGAGCGCCTGGAAGCTTTTTACTACCTGTGCGCGAAGGAAGTCCCTTTCTACTAGTGCGAGGAGTCTTGCGAGCAATCGATTGTTTGCGCTTCTGCGCAATCGACATAGCCGAGGCCATTGTAGTAGATTGGTGCGCTGGTATGGTGTAGTGGCGGTGGTATGGTATGGTGTAGTAGCGGTGGTATGGTGTGGTGTAGTGGTGTGGTGTGGTGTGGTAGTGTAGTATAGTGTAGTGGAGGTAGTGAGGAGAGAGAGAAAAGAAGGGGGCAATGTTGATGTAGTAAGTTAGGTTTTTTCTGAAGTGGAGAGTAACTTTGTGTTGTTGGGAGACAACCGCTCGGCCAATCAGAGGCTACGGATTGTTTGCTGCCTGAGTAATAACACATGCGCACTTCATACGAGATCCAAATAAGGTTTGCGTACGTAATCTTCAATTGCCGGGAGTGACCGGCAGGCACGGTCAGCAGGTACGGTCGGCAGGTACGGTCGGCAGGTACGGTCGGTAGGTACGGTCGGCAGGTACGGTCGGCAGGTACGGTCGGCAGGTACGGTCGGCAGGTACGGTCGGTACAGGTAGTAAATATTATCGGAAAGTCTTCTCGGTAGGAGTCCTAATCCTTCCCCTAAGACATAGTCGGCAGACATGGTCGGCAGATATGGTCGGCAGATTCCCAAAAGCTTAAAAGTCATCTTTTCCGTTATTTTCCCCTAGGAAGCGCTTCCGAATCCATCGACAAAGTACTATATCCTTTTGCTGCAACGTCACTCGTTTCGCATGTATTGCAAGCATATTAGAGACTTCGAACTCAAGTGTAAGAAACGCTTCCGTCGCTTCCTGTAGACAGAGGAGGGCCTCTGCTTGGAACCGGCATACGCTACTCGAAGATTTACTTACGATATCTAAAGTAACTTCCCGACAGATCCTCTAGAATAGTAGTCGACGTATTAACAGCTCGGTCGTCTTCTGGTATCTCCTAATCTCGCGAAGAGCAGCTATACCAGGCTTTGTTCGTCGCTTAGTTCTCGCTTTGGGTGCCTTTCGTATTATAGGCTTCTTCTGCGGCCGTTGACTCCCTATCGGCCTCTTATTCCCTAGATAGGACTTTTTCGCGACTAGTTTCGTACGTCCCCGCCTCCTTTCGGCGAGGCTTTTACTTAGTCCAGGAGAGGCTGTCGGTTGAGGTGGTTGTCGTATACGCCGCCTAATCGGTATATCCGAATCTTCGCTAGTCTCCGGACTATAGATTACTAGACCTGTACCTTGATTTGCTTGCCTTTCTTCCTTCTCTCCGCTATAATTAGGATCATAGATTACTCCCGCAGTACCTTGAGTTACCTGCTTGTCCTCCTTCTCTCCGCTATAATTAGGATCGTAGATTACTTTTGCGGTACCCTGAGTTCCCTGCTTTTCTTTCCCCTTTCCGAGATAGGATATCTTTTCGAGCGGCTCCATTCGTTCCTCCTGTGTCCTATCTAACTACTTCTGAGTCCTTATATCAGTTCCGCTATCAAAAGCAGCCTTCGGAAGCCCTCTAGGTCTCGATTGTTCGTCCTGTAGTAAATCGAGTCTATGGTCGAGTTGGTCGTCGTTATCCCTAGGGAGGGAGGCAGAGACGTAGGTAGAGAGGGAAACAGTATCCATATTAGGCATTTTGAGAGCTTTGAGTATGTCTCGGTTGATTGACAAAGTTGACGATAGAGAAGAAAAGAGAGAAGGAAAATACGGGGGGTATAAGGAAAACCCGGAGTTTGCTAAGGCGCTTATCTCTAGAGTATATCGGATCTCGCGGGAAGGTAATTAGTAATCTATACAGGGATTCTATATATATCCTAAGGCCGCTAGTAGGGTATACGCCTTATACGCCGACCACGTCTGCCGAACACGTTCATCTATAGCTGTAGGACCTATTGTTTTCTCTAGGGCGGATATATAATTTAGACGCGTATTTACATATAGGTCCTAGATATCTATACTTAATATATATATCGTTTTAACATAGATATCTATATACTATATATATATAACCCCTACTAGCAGTTGTCCTAGTAGTAGCGAACGAACGGACAACAACTCATATTCGAAATTAATAACGCCTAGGGGGGGGGGGGCAACTTACGTATAGTTCTTATACTTATTATCTAGAATAACGTCGGCGGTACAGTGGTGCGGTAGAGTATTATTAGTCCGGAAGGATAGGTAGTATCGTTGCCCGGCGTAACTAATGCCGGGATTCGGCTGCTGCCTAAACCTTAAATTGCCCTAGTAGGGTAAATTTACTTTCTCTCTCTTACTTTACTACCTTACTACAACACCTCTACAATACCCGTACCTCCGTACCTTCACTAGCGCCGTCGATACCTACCTTCGTAATTAGACCGAGTTCTTCTTCAACTACTACACTAACATCAGAAACCATTACTATGCCGAAACGCAAGAGCAATGCCCTAGAGGCACTGGCAAACAAGCGCGCAAAGCTCGGCGCAGCCTCGAAGTCACTCGAGGAGTACTCTCTCAAGCCAAATACTCTACGGGACAGAGAGCGTACTGCCGCAATAGACGAAGAAAAGAGGGTACAAGATCGATACCGCAAAGCGCGCAACGAATCCTTTGCGCGATTCAAAAAGGCACAAATCAAGGAGTATACGAGCTTTGAGAGCCTTGCCAAAGATGAGCAACAGGAACTTATCGAGGGCTGGAGAAAGATACATACAAAGGAGTATGATCAAAAAGCGTAAGTGTAGTAGGCAGATGTGGTCGGCGGATGTGGTCGGCAGATTTAAGTACTAACTTCTGATTTAGTACAAAGAAGCAGACTGGAAAGAGTGCAATACTTCCTCCCAACGAGCAGGCAAAGATTAATAAAGCCGACTGGTTTCTGGAACTCGGCGATATCGACTCTAAGGAACGATTGACATTCTAGAAAGAAGACCAGATTAAGTGGGAATAGGAGTATCTATCTGTTGGCGAGGAGTGCGACAAAGGGGTTGGCGGCCTTGGCAATCATTGCCTTCCCTCGGAATCAGTTCTCAATCTATTGTCGACTCTACAGATAGAGGAAGCGAGGGCTAAGTCCATTGGTACCTTTGCTATCTAGGCATCCTCTTCCACTTTTTCGACGGCCTACAATTAATAGCACTCTTCTATCCACTACTTCTAGGACAAGATTGTTATCCTTAAGAACCTGGATATGCCAAATGAGAAAGGTATGAAAGAGGTCTTGAAAATCGTTGGCAGCGAGACGATGAAGGTAAATATCTGCCGACTATATTTGCCGACTACAGAAACTAATTACAATTCTAGATTTGTATCGAAGAAGTCCGAATGCTATTACTACATAAGATCTTCTCGCCTATTGAGCGAGCCGTTTGCCGGAATGTCCTATCGTAGGATACCAAAGCTCAAGCCTACTATAGAGGGCGATTGCCAGGCCCTTCTTGGCTCATTCCCCCTACCTACGACTATGCAGCTAACGGCTTTTTGCCTTCAAAGACAATGAAGGAGAACAAGCATCTCGCGAAGATAGCGTACAAGATGTGTAAGAAAGAGAACTCTCTTATAAAGGAACAGACAATGTGGCCAGCAGTAATGCATAGTCTTATCTATTGTGGCGTAAAAGAGTATACTGGAATTACTCTCGAAGCTATCCTCCTCCTCCTCCTCCAAGAAGACGAACTCTGCCTCTCGATTTCTAGTCTTAAGGAACTGGTTGAGAAGGACAAGAGACTAGCTACCCTTGTTAAAGTTTAAGACTAAGAAGCGGAAGCGATGGGTAAATAGCAAGCGACGCCTGAACCAGGGTTTCGATAGGTTAGCTCGGATATAGCAGTGTTTCGGCATATCCTGTTGGCTATACCCTTGTTCTAGCGTAACACTATGATTGAGTACAGGAAATTCTCTTTCTTTTTCCCCTTTCTACTCCTACTTCTTCAAGATACCTCTGGACTTTTACGCTATTGTCGTCTATCCACTATGTTTTCGTCCTCCTTCTCGTCCTCCCTAGGAGTAGGAAGCTCCCGGCTCGAATCCTCCTCCTAGCCCGATACCTCTTCCGGGACCCCTACGCGATCGAGCGCACGGCTACGCTAGCGCTATAGGACGACACTCAACGCGCCATCGAGTCCAACACTAGGTCGACGCCGACGACAACCTGACGTTAGGCGGCGTAGAACGAGACGGCCGAGTCCAGTAGAAGAGGAACTAGATAGTTCCCTTATTCTCCCTGTCGAGCCTGATTATATAGGAGAGTAGGATATCAAGTCAAATTGCTAGCTATAGAGGCTTAGGTATAAGGACAACTTTGAGCGTTGGTACGAGGTACGGTAGTAGAATTATACCGGAAAGCGCCTTAAAAAGCGGAACGGTCGTGCTATGTTCGATCGGTCCCCAATTACCTAGGGAAGTAAGTCTCGGACATCTTAGGTATAGGATTTCCTAGAGGAGGGAATGCTTCAAGAAGATACGACGCCTAAAGTCGTATACAGATGCTGTGACGCTGTACTAAAACATCCAGTACTAAATACTGGTACAACATCTGTCGAGAAGCATCTCGACTCCTCGAACTGCTAGGAGAAACAAGATAAGCGAGGGTTTACAAAGGAGATGTTTACGGCCGCGAAGCATCGACAAGTAAGTACTAACTTACGCCGACTATACCTGCCGACCACGTCTGCCGACCACGCTTAGCTACTTTTACTAAGACGATATTTCTAGACTGTTAGCAATCTACGGTGGACAAGGGACCTAGGCTACATACCAGACGATTTCCCGCGCCTATGCTTTGAGATGATTGTCGACAACGGTCTACCATTCCAGTTCTTTGAACGACCCTCGGTGAAACAGACTTATATAGCACTTCTCCCGGGACAGGTCGAGACAATTCCGTTCAAATGCGCGTCGACATACCGAAGGATGCTCGATACTAAGGTTATAGACTCCGCCGACTCCCTTAAAGCCCGTCTCGCTAGAAGATTCAAGATAGCTATCGCGTATAATGGTTAGCAATCCAGGACTATGAAAACCTCATTCCTAACTATACGGGTCTACTGGATTGACGACCAATAGACTTGGTACGAAGGGATGCTTGGTTTCCCTTATATTACTAGCCGTTATACTAGTGA